AGCCCCAACTAAGTATTGTGTGCTGTACATGCTCATACTTTTCATGTTCATACTTTTCAGTTGGCCAACATTTCTAAAAATCCTTTTTTTTGGTATTGGTAATATTCAAATTTTTGGAGATACTGAATTTGAGATTTTCATTAGTTGTCAGTTTTTAATCATCACAATTAAATGAAATAAACATTTGAAATATATCAGTCTGTGTGTAATGAATGAATATAATATCTAAGTTTCACTTTTTGAATTGAATTATTCTAATTATATGACCAGCACCTGTATATAATCTGTTTTCTTGTTTTTATCAATAAGCAGCATAAATAGTCTATGTTCAGTAGCAAGTGTCCCTGTTAGAGTGAGGTGAAGTGGTTGCCACACGTACACACCTGCCCGCTGACGAAGTTGAATTGTCTTTAAGTTTTTGTAAGCGACGCGGCGCAAAAATCATTGGAAGCAAGACTGATTCTTGCTGTTTGTGAGTTTCCAGAATCTATTGCTGTTTACTAAATAGTTATCAGGACATCAACAGGAGGGAATCTGCATGGCAGAGCATCCCCGCAAAACTAGATGAAGCCAGTCACAAAAACTCTGGCAAGTCCAGTCCAGAACAGGGCAGAGGCACTATTACTCTAAAGTTTGATTTAATTAGTAGCATCTGGAACTGGTGTTAGACCGATTTCCACCCCTGAAATGGGCTTTTTTTAAAACATAACTTGTAGTAACAAATGTAGTAAGCTAATGATATGCTAATTCTTGGAAGTAACATTATCAGCCCGTCCTCACCAGAAAAACTGCCATAGGTTGATACCCACGACTCATGTTTATGTTTATTGTTAGGCCATGACCTCTAGTAGCTGTATGGCGGTTGCAAAGGAGGAAGTCAGGTGACGTAGTATAAAGAGACAAAGTCCATAGAAGTGATCGGGGTGGATGAATAAATGGGCAAAACAAACACAGGACTTTCCCTCAGGAGGCTGAGGTTTGAGTTCATTTCACAAAGGTTACCACATAGGCTATTTAACATCATAAGACTTAGGACATCACGTGACTACGCCAGTTGCGGCATTGATACTTTCCAATAGTCGTAAATGTCACTTTTGGACACTTGACAAGCAACTTGTTAGGTCATTTAGGTATGAGGACGTGTTGAACGTTACATGACTACTATAGGTAAGCTAATTAGCTAGCCATGCTAACATTAGACAAACACACTGTTTCATCTCTTCTTTACAATTTTGCTTGTGGTTTTGGTTTCAGAATGGCAAAAAAAAAGACATGACCTTTCAAACTATTTTAATACCAAGCACTGTTCTTTAAGAACTCCAAGCGCTCCAAAGTTTGGCAGGCCGACAATGCCTAGATATGATTTGACAGATGCTGTTTGGGAGAGGCCAATTTTGTCACTTGTAAATTCAGTTTGAGAATGTATTATTGGTCAAATGGTTTTGGTTTCTAAACCCCAAATGGAAAAGAAATCATCCAAAAAGAAAAACACTAACCATGACAGAAAACAGGTATGGTACAAAAAGTTTATTCAGTAACAGTTCTGTAAACATCTGAGGTAAATGAACATTTACATCAACATGTTCTTTAACAAAAGGTTCAGACGCAAGGCGCTTCTCTTCAAAGACAGTAATTTTACAACGGGAGAAATAGCAGGTGAGTCTGTGTCCCTGCTGGTAGGGGCGCCATGAAAATCCCATCACACCACCTTTTTTCCTCTTGGGATTTTTGATTCAAGGCACATCCATGGTGTAAAAGTTAAAGTAGCCAAAAGTCTCTAAATTCATATTCAGGACAGAAGAAGAACAATCACATTAGATTCAAATCTTGTCCATTCCAAGTCTAATTTGATAGTGTTATTTCCATAAATAAACAAAAATATGTTAATTTCCCCTCATCCAAGGACACCTTTTTTCTTTTCTATTTATAATATCTTCATATCCTCATAACAGTGGTCTATAACTATCTAACTGTGCAAATCTTTATCTACATATCAAAAGGTACTAAGAACAGCTTGGAACAACAAGGTTATGAAAAACATTTCAGCTATAGAAATAAGTAAAATGAACCTTGTTTCAACAATCTTTTAGAGACAAAGTTCAAGTTTCTTTGGTGGAAGTCTCCTTTCCCAGAGTTATGAAAGAGTTGTAAAACTGATCTCCACGATTGTTAAGGTCAGGGGTGAGGTTCCCAAGCTAAGCTCTTTAAAATCCATCATGTATTAGGATATATTTGGCACAAATATATTTGTTAAATATCATTGGTTAAATCTTACACATCACTTATTTTTCTAAAAGTACATCAAGTGCTTCAGTTGCCAAAATTTGCTGAAGTTGTTTATTGGCACCTAAGTTTGATCAGAGACATGTAAACATTTGACATAGCCAGCAAACAGCATAGATTCAGTCTATGGATCATCCTATCTTTAGAAATTGTGTACCTTTTACTGCATCATTGAACAATACTTGCTTCTCATTTGTCACCTCATATTTCATTTGGTTCATAGAAATTAAATGATTGCATTCATGACAAGTTGGAAGTAATACACTCTCAGTCGCTAAAAATGCACCTTGATATGCCACTGATTTCTGTGCCAAAGGCCCTGCACAACGCTAGCTCAGTTCCCAAGTCAAGCTACAGTTAAATATACTGTAAGTAAGGCCTTAATTGCAAACCTTATGATCATATTCAAATTATAATGTAGCATCATGGCACAGTTGGAGGGAAGAGCACACAGTGATCAAATGTACAAATGTTTTCCACAGCAGCCATTTTGTTTGAAAGCACAGGTGGAACAAATCCCGTTAACGATGGGCCTGACAAAGCAATGACAGTGAGCCAAACTGCACAGTGCATGTGGCTGGAACAGGAACACCTGATTCGAATGCACGATTAATAACTTTTTCGTAGCCTGGACCGGTTAATTGCTTACTTAATGCCAAAAGCTGACATATGTAACTTTGCACAGGTTGTATGAAGTCTGCTCCTGCTTTTTTTTAATAATTAGCCACTGCAACATTTGAATTGCAGCCGTTTTGAATGTACTTCGTTGACAAGCCATGACCTTTCAAAAATTCCCGGAGAGGGACACTCTCATGTCTGTCCATTAAATATGAAGACAGTTATCTTTGCTAAGCATAAAGACTGAAAGCAGGGGGAACCAGCTGGCCTGGCTCTGTTCAAATTTTAAGGAAAATCTACCCAAATCTAATTAGCTTTAACAAATTAATAATTCAAAACATTGAGGATACCAGTTTTGATAATTGACAGCAATTAACTACATTAAAGGTCCAGTGTGTAATATTTAGGATGATCTATTGACAGAAATGCAATATAATATAGATAACTATGTTTTAAGTGGTGTATAAAGACCTTACATAATGAACCATTATATTTTGTTTACCTCAGTGAGCCATTTCTATCTACATACATCGCAGGTCCAGTTACATGGACATCACCATGTTTCTACAGCAGCCCAAACGGACTAACTGCTTTGTTACATTGAATATGGACAAAAAAGAAGGAAGAAGAAGAAGAAGAAAAAGTAGTTGTGTTTTTTATAGTAAGAAGAGACGTGAAATTTGGACAAATGGAGACCCACATGTATTATCTAGCACAAGAGCCGACAGACCGTGTTGTAGCTTAGCACGCGTGCAAAGGGAGGGGGGAGTGATGACTGAACCGTTGCAATTCACAACCCTCATCGCTTGATGCCACTGAAACTTATACACTGGACCTTTAATAACCTTTAACACAACACACAATTAACATTAGCAATTTAGAAGTTAGCCTCTGTGCTAATTCTGAGCTACCTTAATTTACTTATGCCATTTCTGTTATACCCAAATGTGTTAATAGATCATTGAGCTCATAAACAATTTCCAAGTTGCCATGAATGTAGATGAGCAGCATTCCCTGTATATGAATTTGGTATGTGACCATTTCACAGTTAAATTCTCTAAGATTTGTGCAGCACGACAGTCTTGATTTTAGGAGAATGAACCCAGGACAATATCATGGGTTATTTACCTGATGGGAAAACATTTAGCAGACAACCTAGACAGAGCTACTGCAACAACAATGAAGACCATGAGATGTGGTGGAAGGTTCCTGAAAAACCGAATAAGAAGACCTTGAGCTAAGATTATTTTATCAAACTACAAAAACAACATTTTGTTTATAGCGAAAAGTAAACATATTGAATCAGACTTTCATTTACTTTCATTTGCTTATTTTAGTTATGGTGTTTAAATGCTAATTCAGGGACATGTCATATAAGCACTAACAGGGCAACTACTCTCCTTTGCTGACTTGCTACTAGGGTACATTTTTTCCCCTGATTGTTGGCACATGAATAATATGATTTAATAAATTAAAGCTGTTGGGTAGTTAAATGGACTTGTATGAGCTGTATGTTTTGTTTTGTTTAAGGGGGGGTGGGGTTGGCAGGAATTAATGAGAAGAACAGGAAAAATGAACAATCCTATATGGGATGCCTGTTAAGAACTGACAGAGAAATAAAAGTGATCACTTTTTTAGATCATATAGCTTTCTTTTTTTCAAAAAATCTAAAAGCTACTGTATCATCTACAGCTAGTCTAGAAAATTAACTTAGAGTCCTCCTATACAGAAGAGCTAGGGGGAACTCGACAGTTTTGTAACACACTGCAAACACAAGCATCAGAAAGAAGCTGTACTGATTTTTATGCTCTGTTCAAGCTGCAAAGCTTAAAAATGCTCAATATAGAACTTGTTAAAATAAGGTTTTTGCCCTTGATTGTGTACTGTTTTCTTTAGTTACCTCAACTCTTCTGACATTTGATCTTTTCATAAAGTGACTTGTGGGGCCAATGTCAGAAAAGCACTTTTGATTGTCTAGGTTAAAAATTGCTGTGAATTGCAGCTTAACCAGAAACCTTTTTTTTTTTTTAAATGTAGGTAGTTCTGTAACATCCTGTGGTGCATATCAATACTATTAATCATTATATATTTACATATTTATATACTTTATATAGTTTACCCTGATTTAACTGCAGAGATTTCATTTTGTAAACACTGAAACAAATTAGGGTACCTAAACACACACACACACACACACACACACACACACACACACAGCCTGTGAAGCCTATAAGGACTACGTCTCAGGGTGGGACTGCTTTGTTGCTCTCCTCATCTGCTCTATCCTAACGTCAGTGCATCCCTCTCTTCATTGAAACTACAGGCTGGCTGAGAGCAGCACACGCAGACAGACAGATTCAACACGACACACAGCTCCACCATCACGTCACAAGAAAAATAAAAATAAAGAAACAAAAGTGCAAACCTCTCCTCTGATGTCTCCCAGCAAAGAAATTAATGTAAGATGAAAATAAAAGAATATAGTACTGCTGCCTCTACGCTCCCAAACGTATTAGTTAGTCCAATCATCACCATCATCATCATCACTATAACCTTTCCTTATTTGTGTCTGTGCTGGTTATATATATATAACCGTAGGTGTGTGTGTAAGTATGCAAGTATGTATGTTTGTAATCCCATTTCATGGGCCTATATACCTCCCCTGTCCAACCTCGCCAAAGAAAAGTTAGAGTATGGCCAGAAGAGTAAGTGGTAGCCATGTTAGCCAAACATGGAGCTAGAGCCACTAGTTGATTAGCTTAGCTTGGTAAATGATAGAACATTGTCAGAGATGGATTCACAGTGTGCACAGCCATCTCTCCACTGTTCTCCAAAATGACTCCAGATGTGTTGCCAGGAGATTTCTGCAAAGCATGTCTGAACTCATATCTTAGAAGTTGAGAAGCTCATGTAGACATTGTTAGTAATATGTCGGTAAGGCATCAGCATGGTGCTATCAGTGTAATCTGGCCAAACTCTTTCTATCCCTACTTAAGGTTCATAATTCTGAGAGTAATCTGAGCAGCCACCTCCAGCTGAATGCATGCGGTAACGTGTTTTGCACGTCTTCCTTGCAGGCATGTCTTTTGCTTGAGGGCATGCTTGTGTGTGGTTTTATGCAGTTGTGCATATGTGAAAAAGTTGCTTATGTAGGTTTTCTATGTGTACACAGCATGTATGCATGGTTGTGTGAATGTGTGAGTGTGTGTGTTTTAGCTACACTGCCAGGTCATCAGGGCGAGCCCGGACGCAGCTGCTCTTGCTGGCCCGACTTGGCTTCCGGATGTCTGTCACAGCAGGAGGAGGCTGATGCATCTCTGCCCTGGTAACCACAGTGAAGTCGTCATGTGGGACCACACAAGGTGCTGTGGCGACAGTATTTTCCTCATCCACAGGCGCCTCCTCTGGTGCGAGGGGGTAAAGAGGGGTATGACGAGGAAGTGTGGGAAACATGGAGTGTTGCTCCCCTTCTGGAAGTGGTGGGGTTTTCTCCTCCTGAGGAGAGGAGGAGGCGGATGTGGGAGGAGAGGGAAGAGGAGGAGGGTAGGAGGAAGAGGAGTTTCTCCTATCCAGATTGTTGAGCTCCAGTGCCATGTTGCTCCAGTTCTGCTCCATTGCCGTCAGCTGCCCGTGGCTCTCGACACTCCCTTTCTCACTGCTGTCATATAAAGAAGCGGGCAGGGCCTCCAACAGGAAGTCATCTGGGTGAAACGCTGTGCCATCCATCTTGAGTCTGGCGGGCACAGAGGCGGTGTCGGGGCTTAAGGAGATTACTGCAGGGGAGGCCTCACTTGGACTGTAGGATCCTCCTACTCCTGCCCCAACCCCCACCACGTTCACGCTGGCATACACTGGCAAACACTCGAGCACTGACGGAGAGGTCTGCTCAGGAATCGTCTCTGCATCTCCAGGCTCATCAGCACCCAGCTGCAGCGACTCACTGTCGGGTGCAAACTCATTGGTGACCCCCTGCTTGACTTTCTTCCAACCCAGGTGGTAGATCTCTAGCAGGTTGAGGACCAGAGAGACACAGGCAACCACCAGCATGAAGATGATGAAGATTGTCTTTTCAGTGGGCCTGTGACAACAGACGAACAAAAATGTTTTTAATTCACAAATTAAAATGTAATGTAAATGTAATCATAGAAAAAGCATGAAAAAACTGTATAACAAGTTAGCATGTTTGGATAGCTAATTTGCTTACTTCCAAGTGCAGGGACCACGTCATTAATTAACTACTTTAGATTGTGGGTTTACAGGTTACATTAACAGAGCATCTTTTACAACTAACACATACACTTTGTGAAAACTTGTTCTGGATGCTAATAGGCTATATCACAGTTTAGGTTAAGAGAAGCTCGGTCCTGCTGTCCAGCAAACGTTACCTGAAATAGCATCATGTTAACAAGCTAAACATACTAGCTAAACATCTGACTGCCTAACTAGCTCTGCACTGCAATAAAGGAACAATGCTGTGTCTTTATTTCTATGTCACCTAGCACATAAACTGGTGAGGACTTACCTGGGCCATTCACCAACAGCCTCAGACTTTTAGCACAATATAATGTATGGAGCTATTGAGTGCATATTTAATATCCTTTTTATAAAGTTCTCATTAGCTCATAGAGCTAATGTTAACCTAATTAGCTAAATAGCTACAGCTAATAAAATCTAATTGTGACAGTTGCCATTTTGACAAAATTTAGAAACAAGAATGGAAATAAGGTTAGAAAGAAGAATTCTGCTTTTGTCTGCTTGGGTAAAGTCAAGAAGCCATTGTTTCAAAAGTATTTTTAATGGTAAAGAATGCCACCGTTATCACCATTGTCAATGTGTTACTCGAGAACCGAAAGCAACATTAACTAATGGGGGACAGGACTAAGTGAATATGTAATATGAAAGGTTTCCAGCAGAGTGGTTTTACATAGAAAATGAACAAACACACAAACAAGTGAGAGAAAAATGAAAACACATAGAAATAAAATCGTCTCATTGAATTCCACTCTCTAACCTGGAGATGAAGCAGTCCACAGTATTGGGGCAGGGCCAGCGGCCACATTTATAGAGCGGCCTCAGGTGGAAGCCATACAGGAAGTACTGTCCCAGGATGAAGCCCACCTCAAACAGAGTCTTAAAGATGATGTTGAAGATGTAGGTCCTCAGTAACGCTCCTCGGATCCGGATCTTCCCGTGCTCATCCCGAATTGGGGGCTTTGTCTTCTTCCCACCACCTCCTCCTCCTCCATCGCCAACTCCGTTGTGATAGAGAGGGTCATGGTCCTCCTGGTGCCGTCCGGCCTTTCTGAGCTCCTCCTCCCTCTCCCTCCTCTTCTCCTCCATGCGAACAATGTGCAGCACATGGCCCAGGTAGATGAGGGTGGGTGTGGAGACAAAGATGATCTGCAGCACCCAGAAGCGGATGTGGGAGATGGGGAAGGCCTCATCATAGCAGACGTTCTCGCAACCGGGCTGCTGCGTGTTACAAGTAAAGTCCGACTGCTCATCACCCCAAACCTCTTCAGCTGCTGCGCCCAGCACCAAGATGCGGAAGATGAACAGGACGGTCAGCCAAACCTGGGGAGGATTGAGTGATTAGAAAGTTGGTTCACATATCTTAAGCACTTCAACTGGACTTAATGAAGCCACTCTGTTTTTTGTTGCCCCTGGACGTAAACGTCCACCATGGACATATTTCCTAGGATACTGAGCTGAAGCAATAAAGTGAAGCTCTCAAGTTGGTCTTTGTTTTGAGCACAGGAACACCAGAATAAACTTCTTCCGTCTTAACAGTGTAACTGGTATCCTTGTTACAATGAGATCTTTAAGACAAACCAAGCTGTATGGTCAGTCTGAATCAGCTTGCTGTTTCAAATGCACTACTTGTCTGAAGATTACCAAGAAATTGTGGATTTAATGTGATATAATTTCATATTCATCAAGTTAATCAATAGTCAATCAGTCACCTTTCCAATCACAGTGGAGTGTTCTTGAGCATTCTCCAGCAGCCGCCCCAGAAAGCTCCAGTCACCCATGCTTCACTTGATTTTCTAGCCTGAAGAGAGAAACAAGAGTCCAGTGAACAACACAGGAAGCCCCAGTGAGGAGTTGCAAAATGAGAGAAGAAGCAGGCGACAAAGACAAGAGCAAAGGTACTGTCTGGAGAAAGAAACAGACACCACAGAAGAACAGATTGTGAAGTATATGGAATTAAGACTTATGGGTAGAGGATTCGGCTGTTGTTATTCAATATTTCTCTTGTGAAAAAAACAAAACAGGATTTTTCAACATTTCATCTCTGTAGTATTAGAAAGTTGTTAATTGCAATAAATAATCACCCAGTGCAACACTGTAGCTCAGGGATTGATGATAGTTCCCTATTTATTTAACAGCTTCAATATTACTCCGCACTGAAAACCCTTTCAGTAATAGAACAGACCAGAGTCTGAATCAAATGTATCTTCCAGATGTTGAGATCAGAGGAACAAACATAAAAAATGTTTCATAATAATGAAAAGGGAAAGCAGACTTACTAAAATATTGCTGTATTGTCAGTGATAAATCCATCGACCAAAGATCCGAAGAAAATATCTGTAGAGGAAGAGAGGCAAAAAGCTCTTGTCAACTTTATAGGTCACTGTCAAACAGACATCACACAAAATTCTCATTTACAGTCAAATTTCACATACATGGATTAAATCTCACCACTTTTTCAGCCACTAAAATAATCAAATAATATAGAACAAGTTTGAGAACTACATGGAGTAAATTTATCATACATAAATTAGTCCACATTTTGGACAGGGAGGACAGATGGTTTAAAGTTAATTACATTACATTTACACCAGACTAGAGGGACCATCTCTCAACAGGGCAGGAGGGCTGAGACACAACTTATCCCCTTACAATAGCGTCCTTTCTTCTCTTCCCAGGAGAGTGAACAAACGCTTACATATGGCCTCGTGACACAACAACGGTTGATCAGACTTGGCCTCACGTGACTTCAACGACAGCCAGGAGCACAAACGAACCAAGGGGTATACATCACCTTGATAACGACTCCACAGAGGATTAATAGCTGGTATTCCCTGACAGTCGATGAGAGGCGAAACGTCTTAGTTGAAGTATCTTCAACTAAGACGTTAGTTGCCCTTGATTTTAACCTTCCTTGGAAATTTATCGTACAACACATCAAAATTAAACCAGATTCATGTTTAGTGAATCTTAAGCCTGCTAAAATGAAGACTCTGCACTGGCCACCTGATGAATGGATGAACGGTAAATCCAATATTCACTCTCCTGAGGGAAAATATCTAGCTCTTTAGCAGCTAAATCCTCCACTATGTTCACCAGCTAGTCTCTAACTGTATCTATCTGCTAACAGGTTGTTTACAGCTGCCTGCCGCTGGAGTTGTGGGGTGTAAAACCGAAACAATTAGTTGAAAGATGCTTAAAAAAAGCTCTGTGGAGCTTAGGAGAGCTGCAAAGTTGGGCGTTAATTTTCTGTGGGACACTTTTCACATACAAAAATATAAAAAATATTGATTATAGCAGATGATATATTGGCTGATGCAGTTTTTTGTCGTAAATTGAAAAAGTGTTTTTGAGAACAATTCCTAAAATTGATGCCTTGTGGGTTGTTTTTTTAAGAACTGAGAACTGTGTATGTGTTTATGCATGTATGGAAAAATGAGGATGCCTGTTTCTTACTTTATCCACATGCACATTTGCTTGCAGACGTGCACGTGTTTGTGCATACTTGTGTGTGTGTGTGTGTGTGTGTGTGTGTGCACCGCAGAGCTGGCTGAGTAGTGGACAATGGCTGGCCATCTGTGGGAAGTGAATGAGTGGATAACAGGGTATCCCAGTTGAATGCAGGACTCATCACATCCCAGGAATGCTGAGGGGGGCAAATGTTTGACTGGGATTGACTGATATGTACACACACACACAACCACATACACACACTGAAAGTTACAGTAGCATACAATACTCCTGTGGATCTGACCCACCAATGTGAAGCCACTGACAAGTCATTTTACTGCTAATATTAAGGTAAACTGAAGACTTCTATCTGATTTACCATCACAAGAAGTAAATCAGCAGTCTAAAAAAAGCACTCTAAGTCCATACATGAAATACCCTAGTTACAATGAAGCTGTTGCACTGCCCCCTTAATACAACAAAAGCTTCAAAATTCACCTTCATAAATGAAATCATACATCTACTAATTGGAAGTCCATACACATTCAGTGACTTCTGCAAACCCTACAGATGACATTTTCAGAAGTACTGTAACTGTCAACTGACATGCCTGTCTAACAATGGCATGTGTACATGTACATGATGTGTTGACGTGATGAAATACCAACTGTCACGACAGACAATAGAGAAGCTGCCAGATAGACATTGTCTGGGCTGGCGTGTGCTTTTGATGGATCAGAGGTCTTTGTGCTAAAACAGCTCAAACAGTTAACTCTTGGCCTGCCGTTTGTGCCCTACAATCCTTTTCAAGATATGCAGACAATGTTCACATGAAGTACAATTCTGTTTGTTATCCAGTTAATCAAGTAGCCTAATTATGGTTAAAAGCACAATCATAGACAGTATAAATAATTTAGATTAACCTAAGTAGGCTTACATATGGTCAGTAGCTGGGTTACTCCAAGCATGTACACATGACCAGTGTTGATTGTTGAAAATGCCACAGACTGATAACACATCAGGGTCATGAAGTGCACAAGGACAAACAGAAAGTGCACAAAGTGTGCTAAGGTACATTTTGGTAACAATGTATAGGGGGGAATAATGTGGCACAAAGGTACAAAAAGGGTCTGTACTGGTGCCTAAAATGCACAAAGGTTCGCAATACTTAAAGGGAATAAATGTTTCAGAAAAAGGTGCATAAAAGTGTATAAATGTGGATTAAAGTGTGCGATACCACAAATGTAAATAAAGGTGCCAAATGTGTGTAAAAGTACATAACAGTGTGACATTTAGAGTTCTATAAATGTAGAAAAGGATGTACAAAGCAAACCTTGATGGAAATAGTCCAAGTGTCCAAGTTTTTGGCCCCAAGAAAGCAACATTCATTGATGAAACACCCCGCAATAAACTGGGAATATGGAAATGGTCATTTTAACAACAGGATGGTTGAAAGCAGCATCTTCAATGCGTTATTATGATGTTGAATTTGGTTACCCCTGTCAGCTCGGTAACATTGATACCTTACTTATTACATTCTCTACAGTAAACATGTAGGAAGTTGTATCTTGCCAAGTTAGTATAATAGGTCTGCAGTATCTCATGCACCGACTGTCGGAATTTAATAACTGGTGACGAGAGGCCTCAAAATGATGGGAAAAATGTGGCCCATCTCCAAACTCTGAGGTCCAGAACCAGAAATTGCAGGTTTTCTGTCACCTGCTTCTTCTTTTCAAAGCTATATGTAGCACCTACATAAATGAGGACATTTTCACATAAAAAAAACCATAATAATAATAATAATAGTACGATTGAAATTAAAACACAAGTTACCCCTAGGAAACCTGGTTTGATGTAGGTTGGGTACAAATTCAAATATAAAGAATTTAATAAAAATAGTAAGACTTCTGTGATGAACGTGGAATTGTGATTTTTGATACTTTACTAATTTTGCTCGTTTAGCTTGTTTGAATACAAAGAAAAGCAGAAGTTGCTCTTGCACACTTCATGAGCCACCATTTTAAGAAAATATGGTGGCTGGCGATGGGGAGACAAACTATTAAGGCCTACTCACATTATATAGGCTACTAACACGTCCTAATTTACGCCCAGGACTCAGTTGAATGTGTTTTTAATTATAATAGTAATTGTGATATCAAAAAAGTCTAAAATGTCAACACTGCATTATTTGAAAGAGTCTATGTTCTGCTTTAACCATAAAGATATCCTACTTTCAACTCATGAAATATTAGTGACTTCCTCGCTGCCGTCTTTCCCACAGGGAAGTGAACGCAGCATGAGAGGTGCTGATAATCCAGCAGGTGGAAGGATGATAATCCCTCCTCTTCCCTCCCACTTCAGCCAACACCATCACTCCAGCATCCACCTGCTTACCGCTCTCCTCTGAAACACGTCTCCCTCCCGGCAGCGCGCTTCTTCTTCTCTCACTGCTTTCCTTCTTCTTCTTTCTTTTACTCCCACGGGTGGGCTCGAGGCGACCAAACGAGGAGTAGGTGAGATTAGTGGGAGAGGAGGGGGGAGGGAGAGAGAGACACAGAGAGAGAATTACAGAGAGAGAGAGAGAGAGAGAGAGAGTAAAAAAAGACGAGAGGCTAGTCTAGTCTAAAAAAAGGGGCGCGTGTGGAACCTGTCCCGCGAAGGCGAAGCGCAGTGGCTGCGTCCCGCGTGGCCAAGGCCATCCGCCACTGTCACACATTGGTGTCCCCGTGCATGGGACGCACGAGGGGGGTCGGAAGGGGGGGAAAGTACGTGCTTGTATGCGCGCGCGCGTGCGTGTGTGTGTGTGTGTGAATGTGTGGGTAGGGGCAGGGGCGACTCCATCACACTACTGACAAGCCAACTTTTAGACAGCTGAAAACTATTTAAAGCAAGAAAGAAAAGCAAATTTTTGCAGAGAAAAGCAGCCAAATTATTTTAACCACACACTAAAAACTCCTGGGTTAAAAAGGGACCAACTAATTTCTGGGTTATTTCAACCCAGAAAATTGGGTTATACTTTTTGACCCAACTTCTGGGTTAAATACAAATGTTGGGTTAAAAAAACCCGACATTGTAGTTAATATAACCCAACTTCTGGGTCAAAAGAACAACCTCAATATCTGTGTTGAAATAACCCAGAAATTAATTTTTAACCCAGGAGTTGGGTCAAAAATAACTATTATTTTTATTATTATTATTTTTGCTTTACATTATATCTGTCACGGTATGATGCAGTCAGAAGAAGAAGAAGAAAAAGAGGAGTCCAAAGTTCTAATTCAAACATTTTACTAATAAAGTAACTCCAAAAGGTACAGACAGGCACGATGTACACACACTAAACAAGACTGACTGAACTGAAGGAACTAAATACTAACAAAGATGAACAGAACACAGGTGGAACAGATGATGATGGTAATTAACTAAACACAGGTGATGCTGATGAACTAAATGACAGAAACCATGGAAACAGATGAGTGGCTGGAAAACAGAACAAAGGAAGACATGTGACAAGGGGTGACTGTGACAATATTACACACTTCAAGCACTTTTACATTTTTATTGCATTAAATTAAATTAAACTCTATATAAAAAATATGTGAAAGAAATTAACAACTCTCAAACATTCGACAATATTCAATAACTGAATTGAATTTAAGGCTTAAAGTCTTCAAACATTGGTTGTGTCATGTCATGTGTGACTTTACACTAGTTAGATGTACATGGCAACCACAGAATTACCAAGGCTAACGCTCGTCTCAACGTAGCAACTAAGCCATGGTAATGTTTTCAGCAAATGGTGCTAAACTAGCAACGGGGACATGGACACAAATTACATAAAATAATCGTTTACCTTGAATACACAACGAAGTTGCACGGGCCAAAACGGATCGAGCGCAGAGCGACGGTTATTACAAACGACTGTTCCAGGGTTAGGGGTGGTTGCTATACATTCATAGCAATAAAGCTAATTTGAATTTGAGAGAGAAAGCCAACCCTATAACCCAGAACATTTGGTTACTCTTTGAGGAAAAACAACCCAGAAACCCAAACAACCCAGGAAATTGGGTCAAAATATTATCCATATAATGCAGGAAATGGTTACTCTCTGGAAAAACCCCCCAGTGATTTTAACCCAACACAACTAACCCAGAAAATGCGTTGACGATATAACCCAGGAGTTTTTAGTGTGCATTATTATGTTTATTATTAGGCTACTGTTGTAGTTTTAGGGTAGTAGTGAAAATAACATTAGTAGTTGCTGTTCTATGTAGTTATTATTGTAGTATTGGTATTATAATTAGCTCACATTTAGCATCAGCTTAGCATCTAATATAGAGTTGTCCTGGTAATATCTCTAATTGAGGAAAATTTCAGAAAAAACATGGCATTAACAATACAAGTGGCATAAAATTTCCATATCAATTAGAGTAAGCATGTCTTATACCTTTAATTTCTGAATTAATAGCCTCCAAACTACATAAAGGAACTTTTAAAGAGGTTTTTTTTGTTCTGTTTTTAGGCTATAAAAGATGGAAGCTAGTAGTACCAGTGACTGAACAACTATTTCACCTGGTTGCGTGTTATAGGATGACATCACCTCTTCACCAAACTTTTCTGTTGTAAGTGTTTTATGTCAGCAACTGTCAAAGTTGTTGCAATCACATCTCACCAGCAGAGGCCAACAGAGGTTAATACAGTAGATCACTTAATACATCTGTAAATTAAAATGCATTTCTTGTCCTGCTTACTCCAGTTTGTGATGACTTGCAATTTAAACATTTTAAAAGATCATATCTGCACGGTTATTCTGTAAATCTTTCAGAGAAAAGAGAGAGAACAAACAAACTCTCTGCAACACAGTTAACTCATCCGCTGACCGTGGCGCTTGCAGACACGACCCAGTGTAATGTATGATTTAGTTTTAGATATCCCCAGAACTGAAGCGTAGATTAACAATAAGTTGTTTTACAATATGGTTGTTGCCCTGCTGCTGTCTGGTAAGAGATACAGAAGAATCCGCCAGACTTCAGAGAAGTTTCTTCCCTCTAAAGACATTGAGAATACTTAATTCATCCTCAGCACTCCATTATGTAAAATACTTTTATTTCTATGACTTATTATTTCGCCATGTAGTGTACATAATTTCTATAACATTTGTTTTTGTGAGCAGCATAAAGATAACAAAAACTTAATCTTGTTATAAAACCCTGTGTAGTTAAAATGATAAATAAATCTACCTTGTACCTTAAGCAATCAGAGTCAGCATAGTGTAACTCTTCTAATGTAGTTTTAATCAAAATCAAAATTAATCTGAGGATGATACATAGACTTAATCATTTAGGTAAATATTCTGTTGAGGCAGATGTTCTACATACAGGAACTTATTGTTTAATCCATGTTTTACTATCTGTAGATTTCAGTCATGTGCAGTCTGTCAGAATAATACTTTGAAAATATTTTAAATAATATAAATATAAGATGTGAATAAAAATCACATTGTTTAATCTATTGTATGGCTCCGATTGCATGATTTTCTGTGTGATGCAAGTGTTTGTTTGTTGAGATTTTACCACCAAGATAAATGCATCAAATTAATCCGAGTTAGTCAGTATCATTTTACGAGTTAACAGCATTATTTCTATAAAATAATAATTGACTAATCTAACTAAGAATCTAACTGATCTAGTGATGTGTAGCATGTCTATATTGACATCTCTAAGCAGCTTAGAACTAGCTCAAGCAGGTGACCCTATAAGCTTCAAGAGGTTTTATACATCCAGAGGACTTATATAAAAAAAAGACCAGGCTTCTAATTGAGACGTGCGTTTATTTGTCAAATTGTGTGGCCACACCAGGCCAGTGAAAGGGACAGGCGCCAAACTGGGACTAGGCTTTTAATTGGAGTTTTACAGTAACTGAAACAATCAGACTAAAAACAAAATTAAGATATGATGAAACTTTATTTGTGGAGATAAAGTAAGAAAATTGTGAGTGCATTTATATTCACGAAATCCATAAGGTACTGTATGTGTGAAGCTGCTGGTGAGCCCTCACATTTCTTTGCTCATGTTGTTTTCTTGTTGCTCAATAGATGGCACGATGGCTCGAGATCCTACTCAGCATTGTTATACACTATCTGTCCTGGCCTATTTTTCTACTGTTATATTAGAACATACAAAAGTTATGAATCAAAAACTAACATACAATATCAAACAATATAAAAATACAGTTTTAAGTTGTTCACACTGATTCCATCTTCTCTACCTCTTGAAGGCTACATTTGAGAACCTCAGGTATCATAGAAAATTTTCACTTTTTGCTTTGGGTCATTCACATGTGTATCACTTGTAATTATGCAGCTCTAAAGGGTTTCAAGTCTTTGTGAAAATATTTCCTCTGCATGCGTCATCCACCTTGTTGCTGCTTTGTCACTTTGTCAGTTTGAGACAAGTAACTTCTGGTTTGTCTTATTCTGTGTCCTCTCTCTGCTGGACTTCCTGAACGTTTTCTTCTCCTTTTGTCCACAGAGATTCCTGAAAAAAGAAGATGGTATGCTTGGACTTTGTGCATTTTGATAACCCAGATGAACGATGAAGGACTTCAATATTTGACAAACCCTAACGTATTTTTGTTGTATGAGCTGATCAGAGACTCAAACACATGTGCAACGAGTCATTTTAACATTGCTAAAAATGATAATTGATGGAATAATGAACAAACTGTCTGACTGATTAATACCTCTACCTAGTGACAGCCTTGGCGACAAGATACGCAAGTTCAGCCATGTTGAGGACCATGCAGATAGAAGAGGCCGTGGCCATGAAAACAGTGAAGATTGTTTTCTCGGTGGGGCGTGAGATGAAACAGTCCACCAGGTTAGGACATGGCCACTGGTCACACTGCACCAGCCGTGGCATCTGGAAACCATCGTATACCACATACAGGGCATACCTGGAGAGAAGACACATACTGTATGGAGATGGGCCACATTGTAGGGTAAAACTAATCCAGCAATATGGTATACACAGACAAAATGTGAATCACAGATCTCACATGAAGCCTCCTTCAAACAGCAGCCTGAACACCAGGCTGCAGGCGTACGTCCACCAGAGGGCACCAGCTATTGGGAGTCTCCGTCTCTTCAGAGTCTCCAACTCTTCCTCCTGGCCTTTTTGGCTGAGGAGACCACCTCTACCAGAACCCTGTCTCACAGGATAACATAACATACCATGATAAAACAAGACAAGAGGTGAAACAATGTTAACAATGCTATGACATGGCTTGGGAATGCAAGAGAAGAGATGACATGACATGACAAGGCATCGATCAGATGACGTGGTAAGACAAGACAAGAGATGACACGACCAGATAAAACAAAACAAAACATGACAAGATAACTCATAAAAAAGTCCACCTGTCACATAAGACCAGACATGAAAAGGTAAGACAAAATATGACCAGAAAAGACATGAAGCAAAAGAGAGCAAAGACAAGACGGCATTGCATCACATCACATAACATTGTGTGAAACAGTAGGTTTCTGTCCCACCTGGATGGCAGACAAATTAAACAGCACACACACCTGTAGCAGCTTCTTCTTATCGCTCTGGTTTCGATATGCTATGTACAATGCAACCAGGAGCGACGGTGTGGAGACGAAGAGAAGCTGAAGGCACCAGAGACGGATGTGGGAGACGGGGAAGAACTGATCGTAGCAGACATTTTCACAGCCAGGCTGAAAAACACAGGCAGACACACGGATCATTTAGCTGCTTTACACACCACTGGATTTTGCCCGGTGGGGTCAGAGGTCAAGGTAAGCTACAGAGCAGTGCCTCTGAAGCCATTAGGGACACTCTGTTTCTTCAGGATGTCTCTCTGTTAATGGTCAGACCTCCCTACACGAATGACATCTTTTCAATCTCTGTCATTCCTGTAGTTTTTGCAGGATTCAAGCCTGTATGCAGGTCAAGAACAGTAAAATGTTCAAACTTGATCTATCTCATTGCTATTAAAACATAAATTAATGTTTTCTTTAGCACTTCCCCAGTTTTGTGCTACAACATGTAGCTAGCTACAGTAAATACATCTAGTAGGTGCGTTAAGAGGTAGGGATCAGAATGTTAAATACACAAAAGTATCCATTATATTAAAGATTACTTTAACATAACAGACACTAAAATTGTAGATTACTTAAAGAATCTTTTGTTGAACAGCGGCCACTGTAGACACAACTGGTTCAAGGTCAAACTTTATTATCATGTTTATAAGAATATAGTGAAACCGTTGAGCTCTGGCTTTCCCTGCCTTAATTATACACCATATACATGCACAATAACAATAAATATTTACAAAAGTGTAAAGTGCACAATGCAAATAATATATAATACATAATACAAGTGCACAATATGCAATGCCACCATTGGTAATCACAGGCCAACAATATAAAGAATTTATTTCCATTTCCTGAGATTCTCTTGAGTGAGTTGCTTGAATTATGTCCTCAATGGGTGATCTGAATGAGCTTAAACGTGGTGTACCACTAAAACAGGTAGTGAAGAGTCATAAAGTCAGTGAACTGACTCAGTAATGACAGTTACACAGCTACATCTAAAGTTTGCTAACATTAGCTACTGGTCATACCAGACCAAGTTAGACAGTAAATGTAAATGCTCCGTACTTGTATAGCACCTTTCTAGTCTTTTCGACCACTCAAAGTGCTTTTACACTACATCTGCATTCACCAGTCACACACATTCATACACTGAGCCTAAGTGCTCAAACGGAAACTAACATTTACACACATTCATCAATCACAATTGGGGTTGAGCCCAAGGACACTTCGACACGCAACCAGGGGGAGCCAGGGATTGAACCGCCGACCTTCCAATTAACGGCCAACCCGCTCTACCTCCTGAGCCACAGCCGCCCCAGCAAAACCCCTGATTCTATTGAACTCTGTCATTCTGAGTTTTATTGCTTATGAATTCAGCTTTTTGTTAGAAATCAATTTCTGTAAGACCTTTGTGTTAAAAAGTATTGGCCATAGAGTCCATAGAGTGACAGCGGTTTAATGTATTTTATTAATTAATTATATGCATTTAATTGATAAAATTGTATTGAGACAGAGTCTGAAGTTACTATAATGCTTTTGAGATGTTGCATTCACACATCGGTCTTGATGAAATACCATTCCACACACAAGGTGACAATAAAAAAAAAAAATGGATACATCATATCTACATAATCATATTACTGACTGGGTGCCCTACCTGTAGTGTATTACAGGTGAAGTCAGACTGCTCGTCCCCCCAGACGCTCTCAGCAGCAACAACCAACACCATGACCCGGAAAATAAAAAGCACGGAGAGCCAGACTTTACCCAGGCTGGTGGAGTGACGGTTTGCCCCCACTAACTGAGCGTAAAGAAGAGGCCAGGACATCCTGGGAAAAAGAAATATGAGAATAAGACTACAATACTATGATACTAGTTACCAGTATAAAAGTTTGTTTCTTTATTTTGGATTTTGTGTACCAGGTTTGTCTCCTGGTACCTTTGAACAACACATCTGGCAGCAACACAGATGGAAAATCAGAAGAAGGCAGTGGCAACAGATGAAAGCAGAGAGAGGCAATAAAACAAAGGAGTAGTTTGAAAGAAGAAGAGAATGAAAAGGAATGAAAGTGAGAGGAGGAGGAGGAGAGAAGGCCAAGCGCCAACATTCATGTGAACTGATGAACCTCTCTGCCCACTGTGGACTACTGAAGTGAGCCCACTCTACTTAAAACACACTGAACACACTGTACAGACCCACACGACTACAGTCTTCACTGAGCCTCACCATTCATAGTTAACGATTCACTGATTATTTGAATGATGTGGATTGGACTGATATGTGATATGCATGACATATTCCTTAAGAACAGTTGTTTCCAGTTGTAAAATGCTTTTTTTCTTTTTTAAAGATAATGAAATGTTTTATTTTCTAAAATCCATTTCCCAAAACTGATTCTGCCTTTAGACAATGCCATCTCTTCAAATCAAAAAGATAAAACACTTTTCTCACCTTGTGTCTGGAGAGTCAGGTTGTTTGTGGGAAAATATTCCACATGGTCCTTTCAAGCACAAAAAGAAACCATCAGCTTACTGTTACACAAGTACTGCCATAATAAAAATCTAATCAAATCTGGATCTAAAATACTGAATAAATCACAAACCTGCAGCTCCTGCTTTCTTTGCATGAAGCAAAAGATGCGCCTCCAGTGTCAAATCAGCCAGAACAATATGAGATGACTTCCTGTGAGGACTTTCAAAATAAAACCTCACAGTGGCAAAGCTGTCGCTCTTTGTGTATGTAAAGTATACTGATGATGTTGTTTTTGAAAGTTTCGGGGAGTAGTGAAAACAGTGAAAACAGTGAAAGGTCTGTGGAAAATCTTGACAAAAAATAATGGTCACTGTCAGGGACCAAGGGAAAAAGGCAAATGGACAAAGGTGTCACACAAGGTTAATGAACTTACAAAAAGTTGAAAACAGAAGTTAATAAATCCTAATATAGGGCCCAAACTAAAAGAGGTAAACTAAGCAATAAAGAAACTCAATTAAACAGAACACAACATAATTAAACATACTTCCCTCCAGATAACACAACAGAGGCACTAGTCCTAGACAGACACAGGGGTGAAGCTTGATCACACAATAATAATAAACATCTAACCCAGGGGTTTTCAAAGTCTGAGACTGTGGCTTCCACTCAGACAAAGCTTGGTGTGCCGCCCATTGATTGAATGCGAGACTCCGGTTCCGAAAAGGCGCCCCTCACCCTCCCTTAGTTTACTTGCTTAGTGTCGCTCAATTCCTGGATGCCTGTGTGATCACCATTATGTCATTTGATCCCATAAACTCTCAACATTTGAGCCCAGATAGTCTAAAATTGCTGTTTGACATAACTTCAGATGCAACCAAATGCATACAAAAGTTCTGTCCGAACTTTCTTTAACCAAATCAGATCTCCTCTCTTTGACTCTCCTCTCTTTATTAACAGATGTAATAATTAATGCGAAATCTTTTTTCACTTCCAAACAAAAAAAGATTTTAAAGTATTCTGGATTCAAATTTCCTTCCTCCATCTTCCACATCAAAGGCCATCTTTCCCAGGCTTCAGGCCCTTTGCCAGAGGAGCTTAGTAAGATAAAAAAAAAAAGGCGTTCCTTTCAATTTAAAGGACCATACAGGAGAATGTTAACTAATTTGTGTGCAACTAAATGGTCATAAATTGAATTAAGTGTGTATATGAACACAAAGGACTATGTGTGGTGTTGTGGGTGTCAACCAAATGTAACCAAATGTAAAGAAATACTAACCCAGGATGTGGCCGTCTCATTATCAAAGCAACAAGTCCAAGATTAGATAGTGACGGATCTTCTTGCAACCATTTTGCTTTTCTAGCACATGCCTAGTCCACGTGGTCGCAAATTTTAGGCGCTGGCAGCATGGATGTTCATCAGCATGGGAAGATGATGAATTTTTTAATTATGTAGATCCACGTAGAATCTCGCAGCCAAGTGGGCGCTGCATGAATTAGGATTCAGTTTTCATAGCCTCAAGCCTAAAGCCATGATAACATGATATCTTTTTTTAACTTTTGAAAGCTCCTACGGAGCCACAGGGGACGTTATGCAACTGATTTTGCAGCCATGGTACCACTATTAATTTGACAGTTAGAATATTAAATGTTACGCAGCTCAACTTTTATAGGTGAATATAAAATGTTTACTATATATATATTGTTCTTACAGGGTGCCCATTCAGTGTGGAAGTCAGAGGGTTGAAAGGACAAAGTTGCATTGTAGTTCAAAGGTGTGTGCGTGCGTTTGTGTGTGTGTGTGTGTGCGTGCGTTTGTGTGTGTGTGTGTGTGTGTGTGTGTGTGTGTGTGTGTGTGTGTGTGTGTTACCCCGCTGGAACTGTAACAGGACACAGGTAGAGAGTCAACGTGACTTTTCAGAGCCAAACCATCACTTGGCAGCAGGCAGCCTGTAGGACAGTGCAGCTCTGTGTGCTGCTAATGACTGGGACGGATTTTCCCACTGTTTGTTGAAGTGTGGGAGCAAAGGCAACTTCCTCAGTTTACACTGTGGACGCTCACAAAACTGGAATGAAAACTTTTCAAGAACAACTACATTCTGCATTTTCTGCTTGAACTATGTTAGGATAGGTATCCTAACATATTTGTATTTTGGTGAAAGATAATATAGATATAAAGATAATGAAGCGTAATAAAGAGTTGGTGGTGGTGTATTACAGACGCTTTATTTATTTAGTTTAGAGTTCCCTCTGCATCACATAACAGCACATAACATAACATAGTATTTATGGTTGCTTATGGATGTCTTACTTTACTGATGCTTGTATGTTGTTCCTGATATGTAAGTCACTTTGGGGTAAATGTATAACCCTGCAAAATGATCAGCAGTGATCTCGAACCAAGGAAAACATGGGTTGAAACAAAGAAGGCGTCAGTGATTCTAATGGAGTCATTAGGGGAATAACAATGACACTTATTCCTGATCTATATCACTGAATGGATGTCAGTGTCAGGACCAGACTCAAAGACCCACTGTTTGATCTTTCAGTCAGGACAGGGCTTTAAAAGAATACAGAGGGAGAAACGCTGGCCGATTGTTTCAAGCAGGTTCGTGCCATCAATTCTGATGAGAGGTGGTGGTGGTGCTGCTGGTGGTGGCGGGGTCACACAAAGTGAATGAGTAGGGAGAAAGAGAGAGAGAGGGGTAAAATAGAGCTGATTGTTAGAGTAGCTCCTGATCAGCCAGCCAGCAGGAGAACAGAGCGGGCCAGTGTCAGGATGCATGCACAACCACACACTGTACAAGCACACACACACACTGTACAACGCTCACATATATGTTACCCAGAAAACTACACACACACAGACACACACACTGTAATGAGTGAGGGGGAGAGCAGCATGTGACTGAATAGCAGGTCTCAGTTCTGTAGGTGGACTTGGCTGACTGGTCCTCGATCAGCCACTCTCCACTGTATGAAAGTCTGTAAAAGCCCTGCGACACATCCTGAACTTGCAGATTTTAGTTTCCCCTTCAATAACATTGAGCAGGTTCTCTGCAACAGTCAGATTTCTTTTGGTGCTTTGCAGACTTGATGAAACTACATCGCATTAACAAGGCAGAGCATTTTGAAAAGATACGGTATACTGAAAATGAATACACTGAAATGCACCAGAACATTCCCAGTAAAGTCCAGTCCGTCAGAACATCAAACAATACGTGCACAGTCACAGATAATAAACCACTATTACTACATATTGTTTGTCCCAATTCTTTTTTAGAGTTTCAGTGAATGGTGAGAACCGTTTGTGGAACTGTGGAAAATTATAAAAACAAGACTCCCTGCGTCAAGTCTTGCTCTAAACACAATTTCCATACTGCGTGTGTTTTATTAAACCATCCCTGCCTCCAAAATGCCTCCAGATTTCAGTCACACTGAAGTAGTAGTGGATCCAGTCCATACTGAAACATCTCAACAACCATCAGGTGGATTGCTATAGACACAAACAGTCATGTTCCCAAGAGGAGGTGTCCTAATGACTTTGGTGATCCTCTGACTTTCCCTCTAGCACCACCATGACGTTCACATTTGTGACATATTAAGTGAAACTGCTGGATTGACCTGAAATTTGGTACAGGCATTTAGGCCCCCCTCCCAATCCCTTGACTTTTCATCTAGCGCCATCATCAGGTCAAAAAATTATAACAATTTTCCCATTACTTTGGCTCATGACCAAATACATGCAAAACTGATGGCATTCCCATCAGCATTAGCTGTACTTTGGAATGTACATTATGCAGATCCACATAGACACTTGAGGCCATGCGGGTGCGGCAAACATGAATTAGGATTTAGTACTCATAGTCTCAAGACAAAATAACCCAGATGACATCATCTGGAGGGTGGGGTTTACTCAGGACGCAATAAAACAAGACTTTAAAATATGTTAATCTTCAGTAGCTTTTTAGGCAAACAAAAATAAATCTCATACACATTACATAAAGCAAAAACTGCACCATGTATAAACTTGACATGAGTTTATGCCCTTGTATAGTGAAGTCCCGGAGCTATAGGTCTAATTAACGTTTGGCAGAAAGAATGGGATACAGACATAAAAGGGAGACATTTTTATAAATACAGAAATCATATTAAACAGGTTAGTGGAGGATATCTTAACGGGAGAGAGAAGCTCATCATAACAAGATTAAGGTTTGAGCACGCAGGGGTACACTACACGTTATATTTAATGGGGAAATGTCAAACAGATCAGTGTCAGTGGTGTAACACCAGGAGATGTAAAGCACATTATCATGCAGTGTAATAATTCAGAAAGAGGGACATTAAAGAATGTAATGCATGAGACAGGACAGGAATGGGGTTTAAAATAAATACTGAGCTCAGGACAGGACTTCGGGAAGTAAGAAGGGTGTTAATTGATAATATAAAATTGATTATATAATAATGATCCTTAATTATAGAGCACTTTTCAAAACCATGTTACAACGTGCAGAGACAATAAAACAGATGAGGGTTAGGAAATAGGATGTGAGGTTTAATTTTATTTTATTGATAAAGAAGAAGAAAAGATGCGTAGACTGCCTTCTCACCCCGAAACAGTAGGGAGGGATAGAGTTGTTGCCACAAAGACACCGGAAACGGAAACGGCGCGTTTGCATTTCGTTGCTGCAGCTACGATAAAATATTCAAGCAAGGTGGTCGAAGTCTCTAGAATACTGCAATAATATATCGGGTGAAACATAACTATGGCTCTTGAATCGCGGATCACACAGGAAGAAATTAAGAAGGAACCAGAGAAGCCTATTGACCGAGAAAAGGTAGAGTTTCTACTTCAGAGCCTGTTTTGCTCGTTTCCTCTGCTAGTGCTAGCCGAACAATTCAGTCCGGAGGCTGGTTGATTTATGTTCAGGACAAACTCCAAAACATCCTAACATGACCTTACGTTTACATACAAATAACGTTATAATACAAGTAAGTCATTTCAAGCTACGTGGTGCTCTGCATTAGCACGAAAGAGTCAAAAACACAGATGTTGAATAGTAGCCTCTGCAGCGTGCTAGTGCTAGCGTGCTAACTAGCTTAATCATAAATAACATTATCGATTCCTCATCAGCCAGCGGATGCAGAAGTTTTGTAGTTTACACACTGCTTGAGACTTTGATCAGGAGGACTTGCTTAACATTTCCTACGGGGATTGGAAATATTTCAATGAAACGTTATGTGTTCATGCTTTTGAGTAGATAACATATGTTACTGTATGTAAAGATATTTAAATAATTAGCCAGAATCACAACTTTACTTTATGGTAGAGCTGCAACGATTAATCGATTAATTGTCAACTAGTATTAAGTTAATCGGCAACTATTTTGATAATTGGTTAATGTTAAGTCATTTAGCTTTACGAGGACGACTATTGTCTCCTGTCTTTGCCCTTTTCCACCTATATTAGAGTTACCTGGTTCAGATTTGACTGCTTTGTTTTACCACTGTGAACTGATTGTACCACATTTTGATCCGATTCCACACACAATTACTGTGGGGGATATTTGAGAAAAAGTCAATTTGGCCTTTGGGAAACACTGACATTTTATAGACCAAACTACTAATAGATTAATCAAGAAAATAATCGACAGATTTACCACTAATGAAAACAATCGTTATTTGCAGCCCTAGTGTGTGGTAGAGACCCACAAAGTTAACATAGCAAAATGTAACTTTCAGGTCTTTTGCAAAACGGCTCAATCAAACTCTTGGAGTTCGTATTCTGCATTCAAAATACAGTAAATTACAGTAGTACTTTGGTGGGATTTGAGATGACTCGGGCCAGTTTTCACAGGTGTTAATAATATTCTTTCCACCTCAATTCATTTGGGGTAGACAAAGTATTGCATGCAGATACTTTTTACATCAGAATGGTAAGTTTATGCATACAAGGGTTTGCTTCGGTATATTGGTGCATTATAATAAATATTAAGGATAAGTAGATAATAAGAATAAGTATATAATACATAAATAGAACATAGACAAAATATATTTTTTTAAATGTGTACCATTATGAGTGATTGGTAAATTCGTTAAACATTAGTACTATCATGAATATTAATCATTTCAACACCTAAGGTTAATAACAGTAGTCGTAGTATCTGCGGCATATTGACAGTAAAATTGTGGAGTTGTAGTTGGACAATGTGACCGCCGAAGAGCAGTGAACTTTCTGAACTCCACCACTGACACGATGTACGCTTCCAGAGCAGACTTTCAAAATGAAATGTCTAAAATACACAGGTGTGATCCCCATGTTGTAGCAGTTTCCATGAATGTTTTACTGGCTCATATCCATGTGGTTCATGCTGATCATTTTAATATCACATTTATGTGATGGTAAGGAACCAGTATATTACGATATAAAAAAATATTTTCTGTATTCGGATTCATTAGATTACGCTTCTATATTGTCTTTCTCAGCGGGCCCTTTCTGCACACTCAACCTTTTCTTTATACCCTTTTGTTTGGTTCTTATTTTTGTTGCAGACCTGTCCCCTTCTGTTGAGAGTATTCACCACCAACAGCGGCCGACACCACAGAGTAGATGAATTTGCCCGTGGCAATGTTCCCTCCAGTGAACTGCAGATCTACACATGGTGAGACTCAAACATTTCACCCGGTTTCTTTCAGAATCAGAATCTTAAGGAGCTTTATTGCCAAATAGTGTTTTACACATACGAGGAATTTGCTGTGGTGATAAGGTGCTACATGTAGACAAACATACAGTCAACATAAATAAATGTAGATATATATAAATATGGAATGAAATTGGATGTCGTTGGATGTGGCAGTTGAGCATTTGCCGAAGTTTTAAAATGAGTTTATTTATTATGAGCAATAAAAATAAATAAAGCACCTTGTTGAGGTTCTTTCCGATGTGAATGTAGGACTTCTGTGTGTGTTTCAGGATGGATGCTACTCTGAAGGAGCTTACCAGCCTGGTGAAGGAAGTGTATCCAGAGGCCAGGAAAAAGGGGACCCACTTCAGCTTTTCCATCGTCTACCCCGACCCTAGAGGGAAAGTGTACAGGTTGGTATCGCATTATAATAATAATAATTATAATACCAAGTGCTGCATTACCACAGCACTTGTTTGATTCATGGAGCAGGCCACTAACTAACGGCTGTGGTGAACTTGTGTGCACTGTATGTTGACCAATGTGCTCTGTCCCCCTCTAAGGTTGAAAGATATCGGCAACACTATATCTGGCAGGAAGGGCACAGATGACTCCATGACGTTGCAGTCTCAGCGCTTCCAGATTGGAGACTACCTGGACATCGCTATCACGCCACCTAACAGAGCCCCGCCCCTTAGCACACGCATGAGGCCCTTCTGAACATACACACGCCAACATGCATACTCTAACCAACATGTTTGTTTTTTAAGTTTTTTCTTTTGCATCATCTTGGATGTTTTTTTTGCCTCATTTTATAAAAATTGAAGTGTAATAAAGTTTTTTCCAACACTTTCTGTCTCTGTAATGGTGTATATTAATATAAAATTATTAAATTATTTTTAGTGCATTAAACCGCATTTGTATTGCGGAAATAAAACCATTTTATCATATTGAAGTTTTTTGAATACTGTAACATTTGGAGTCACAAATCCTGGTGGCACCACAGTCCTGTTTCAGATTTTGAAGTGTGGAAACTTCTAATACAGTAAATTGTAAATACTCTGGGAATCGTGTAAGTTGGGAGGTAGTGAAATCTCAATTTATTTATTTATTCAATGAAATTTAGCAGGACAGTGCACATAAAAAAACGTTGATGTAAATGTGCCAGAGTTAACCCTTGGACAGCTGTTTCACAGTCATTTAAAATTAAGTCATACATTATGAGCATACAACAAAGTGAGATACAAGAAAATGTACTTTTCAAGTACTATTAAAAAATAGGCAACATGCAACCCAAAGCTCATTATGAGAGTATATAGACAATAACTGAAACAATATGGACATAGCAGCACGCACAGTATACACACCAGTCTAATCCAGAAAAACAAAATCATAAATATCAAATTAAATTCAGAGTATCATCAGTACCTTAAGTGGTTGATTTCCAATACTGGAATGAGTTAAATGTCACTCTAAGCTGCAGGGATGTCAGTCTTCGAAATGGTACAACATTAAATGTGCGTTTTTGTGTACTTGAAGCCAAAAAAAGAAATAGGTGTGGTGCGCAGATGGTCAGTAAGGAGAAGTTTATTTTGATAGTTCTTACAGGAAGTCGTAGGTTTTTCCGGTTGCGCATGCGGGATACGACTAAGGAACAGCTTGCAGAAAAAACAGCCAAGTTAGTAAACTGGCAGCTACAGAAAGCAGTTATTCATACAGAAAACATACGCTGAAATGTTTCGGAGAAAACTGACAGCGATAGACTATCACAATCCAAACGGATTTGACTGCACAGGTAAGAAAAAAGTCGCCAAAAGAGCTTTTGAATTAGGTTTGGTGAGTGGAAACGTGTACGCAGGTCCTGTGTCACTGGAGACAACGTAAATGACAACGTAATAATATGTTTGACTGACAAACATATTATATGTACGTTAGAAAACGAGATTAAACCTTTTAATATTCGACATGTTAGCTAACGTTAATTGTGTCCACAGTTTTTTCTAATGACAAAATGTCATTGTTCTGCTCTGTAACTAGTGGAAAATTAGCGATATAGCAATCGATATATAACGTTAAGTTATAAACAATATGAAAGAAGGATCATTGCTGGGCTGTAAATTTCAACTTACTACTGTCAAAGCAGTGCAAAACGTTAGCCAACTTACCTCCGACTCAAATGTGAGAGTTAGCAGCTGCAACAATTAATCGGTTACCACTATTAAATGAATCGCTAACTATTTGGATAATCGGTTTTTAAGAAAAGTTATTTGATTCCAGCTTCTTAAATGTAAATATTTTTTGGTTTCTTTACGCCTCTATGACAGTAAACTGAATATCTTTGGATTGTGGATAAAACAAGAAATTTGACGACGTCATCTTGGCCTTTGGGAAACACTGATTGACATTTTATAGACCAAACAACTAATCGATTAATCGGCAGTTGTAGCCATTAGCAGACATAAAGCGAACACGTTACTCTGCTTCTTACAAAGAAGGCTGACACTTCAGTTATTTATGTATTCACTTGTCTGTTTTATGACGCTAAAGTATAGTGTGAGATGTTGACATTTGTCCATTGATTGACACAATTGTGCCCCCGCTTCTTCTCTGCTCAGATGAGACCCAGTTTAGGAACTGCATCGTGTGGCTGGAGGACCAGAAGATTCGCCATTATAAAATCGAGGACCGAGGAAACCTGAGGAACATCCCCAGCTCAGACTGGCCCCAAGCCTACCAGAAGGTGAGCCCCACCAGCGTACTGCCAGTTTTGAACGTGTTAATGACAACATCATTCAGATTTCCGGACTCTGCTTTCTAGAAAATACCACCTTAGAGCAGAGGTGGATGGTATTTATGAATCTTGGGTACATGCATGATATGTGCTTGAATTTCTTTTTCCTATGTGCAGTACCTGCAGGATGTGAACTGTCCATTTGGAGTTCAGGAGAGGCAGGAGGCTCTAGACTGGTTACTGGGCCTGGCTGTGCGATATGAATATGGAGACAATGGTAAGATGGCAGCACGTGTTTGACTGCGGGGGATCATTGCAGCGTTGTTTGAGATGTCAATCATAATTTTAAAGGATGACTACAGTAACTGTTAAGCATATTTCCAGTGTGGCCTCTCTCCCCTCTTTAAAAGTTATCATGTGACTTTTGGTTGAGCTTTTGTCAAACACATTTTTGTTCCTGGGTAGTGAGTGTTATTTCCTAATTGCTGTATAGAAATGGTTTATTATTCCCCACAAACTTTGCTTTTGTGACCAGGATAGTGATCTTTTTATAAATGTACCTATTTCCAATGAGAAAACGGGTGAATTTGTGTCTTTTCACATAAAGTCAGAAGAAAATTACATATGAATCCAAATTAACATGGTTTTTAATTTAGTCTAGATGAGACCCTGGTGAAGAACTAAAGGCACAGTGGGCTGAGCATGTCCCTCAAAGTCCATGTCCTTGATGCTCATCTTGATAAGTTCAGGGAGAACATGGGAGCGTACTTGGAGGAGCAAGGCAATCACTTCCACCAGGATACTCTGGACTTTTAACACCGCTACCAAAGACGGTAGAACGAGACCATGATGGGAGACATTTTTGGGGGCTGATCCCTTATTAACAGTTTAATCGTAAATCTTTGAAAAACTACTCACATCTAAATCTTTGTAGTAATTTTTGTATTACTTTAGTATAAATAGATTTTATCTGACTTTATGTGAACGAAAAGACACAAATTTGCCTGTTTTCTCATTGGAAATAGGTACAGCTGTTAGGAAATAACACTTATTGTATTATGTAATGTTATGTTATACATAACTCAGTACTGCTGTGCTGTAATACTGATGGTGACCAGTAGATGGAGACGTTATAAAACGAATAATGTTTTCTAAAGATCCCAGCTCACCAGCTTACTTTTGCTACACAGTCAAGTTATTCTTTTACAGAAAGTAAGGTAGGAAATCTGTGAACAAATGAAAAAAATTATAGTCTTTATATTCCTGTTTGGATCCTCACGTGACACGCTATATATTCTCTGTACAATGTCACAAACTGGCTTTTTAAAAACGTTGTCAAGCCGTTGCTATAATCCCTTCAAGTTAATGTTACGCCATCTTCAGTGTCACTTATTCACTCTGCTGCTGCGAGCTAAATGTGTGTACGTGTTTGTCTCGGCTGTGTCTCTCCTCAGTGGACAAGTACAAGAAATGTGAGCCGCTGGCGTCTTCCAGCAACAGTGACAAGTCGGTGGACCCTCTCGTCAACCTTGACAGTAAGTTGAAACGCTTCTCTGCTCCTCCGCCTGTCCTTACACTTTGATTTCTCCCGTTCTGTCCTTTTTTCTTTGTGATTTCCTTCATCTCGTTCCCGGGTGAAAGACGAAGTCATCCATTGTTTGTGTGTTTGCAGGTGATTGTCCACATTTCAAGGCAGGAGTGACCGCCCTGGCCAACATCCTCAAGATACAACGACATGATGACTACCTGGTTATGCTCAAGGTGGGAGAGTGCTCATGCGCCGATTTGTGTATGAAGATATTTTATTAAATGCATTCCCTGATGAATTCAGGTTTTGTGTCTCAGCTTCTCTTAAGACTTGTTTTTATTATCACTATATACTTGTTTAATAGAAAATTGTCAAATTAATCAGTTTCTGTTTTCATGTACTCCTGCCAGGCCATCCGTATTCTGATCCAGGAGAGGCTTTCTCCAGAAGCCATCACTAAAGCCAGCCAGAATAGAGAGGTATTGAAAACTTGTGATAGATGGGCCGATATCTAGCATTTTCGAGATAATCGAGATTGGCAGATACCTGCACTCAAGAGGCTGATATATCATCCTAAATGACGGCAAATCTAATCTAAAACCATTACTGGCTACCGTTAAATATATATTATAATACTGTAGAGAATAAGAGATGGAAAATGAAGCTGAATTTTGTCACTTCTGACAAACTGTAACCCGCTCTCCCTTAAACATCAGTCATGTTCTGAAACCTACAGCAGAACCCAAAGTATTTTTCTATTTTATTAATTAGAAAAGATTCCCTCTAAAACAGCACGTAATTAAGTGCTAAGTTAATCATGTATATTAGATTGTACTTTGCATGGAATAATGGAATTATACATGACTTTTCTTTGTTTTGATATCTGCATTATAGATCAGCCATCGGCCGCCCTGCTGTCTAAATATCAGCGTTTCTTTTTTTTTACTCAAGAATTATATCTAGAGGTTCTTCTATTTACATCTCACATTCTTCCACTAAGTTAGGGCGCATGTGAGAGACAGATTAAAACAGAATAGAGCTCCATTATACAACTGTTTTCACAGGCTGCGTTACCTCTACTCTCCTAGTCAGTGAACTTTGTGTGTTGAATCACTTTACTCAAGTGGTTTAAATAAGGAAACATCTTGGATCCTTGGATTTTCAGTCTTAATTTTCTCGTCGGCCAGGATGATAATGTCTGCAGTCCCAGTCGTGTGTATTTGTAAAATCCGTATGTGCCTTTGCTTCCCAGGGTGTTCCAGTAGCTTTAGACAAGCACGTCTTGGGTTTCGACACTGGAGGTGAGTGCTGCAGGATTGGCCAATTGATGTTGAAGAGTTTGTTTAGAATGTTTTACAAAAGATGGTCCCTAACCTTTTTGGATTGTGACCCCCTTAAAATGAAGCAACATCTACTTGTGTGGTTATGTGAGCAGCGGTTTTTCCTATTATTTATTATTAAAACAAAAACTAGAAGAAAATCTAACATTTCCTGTAAAATATAATATTGGTGTGAACACACGTGTATCCAACAAAACTTTAAAGGAAAGTAATTTCTTCTCAGATGCGACTCTGAACGAAGCGGCCCAGATCTTGCGCCTGCTGCACATCGAGGAGCTGAGGGAGCTCCAGACCAAGATCAACGAGGCCATCGTAGCCGTTCAGGCCATCATAGCCGACCCCAAGACAGACCACAGGCTGGGCAAGGTCGGCAGATGAGTGAGGATGAAGAGGGACGCTGGAAGCAGGAAGGGAAGGACTGAATCATGGGAGTTTTAATTTGATTTTGAGAGAAAAGGCCTGTCTTCGTTTGAGTTGGATGAGTTTGCATTTTTGCCGTTATTGAGTGATATCGGACTGTTAAAATTGTTGGGAATGGGAATTTGGCGCGAAGTTGAGCAAATGGCTTGTTTTTTTAGATGCTGTTATTAATTTTTGTACAGCAGCATGGTTAAGTTGATGCCAAAACACGTTGTAGTGATTGCTCAATAGTTAGTATTTAAGGATTCATTTTCGCTTTAATGTTAAGTCGTTCACCTCTTCAGAGACCAAGGTTGAACCTTGTGATCGTCTCTCCCTCAATAGAAACCAGTGAAGCTTATGAAATGTTCAAACTGACAGATATTTGTTGCAGAGAGAACTTTTTTGTAGATTGAAGAATCGGCTATTTTGAAACCGTTTACATTGACGCTGTGTGGGAAAATATATAAATACAGCTGAATGGAGTTTGGCTCCTGTGCTTCTTGTGTGGTGGATGTTCACATGGTAATTTTCCTCTGTTGAGCATGAAGGAGCATCAGAGTTTGGACATAAACACAAAAGAACTCAAATTACCAAATCACATTTTATTGTTATAAATATCACATCTTATAAAAAGATAAAGATTTAAAAAGTAGTAGTAGTAAAAAAATTGGCAAAAAAAGAAGGTAACATTTCATCATGTGTGAAATACAGATTAGTAGTGCAGAGAAATATGGCAGGACTGTAGTCACTGTGATCCGAGCGTGGCATAGGGCAGAGGGACATAGATTACAGTAATCTAATAACAAAAATTATTTGTATCACTTAGCAATGGCTATGATTTTATGGAATTAGAAAAATAAAAAATACATCCGTTTGTCTTTATTTGTCGTCATAGTTCGACATTTTGGGAAATACACTTCATGTAAAGTTAAATGAGAAGACTGATCTCGTATCTTTACGCTAAATATTAAGCTATGCCCGGGAAATGATCAGCTTAGTTTAGCCTAGCATAAAGACTGAAAACAAGAGGAAACCGTTAGCCTGGCTAACTGCCAACAAACAGCTGATAACTCCCCTTAAAATGACAGTTTTTGTAGATTAAACAAGATAAAATGTTAATTAGTGAGCTTTTAGATGTGCTTGTACCTTTGGGATTATAGATTCATTAGACATTCATGCTTTTGACAGAGCTAGCTAGCTGTTTATACCCATGTCAAAGCTAACCGTCTCTTTGTTGTAGCTTCATATTGTACAGACGTGTGGTACCAATCTTCTCGTCTAACTCTTGGCAAGAAAGCAATTAACACATTTCCCAAAACATTTAACTAGTCCTTTGAAGTGTTTTAATGAATGAAGAATAATTACACTGAATTCAAAAGCCACCCTGGCCTGCTGACCAAAAATAAATCTGCTGCTCTGCTGAATTTTGGCTCAACCTGTTTTAAAGCTCTTCATATTCTTCTTTGGCTTTAAAGAACAGAAAACCTACACTCAAATACATTTTAAAATCTGATTTCATTGTTCTGTAACTTTTAAATTGATAGAAAAACAACTCGCGTACAAAAATACAGTAGAATAAAAAAACAACCAAAAATGAGGTATAAAACAAATTTACAAAACATTTATTGTGGGGGTTACATCTTTAGGTGAGATAAGGGTGTTGGGGTCAGGGTGAGTGGAGGGGTTGTAATTTGTTCTGATGGTCGATCTGGCAACAGGAAGCCATCTTGCTCGCACTTCAGGGTGGCCCTGCCCTCTGATCAGTAATCACCCCAGAACTTTAGCACCAAAAGAACCATGCGGCTGCCTGTCCGTTGTTAGTGGCTCCCTGAGACACAGAAATCAGACACAATTTTTATCACTTTAACACATTTCTAGGGGAAATAGTTTATAGCTACAGGTGCAAATGAAGCGTTACAGGTCTGATTTTCTCTTCCTGTGTGACAGGATGAAAGCTCAAGCGCTGAAGTGGCCTAACGACAGAACAAATAGACCCTCCATCATGAACAAAGCCCTGCACTTAACAACTTGTGGCGGCTAAGAATTATCTCTGTAAAGAGTATGTGTGTGTGTGTGTGTGTGTTCATAAATTCAACAAAAGCAGCGTTTAAGCCTCTTACAATCAGCTCCCAAACCCTTAACGTGTGTTTTAGAGCTGTCATCATGGTCAGAATTACACCACACAGCAACATCTTTGAAGCAAGTGGCTGTTATTTAGTCTGAGGCTTTAGAGTGTGAGAGGAGGTGCAGGCTCGACTTTTACAGCAACACACACTAGTGACAGCCGTCGTTCAGGCCAATTTTGAGAGTCAGACGCACAAACTGAATTGTGTGCCCAAACTTTTCTATCGTGAGCAGATTTTACGCTGCAGATGTGTGTAGCTTTGATAACAACATCTGCCAAGGTGCTACTTTAAGGATTATCCTGTGTTTAAAGGGCTACTTTGTACTTTAAAAGGTGTTTAATACAAGGCTTTCAAAAGACTTGAAGCCATCTGTAGACGTCAACACATTGGACATGACACACAAGCACAAAATACAGGTCGAGGGTCGCAGCCAGCTGTGTAATCATTGTTCTTGTGTCTATTTCACAGATATGTGTGTGGAGTCGTCACACACACACACATATATAGATAGGTGTGGAGTAGACGGTGTAAGCCAGGTGTGTGATGACTGTTTTCTGGGTGCAGGGTGATGAAACGCTAACTTGTGTTTCTTCGGCCCAAAATAAAATCTGTTTTAACCTTCAGAGTTCAGCTTTTTATTGAAACCGGCAGAACAGAACTTCCCCTCCCAACCAGGTCCATTATACATCCAATATTCTGCTAATTATTTTCCATGCAAAAGATTCATGTTTGATAAATGCATGCAGTTTTTACAGATGTATATTTAGCATTTTAATGGTTAAGTGGCTGTTGCCAATATGCAATTTGTCACTTATTTCAGAAGATCTAGATGGGACATGTGTTATGACATCACACACTTCAAGTCTATTTCCTTCTTTTGGTTTTCAACATAACTACAGTGACTACAGGCGCTGTGAAAACACAGGTGACCTACACTCAATACTGTGGCCTGAACACGTAGGCAGAGACTGCGAACTGAAGTTGCTGCTATGCTAATGTGCTGCTTTTGCTAGGCAGCCTGTAAGAAGTTCATAGATCCTGTGTTTCCATTAGACTTGAATGCAGCATTTTCTCCGCTACATTCCTGTGTAGCGTAAACTGTGTTTTCCGTCTCGTGTAAATGTAGCCTTCAGGGTTAAAGGGTAACTTAGATATTTTTCAGCCTGGACCTTGTTATATTTTTGTGGCTGTGTGACTAACTGGGTCAAAGAAATTGAAATTGGTCCAATATTGAGCGAAACAGGCCTGCAGCGTATTCCTTGCTGGCAATTGTACCCTTAATGAAGTACTTTTTTTTGCCACTGACAGATTCAGATTGTTAGTATATTGTCTGACAACATTGTGGAAGGATCCCTACAGAGACAGACTTTTATTAAAGAGAGAGATCCTTTTTGTTTAAACAGAAACAGACGCTATATCGCTCTCATCAAAGCCACCAGACTTCGTTAATAAAAACAGTAATTTTACATTGCAGAACACAGGAGTTTCTGGTCTACCACTGTCATTTAGTTTGTTTGTATTATTATGGGACTTTGATGGGGTTTTTTTGGTTTGTTTTATTGTGTGACTTTGGTGATTTAAAAGGGTTAAAATCATCACAGTCACACAATAACACAAACTAACCGATTGAGACAGCGGTAGACAAGAGATGTTAAATTACTATTTTTGTTAAGGGAGTATGGTGGCTTTGACGAGAGCAATATAGTGTCTGTTTGTGTCAACAAAAAGGATCTTACTCTTGAGTAAAAAAACAAACAAAGGTCTATCTCCAGAAATGCAGAAGTTACCCTTTAAGGTGAAATCTGGTGGGAGTTGACTTTGTGCCTGTGTGCGCATGTTTGTGTGTGTGTGTGTGCGCGTGTGTATGTGAAAGAGAGTCATAATGCGCGCGTGTGTAAGAATTACTAAGGCAACCACATGAAATCACTAATACATAAAATCATGTTTAGCATTCATTAAAATTTTATAAAGTACTACACATATCTCACCTGATAGACAGTGGCTGGTTGCTATGGCGATGCCGTACAAGTGAGAGCGTTGGTCAGGCAGGTATTCATCAGTGAACTGACTGCTTACTTTACTCACTGCGATCACGCCATCCCTACGAGGCAGCAGACAAAGAGACAGAGAGGGGGGCACTGAGGATGGGGAAGGCAGCAGGGCTTCATACTGATCAGCGATCAGTAAAGAATAAAGCAGACGGTGCCGTAAAACGTCATACTGTTAAAACAGACAGGAAGATTAATGAAGATGGCTACCTCCTCCAGTCAGTGTAATAGAAGTGGTTCCTGTAGTAGACCATGCTGAAAGGGTAGTTGAGGCTGGAGTGGATCACTCGTCGACCTGAACCATCCGGGGATACACACTCTAAACGTTTTGTACCTGACAAACAGGGCAAACCAGAAAGGGGGATCATTATTATCTTAAGCACACGCAGCAGAATGGCCTCCGTCTGTTTATTTTTATATATTGTGGCGGTACAGATTCTACAGACGTCAGGGGGAAAGGTGCCCGAGGCCCAGTTCCTGAGCACATAATAAATAAATAAAATATCCCATTGGAGAATAAATCTCAGTATTTCAGTGAAGAAATGCCTCTTCAGTAAAGTAAAACAGGAATTGATTAAGGGGTTTTAAATGAAAACAAACCAATAAATAAATCTGGGAGCCTGCAGGCAGCGGGTAATGGTGGGCAAGGAAACATTTGGGCAAGTTACATCAAAGGCTCTATATTCATTCTGAGCTAAGATCCAGAATACAGCAGAGAGGTATCAGGAGGACCTAGAGGACAGCGCTTCAGGTGGACTTTGTCCGGGAGTTCTGCACACGTGTGCCCCAGGTGTGCAGGTATGCTCGTCTTCTTATGCCTTTGGTCACGCCCCGATTGGCCCAGAGGGAATCACCCAGCTGTTCTCAATCACTGCTGAGGAGTCGGTCCCCACACCCTGTGCAACAGGTGCTCTGAACGATCCTCTAATCAAGAACCAGAGTAATGTTGATACTGAGCCTAACTTCATGGGATAAAAGAAATTAAAATAGCAACAAATACATATTATTGCATTAATTATTACTGATGCATTCAATGTAGTAAAACTTACAATATTTCCCTCTGCAATTGTCGTGGAGCGGGAGTAATACTAAATAGAGGTATTCAAATAAACTACAAGTACCTAGAAACTGTACTTATGTACAGTGTTTAAGTAAATGTACTAAAATGGGAATGCTATATCCTGTACATTTAGAGCAATCTAGCAAATGATATTACTACAAAATTGTTTTTTGTCTTTTCCACAATTGTACCACTGCACCTCAATGCTGTGTAGATTGCTGCACTGTCTATACACTAAAACTGCTTTTAATCATTAATTTAGATTTCTCGATAGAGACCTGATACTTTATAACAGGGCATGTTGTATTGCACTTACAACAAAGATCACTGTCCTTTATCGATGACTGATCTTCAATGTTCGATCCTTTTTGGGAGAAAACTAACTACACAGAAACATAGATGATTTTTAAAAACATGTATAGGAGGTGACAGTACTTTTTTTCAGCCCTGTGTCTTGTCTGCAGATCTTCCAAATCTAGGATTTTAAAAAGTGAGCTCTACTAGTAATAGAAGTGGTAGTAGTAGTAATAGTGGCAGAAGCAGTTGGCGGTCACATTGACAGAGTAGCAGTAGCAGAAGCAGTGTTTACCTGCGTCGGCCCAGCACACTTGCCCTGAAGAAGAGTCATACGTGAGCGCGTTTGGCAAACCAATCCCGTCAGATACCACCACCCTGCGGTTGTGACCGTCCACTGACGAACTCTCGATCTTAGGAGCCTCTCGGTTCCAATCTGTCCAAAAGAGGGTTCTGCAGAGAGAAAAATACGTGTGAGGGATTAAACTGTAAATTATTTAACTGTATTGATTATGTTGACCATTTCAAAGTGGATAAGCATACCTACTGTTTATTTTTTTTATATGGACTTGTTTTGGTACTGAGCGCACAGATCTGGCTAATACAATGAGACAAGAGGAAAACCACATACACATAACAGCGGGTACATAAAGGTACAAGAGCGCAGGGCTCGAGGGAACAGCTGTCTCATGCTGATGAGGTCATGGTCAGGTTACTCTGAGCAATGTGCGACCTTTGACCCCAGCTCACCCAGTGCGAGCATTTCATCTGTATACATGAGAAAATATGGACCACACTGGCTAACAGAAAAACACATTTTTCAGTTTTGAATAAACGAGTGCCATATTTGTCAGAAAATGTTTTTTTTTTTAATGAATCAAATCATATTTTATTGTTTGCCTAAAGCTAAATGTGTGTGTGTGTGTGTGTGGGCTGCTTATGACACCGCATTGTTTTTCATCTGTAGATGATAGCCTACATGTGGGCAGTCCACTGGGAACTACAGGTAATGCACTCCACATGAGCAATCAACTTATATTTACACACACACACACACACACACGCCATTTATGAGTGTGTGTGTGTTAACCAAGTTGATGAACCTATGGATGAGCAGATGTTGGCGTATGACACATTCACACACGTGTACATGCTTTTACAATGTATGTGCGCGTAACTTGTGTAGCTCGGTGTGTCTGCTTCACTGTGTGTGGCTACATTTCTGTGTGTGAGTGTGTGTAAGGGCAACATGTGCAGGCTCAGAAATCACAGAGCACACGCTACATCATAAATAAGCGTACCCGTTTGAAGCAGTAATTACCTTTAGGACTTGGCTTTTTGTCAAAACACACACACTTGGCCTTCAGTCAGAAAATAAACTTTAAACTGTGTAAATCATTAATGTGAAAAACAAATTTAAGGTTTTATGATTTGGGTTGTTGCTGCTATGTTTAATCATTTGTATCAACCACATTAACACACACACACGCACACACACACACACACACATACCTGTTGATTATATGATTAGTTGCAATGATAAAAAGCAGATGTTATTCTTGGAAAGCTGACAGATGACGGCCTCATGCTTTCATTGTGTGTGAGACTGTCCAGGATTAATAGCATCAGTAAATCCAGTACAGTTTTCTTGGCCAGCTGGGTGCAACACCGTCAGAGAAAGCACTAAAAGTCACTTGTATGACAGAATGATCAAAACAAGCGTTGCTACAGGGACACTCCACCCTAAAATCCAAATCCCATTTTTCTATTTTTCTGCGATCGCCAGCCTCATACTGATGAAGTCATGTTCAGGTCACAGTCTCTCAAGTCTAGAAACCAGACTCAACAAGAACCCTTTCTGGAAAGGGCTTTAAATATAATCTGCACTGTACTAATGAATTAGACACAGGCCTTGTTGACTCATAGCCTGTCTGAGGACCTACTTGGTTTGATTTCTTGGTTGTGCTCATAGGCTGAAAACCATCTGTGCCCTTTTCTGGTATAAATTCACTCTGGATACAGTGAGCACCTCTGGGATGTTACACTTGATTGTGAAGAGAGTATGTGGGCGCTTGTTTGTTTCTTGCTCAGGGCACAGATTTGTACATGTTTGCAAATCCAGACTAAACTGTTGCAAGGATTCAGAAGTGGCAGGTTTTGTAAGCTGAATGGCTTGAGTTAGCAAGACAAAACAAAAAAGCCAGAAGGCAGAAAGACAAAAACAGAAGCTGGTGGATGTAAAAAAGTCTTTACCCGGTGTAAGAGTCCACTATGATGGCCCGGGGGTTGACCAAGTCTGTGTTAAACAGCGTCCGCCTCCCGCTGCCGTCCAGGTTGGCGCTTTCTATCATGTCAGGGTTGGAGTCCACCCAGAACATCAACCTACGTTTGACGTCCACCGCCAAACCCTCCGGACTGACCAGATCTACACGAAGCAGGGAGACAATATAAGCAGTATTGAGATGGTTCAAAACATCATATAAAATGTATTATAGAAATGAAGGAGTGTGAGTGTGTCCTCTTACTTGTGTTAACGAGTATCTCAGGCTCGGCTCCAGGTGCCATCGACGCTCTGTTGATTGTTCTTGCAGACAAATCTGTCCAATAGACTCGGTTCTCCTTGCAGTCATGGGCTATACCAACAACTATGGAACCCTGGACACACACACACACATGAACATCAGCATACACATCATGAGTTATCTGATCAGTGCTGACTTTACGTGGCTCATCCCTTTTATTATTTGTTCCATTTCCGGTTTTGCCTCTTAACCTTCGGTTGCTGATGCTAATGCTAATTAAATTTTTTTATTTATTTAAACATCTTTCTAAATAATCGCAGAGCCATTCATCTCTTACATGCAGAGTCAGTAGTGTTTTGGACCGGGCTGCGTCTAGTCTGGTCCCGTTGAGAGGCAGCGCTCCTATTTTCTGTCCCTGTGCGTACAGCAGTGTGACGTCAGTGTTTGTCAGAGGGGTCACGTCTGGGCGGGGCAATGGGCGCACAGTGGGTGGGGCCACTGAAGGAAGGCCTGGGACAAAATTGGATAGATTTATTAAAAACAGGTGGCGTGAAGCAGTACTGTCTTGTGTCATTTTGACTACTTAAACAGACGTGCAGTACAGGTGAAAAGATACTTACACGCAGGCTTGACAACATCGTGTGATCGGGTACCAGGAACTTCCCGCCCGTCCTGGTCCACACACCAGCAGTAAGTGGTCTCTCCGTAGCACTGGACTGGACTGAGAGACAACTCACTTTTTCAAGTAATTTGTCTTTAAAAGACAATTTCAACTACTGTTGTGTGTGTGTGTGTGTGTGTGTACCTGAATTGTCCATCTGGCTCGCACTGAGGTACATATTGTTGCGCCTCTGGTTTTCCACCATAGTGCTCAATCAAACTGGCCCTCCAGCGCTCACAAACACTCTCAGGGCGTTGGGTCGGAGGCACAGGGACTGAGGGGCACACGAATCAAACAAACCCAAAGATGTTACCATTTTTTAAGTGAATTATAATGCTACATGGTTGTAAAATTACTATTCAGATCCTATTCTGTTGTAGTTAATCATTGTTTAATTATATTCTCAGGGTGTTTTCTAGCTAGAGTTTATATCACAGTGATAGGTGGAGTGCTTGATTAATGGTGTGGGGAGGCACACATACACACATCTTGCTTTTGTACTGTTCCCTTTAATAACTCGCTTTATAGGAGAGCTTTAAAACTAAACCCGAAACCACTTTAGGCTTCCACTAATGTTTACACTGGCCTCTCTCCCTCTTTCTAATGTGAGACAGCACAGCCTCTAGACTAAAAAGGAGATTAGGATAATCTCTGAAAGGAGGGCGAGAAGATAACAGCTCTATGTTGAGAAATCAGAGAGGTAAAGAGAAACAAAGGCTAACTAAACAATTAGACTGATGTCTTGTAATAACTTTCCAGCAGGATTTATTGTAGTGGAGATCAGCATGCTGCAATCCAGTCTTGTGAATCATTTGGTTTTACTTCTATTTACTGCTGTTTAACCACATGACCAATGATATTATATTTATACTGACTTACTGTGTTGGCAATGAGTTATATTACTTATGTGGGTACACATAAATACAGACCAACTTCAACCAGCACACATATTTGAGAGTTTATTGTGGGTGTTTACATCATGTAAACTGCTAAAATTGTCTAATTATGGGGTTACATCCACGCAAATAATGTTTCTTGTCTCAACTCTTGATTTGGACCAGAGGATGTGAATCACAAACCAAAAATGAGCAGGAAATGTCCTTTCTTCCCTCATCGTGAACTATTACAGACATTTCCCTGAATACGGCTCCAGTGCAGAACTCACCAAAAAGTAAATAAATAAAAAGACTGTGGATGTACTGTACAGCTTCCAGGTGTGACTGAACGCAGCTGAATATGAGGTAAAGTAGTAATAAACGAAGTTGGGTTCATATGTACAACCATGTGTTTCTGTCTGTCTGTGCATCTGCACGGAAGGTGTAACACTGTTTTGTCACTCAGGCAGCCCGTCTTGTTTAGCTTACAGTTAACAGCTGGCAGCTCATCTGACCATGAAATGACCACTTCAGACGTTTGGATGGGCAAACATGGAATTCATAGCAAGAGGTGAATTTATAGAACGGCCTCTGTGTGTACGTCTGAGTGTAAGTGAGGGAGCGTCACAGAGAGGCAGAGAATCAAGATTTCCTTTCAGATGAATTTGAAAGAAGCTCTTACTCAAGTGTAATCACTGTGTCTATTCTAGACTGTCTTAAGGAATAATTCTTGCCAAAAGATGATAGATGAGAAGATCAGTACCACTCTCATATCTGTTTGCTATAGAGGTTTATAGCTATCAGCCTCTAAAGCTCACTAATTAACACTCTATATTTATTTTTTTTTTAAAACCGTACAAAAACTAAAGTGTAATTTGTGGTTTAACAAGGAATTGTGTGCCATACTATTGCTTGGCCGGGGCACAGTGACTTCCCAGAGTCTGGCTGTCACAGGCAACCGGCTAAGACTCTAGTGAGCTTTACAGGTGCTGGTAGGTAGATTTTGTTACCTATGGATGGAGCCAGTTTAGCTGCTTCCCCCCAGTTTCCAGTCTTTATGCTACGCTAATCTGCTGCTGGCCGTGCCCTAATATTGAGCTTACAGACATGAGGGTGGTATTAATCATCTCATCTAAACCTTGCCATAAAAAGCTAATGTGTATCCATCGTCAACCGCTTATCCTGCGTAAAAATTAAAAACTATTATTTTAACCTGAATTGTATTTCTCATGGATGCACACATCTTTGGCTAAATCAAAATCTGTGAAAGTGTCTTAAGCAGTTATAATAGTCTCACCTGATCTGTCACAGTCTACACGTGGTGTTCCAGGTGGAGTCCTGGTTCCTCTTCTCTCCTGTCCCGTACCGTCCACACACCAACAATGTCCAGTGGAACCGTGACACTGTAATATATATAACAATTAAAAACAATATTATCAATAATAAGACAATTAACCACAAAAACGAGGAAAACACAAAAAACAACTCTGTTTGCAGAGAAATCAGTTTTACCTGTCTAGGTGTGTACTGCCCATTAGCATCACATTGGGGTACATAGGCTCCAGCTATAGGACGTCCTTCTGAACTTGTAGTCTGAACACTGTCTCTTTGGTGCTCACAGTGAGTTTTAGGACGCTCTGGTTCATCTAGAGAAAATGAACAATTTTACATAACACAAAAATTATTATAGCAAATCTCAAGTCGCAGGTCTGGGCAATCTTGCCTAAAATCCATTTCAGCCCTGGTGAGTTTTTATGCTTCACAGTCTGGCCTGTTGGACCTCAACGTGCTTCATTAAATATACCATAAATATTTATGCAGCCTCACCTGGTCTGTCACAGTCTACACGTGGTGTCCCAGGTGGAGTCCTGGTTCCTCTTCTCTCCTGTCCCCTACCGTCCACACACCAACAATGTCCAGTGGAACCATGGCACTGTAATATATATAACAATTAAAAACAATGTTATCAATAATTAGAAGAATAAGAACAAATATGAGGGAAACACAAAAAACAACTCTGTTTGCAGAGAAATCAGTTTTACCTGTTGAGGTGTGTACTGTCCATTAGCATCACATTGGGGTACATAGGCTCCAGCTATAGGATGTCCTTCTGAACTTGTAGTCTGTGCTCTGTCTCTGTGGTGCTCACAGTGAGTTTTAGGACGCTCTGGTTCATCTGGAAAACATTTACAAGTTTACACGAGTTATGAAGAAACACACATATTGGTTGTAGCTAATCTCAAGTCGCAATGTTGCCTAAAATCAGCCCTGGTGAGTTTTTATGCTTCACAGTCTGGCCTGTTGGACCTCAACGTGCTTCATAAAATATACCATAAATATTTATGCAGCCTCACCTGGTCTGTCACAGTCTACACGTGGTGTTCCAGGTGGAGTCCTGGTTCCTCTTCTCTCCTGTCCCGTACCGTCCACACACCAACAATGTCCAGTGGAACCGTGGCACTGAAATATATATAACAATTAAAAACAATATTATCAATAATAAGACAATTAACCACAAAAACGAGGAAAACACAAAAAACAACTCTGTTTGCAGAGAAATCAGTTTTACCTGTCTAGGTGTGTACTGCCCATTAGCATCACATTGGGGTACATAGGCTCCAGCTATAGGACGTCCTTCTGAACTTGTAGTCTGAACACTGTCTCTGTTGTGCTCACAGTGAGTTTTAGGACGCTCTGGTTCATCTAGAGAAAATGAACAAATTTACATAACACAAAAATTATTATAGCAAATCTCAAGTACAAGGCAATCTTGCCTAAAATCCATTTCAGCCCTGGTGAGTTTTTATGCTTCACAGTCTGGCCTGTTGGACCTCAACGTGCTTCATTAAATATACCATAAATATTGATGCAGCCTCACCTGGTCTGTCACAGTCTACACGTGGTGTCCCAGGTGGAGTCCTGGTTCCTCTTCTCACCTGTCCCCTACCGTCCACACACCAACAATGTCCAGTGGAACCGTGGCACTGAAATATATATAACAATTAAAAACACAAAACCACAAAAACGAGGAAAACACAAAAAACAAACAAGCAGAAGAATCCGTCTCTGTTGCAGATCACAGTTTTACCTGTCTAGGTGTGTACTGTCCATTAGCATCACATTGGGGTACATAGGCTCCAGCTATAGGACGTCCTTCTGAACTTGTAGTCTGAACACTGTCTCTTTGGTGCTCACAGTGAGTTTTAGGACGCTCTGGTTCATCTAGAGAAAATGAACAATTTTACATAACACAAAAATTATTATAGCAAATCTCAAGTCGCAGGTCTGGGCAATCTTGCCTAAAATCCATTTCAGCCCTGGTGAGTTTTTATGTTTCACAGTCTGGCCTGTTGGACCTCAACGTGCTTCATTAAATATACCATAAATATTTATGCAGCCTCACCTGGTCTGTCACAGTCTACACGTGGTGTCCCAGGTGGAGTCCTGGTTCCTCTTCTCTCCTGTCCCCTACCGTCCACACACCAACAATGTCCAGTGGAACCATGGCACTGTAATATATAACAATTAAAAACAATGTTATCAATAATTAGAAGAATAAGAACAAATATGAGGGAAACACAAAAAACAACTCTGTTTGCAGAGAAATCAGTTTTACCTGTCTAGGTGTGTACTGTCCATTAGCATCACATTGGGGTACATAGGCTCCAACTATAGGATGTCCTTCTGAACTTGTAGTCTGTGCTCTGTCTCTGTGGTGCTCACAGTGAGTTTTAGGACGCTCTGGTTCATCTGGAAAACATTTACAAGTTTACACGAGTTATGAAGAAACACACATATTGGTTGTAGCTAATCTCAAGTCGCAATTTTGCCTAAAATCAGCCCTGGTGAGTTTTTATGCTTCACAGTCTGGCCTGTTGGACCTCAACGTGCTTCATTAAATATACCATAAATATTTATGCAGCCTCACCTGGTCTGTCACAGTCTACACGTGGTGTCCCAGGTGGAGTCCTGGTTCCTCTTCTCTCCTGTCCCCTACCGTCCACACACCAACAATGTCCAGTGGAACCGTGGCACTGAAATATATAACAATTAAAAACAATATTATCAATAATAAGACAATTAACCACAAAAACGAGGAAAACACAAAAAACAAACAAGCAGAAGAATCCGTCTCTGTTGCAGATCACAGTTTTACCTGTCTAGGTGTGTACTGTCCATTAGCATCACATTGGGGTACATAGGCTCCAACTATAGGATGTCCTTCTGAACTTGTAGTCTGTGCTCTGTCTCTGTGGTGCTCACAGTGAGTTTTAGGACGCTCTGGTTCATCTGGAAAACATTTACAAGTTTACACGAGTTATGAAGAAACACACATATTGGTTGTAGCTAATCTCAAGTCGCAATTTTGCCTAAAATCAGCCCTGGTGAGTTTTTATGCTTCACAGTCTGGCCTGTTGGACCTCAACGTGCTTCATAAAATATACCATAAATATTTATGCAGCCTCACCTGGTCTGTCACAGTCTACACGTGGTGTTCCAGGTGGAGTCCTGGTTCCTCTTCTCTCCTGTCCCGTACCGTCCACACACCAACAATGTCCAGTGGAACCGTGGCACTGTATATATATAACAATTAAAAACAATATTATCAATAATAAGACAATTAACCACAAAAACGAGGAAAACACAAAAAACAACTCTGTTTGCAGAGAAATCAGTTTTACCTGTCTAGGTGTGTACTGCCCATTAGCATCACATTGGGGTACATAGGCTCCAGCTATAGGACGTCCTTCTGAACTTGTAGTCTGAACACTGTCTCTGTTGTGCTCACAGTGAGTTTTAGGACGCTCTGGTTCATCTAGAGAAAATGAACAAATTTACATAACACAAAAATTATTATAGCAAATCTCAAGTACAAGGCAATCTTGCCTAAAATCCATTTCAGCCCTGGTGAGTTTTTATGCTTCACAGTCTGGCCTGTTGGACCTCAACGTGCTTCATTAAATATACCATAAATATTTATGCAGCCTCACCTGGTCTGTCACAGTCTACACGTGGTGTCCCAGGTGGAGTCCTGGTTCCTCTTCTCTCCTGTCCCCTACCGTCCACACACCAACAATGTCCAGTGGAACCGTGGCACTGAAATATATATAACAATTAAAAACAATATTATCAATAATAAGACAATTAACCACAAAAACGAGGAAAACACAAAAAACAAACAAGCAGAAGAATCCGTCTCTGTTGCAGATCACAGTTTTACCTGTCTAGGTGTGTACTGTCCATTAGCATCACATTGGGGTACATAGGCTCCAGCTATAGGATGTCCTTCTGAACTTGTAGTCTGTGCTCTGTCTCTTTGGTGCTCACAGTGAGTTTTAGGACGCTCTGGTTCATCTGGAAAACATTTACAAGTTTACACGAGTTATGAAGAAACACACATATTGGTTGTAGCTAATCTCAAGTCGCAATTTTGCCTAAAATCAGCCCTGGTGAGTTTTTATGCTTCACAGTCTGGCCTGTTGGACCTCAACGTGCTTCATAAAATATACCATAAATATTTATGCAGCCTCACCTGGTCTGTCACAGTCTACACGTGGTGTTCCAGGTGGAGTCCTGGTTCCTCTTCTCTCCTCTCCCCTACCGTCCACACACCAACAATGTCCAGTGGAACCGTGGCACTGTAATATATATAACAATTAAAAACAATGTTATCAACAATAAGACAATTAACCACAAAAACGAGGAAAACACAAAAAACAACTCTGTTTGCAGAGAAATCAGTTTTACCTGTTGAGGTGTGTACTGCCCATTAGCATCACATTGGGGTACATAGGCTCCAGCTATAGGATGTCCTTCTGAACTTGTAGTCTGTGCTCTGTCTCTGTGGTGCTCACAGTGAGTTTTAGGACGCTCTGGTTCATCTGGAAAACATTTACAAGTTTACAACATTTACAAGTTTACATATGCTATAAAAAGAAATTGTTTCGAGCTAATCTCAAGTTGCAGGTCTGGGCAATATCGCCTAAAATCCAAATAAGCCCGGGTGAGTTATTATGCTTCACATACTGGCATGTTGGACCTCAACGTGCCTCATCAAAGAGGACGACTAGCAAGACTGCACTCTTTGATGTGCTTCTCCTGCCCCACTATGCTGACGACAATCAACTATCTAGGCAAGCTGAGTTCTGAAAGACCTCATTCTTCGTATGATCCCTGACGTACTCTGAATATCTCAGCAGCTTGTTCAAGCTCTCCTCATTTCCTGTATAATCCTCCTGCTTTTTACATTTACATTTATTCATTTAGCTGAAGCTTTTATCCAAAGTGACTTACAATTGCTATACATGTCAGAGGTCGCACGCCTCTGCAACGTGCAACGTGTTAAGTGGGTTAAGTGTCTTGCTCAGGGACACAATGGTGGATGTCTCACAGTGGGAATCGAACACCAAAGGCAAGCATCTTATCTATGCGCCATCACCACCCCAGTTCTTAGTTGAGATGTTATAACCTGATGCACAAATCCACCCCGAGAGTTTGGATCCACTGGAAACTCAGCCCAATGTGTCTTGGGCAGCCAGAATAAACAGTCTCACCTGGTCTGTCACAGTCTACACGTGGTGTTCCAGGAGGAGTCCTGGTTCCTGCTCTCTCCTGCCCCCTGCTGTCCACACACCAACAATGTCCAGTGGAACTGTGACACTGATATACACAAAAGGATAATTAGAATAGCCATAACAATATAGAACAACTGAACAGTATATCTCATCTATCTCACCTGTTGAGCTTTGTATTGTCCATTTACGTCACACTGGGGTACAAACACTCCTCTAATAGGATGTCCCTCTGGACTGGTAGTCTGTACGCTATCTCTGTGGTGCTCACAGTAGGTTTTAGGACGCTCTGGTTCATCTGGATAAGAAAGATTTTTTTCACATTTTCAAGAGTCATTATGAAACGTAGGTGTTATTAGCAAAACGAGTCATTATGCTTTCTTACAGACTTTCCGCTGCTCCTAGACTAAAATATTTAGGAAATACCAATTCAACACATTGATGTCTTTCACAAAGAAATATCTTCAAAGTCCAAATAACTATTTTTAAGGTTATATGATCTAATATTTAATGGACTGTCTCCTTCCTCAGCCCTTATCCCGTTGTGCCTTTTACATGCTGTCCACTTTTAGAAGGCTTTTAAGAAGTTTAAGACACACAGTCTCCTCCCTGACTGTGCACGAGGTGTCTGTTTTTAACACACATTTTCTGCACTGAGGTACCACATGGTTTAGTTCTGAGCCCACTACGATTCTTCCACACACTAGATCCCTCACCTCTAAAGGGCCAACCCAAAACCTTCCTGCAACTGCTGCTACAAGCTTGTTCAAGATCTACTCACATCCTACCTGACCTGCTATAAACCCCTTCTGGCTAAGCTCCCAAAAGATCCTCTTAAGAATATATTGGGATCTAAAGTGATCGTACTGCCCCTAGAGGATCTATTATCATCCATTTGCTTCATCCCTGCTTCCCATTTAACTGAGAGACCAAATACTTGAATGTGTCTATATATGTCGGGACAAGTTTGGACAGCAGTCTCACCTGGTCTGTCACAGTCTACATGTGGTGTTCCAGGTGGAGTCCTGGTTCCTGCTCTCTCCTGCCCCCTACTGTCCACACACCAACAATGTCCAGTGGAACTGTGGCACTGATATAGACAAAAGGATAATTGTTAATAGCCATAAAAATATAGAACAAGTGCACAGTATATCTCATTTACAAAACAATCAGAATGATACCTGTTGAGCTTTGTATTGTCCATTTGCATCGCACTGGGGTACATAGGCTCCAAGAATAGGATATCCCTCTGGACTGATAGTCTGTACCCTGTCTCTGTGGTGCTCACAGTGAGTTTTAGGACGCTCTGGTTCATCTAGATGAGAAAGATGGACGATAACAGAATAATACACTTATTTTTTCGGAGCACGTATACCAGTGGATAGGCTAGTGGAGTAACCACAGAGAACAGTTAGATCTAAGTTATTACTGTTTTTGTAATGTGTAATAGTTGAAGCAACAAGAATAAAAAATTATATAAATGTACATAATCTTTACTGATTATTACTGATTAAGATATGGAGTTCATCATCAGTCCTTCATTTTAATATTGATTATGAACAACAAATGTAGTCTATCATGAAACATACATGTCAATTAAGACTATACATTGTTACAAATGTGCATATTTTAACACATTTCCTCACTATCCATTTGCAAATACTCATTTTGTATTATAATTACATTATCCAATTGCATAGGTTACAACTTCAGGTTCATGCTGGATGTGTGGGCGGGGCGGTGCTGGGTAAAGACCTACAGATGTCATTTAAAAAGGCACATTTTAAATGGATGTGTCAACCTTAAATAACAATGTTGCAGTTACTTTTACCAGCAGTACATATAGATAAGTCAAATCGACTTATTTTCTTTTCTCTCATATTTTTTTTTGCTTCATCTCACTGTTTTACTCTGCCATCCTTTTCTTTCAACTTCCCACCACACACAACGAGCTGTTTTTCCTGGCATACCAAGGCTATGACCTAATGACCTCAATAGTGCACCACTTACAAGGTTAGACACACACTCACAAAAACGTGCAGTCTGTTTGACTTGTCAATGACTTGAGGAATTATGGGGTTCACAGGTCAATGTTTTGCAAGAAAGCCTTGGAGAGCCATGACATAATACACCTGCTGACAATAGTACTGTTACCACAGATAACAACATCAGTTTTAAGCACTCATGGGAACATGAATAGAAGAAGAGATGTTTCTTTCTCACCTGGTTTGTCACAGTCTGTAGGTGGTGCCCCAGGTGATGTCCTGGTTCCCGCTCTTTCCTGTCCCTGACCGTCTACACACCAGCAATGTCCAGTTGAGCCATGGCACTGAAAAATATACATTTTCTTTATTTCATGCAGTCTTGTGTTATATTTAATGAAATAAAAAACAATATCAGTTCATCTGTCTGTCAATTAGACAATCAATCATTAGACGCTGACCTGCAGTGGTGAGTATTGTCCACTAGCATCACATTGGGGTACATAGACTCCAATAATAGGATATCCCTCTGGACTGGTAGTCTGAACACTGTCTCTGTGGTGTTCACAGTGAGTTTTAGGATGCTCTGGCTCATCTGTGGGGGGAGCATAAAATGTATCTGAACTAGAAATATTTAACAGACCACAACTACAAAACAGTACTGGTAAGAGTAGGGAAATCTGGAAAAAGCCCTATAAGATACGGACATTGAAGAATTGACTATACAATCCCTTTAGAACTTTTTAATCCATTTCCCACTTGCTTCTAATTATTTAATAGTTAGACATTCTGGAAAATTCACAGTCGAGAGTTAGATGAGAACATTTATACCAATCTCATGTCTGTACATTAAATATTAAACTAAAGCCAGCAGGCGATTCTTAGCATAGCACAAGACTGGTAGCAGGGAAAACAGGCTCTTGGTAAGGTCAAACATTGCCTACCAGCACCTCTGAAGATTGCTAATTTACATGCCATATCCTATTTTTTTAATACATACAAAACACAAAATGTAGAAATAACTTGTTGTTGTGGTCCCCTGCTTCCAGTATTTATGCTAAGCTAACAGCCTCCTGGCTCTAGCATAATATTTTGTGTATACAGGCATTAGAGTGTACTTCTATCTTCTCATCTAACTCTCAGGAAGAAAGCAAATAGGCTGATTTCCCAAATTGTAGAACTATTCCTATAATGCTTGAAGGTCACTCATTCTAGAGCTGGGAGTGTCCTACAAACAGCCTAAATGCAGTGTGCACAGGCTGCCGGCCAAAATCTCACCTGGTCTGTCACAGTCTTTGGGTTGTGTACCAGGTAGTGTCCTGGTTCCTGCCCTCTCTTGACCCCTAATGTCCACACACCAACAATGTCCGGTGGAACCATGACACTAAAATAACAATATCAGTAACCATAATAAATTAATGTATTATAAGTTTCAAAACTACAGTTAAATTACTGATATGAAAATGTTTCATGGATTAAACAAATTACAAACACTGACTTGTAATGGTCTGTACTGGCCATTAGCATCACATTGGGGTACATAGGCTCCAACAATAGGATATCCCTCTGGACTGGTAGTCTGAACACTGTCTCTGTGGCGCTCACAGTGAGTTTTAGGACGCTCTGGTTCATCTGTAAAGCAAGTAAAAGGAAATGAAATAATAATCACAATGATAAATGAATGTGCTATTCTCTTCAAATAATAAGCTTCAAAACTATTTGTTAAATATTTAGCATTCAAAAACTGGACAGTGTGTCCCTTTCACTTTCTCAGGCTTAGCTAGGTTAACGCAAAGGCAGGTCCCTTTTGAAGTTCATCAAGTCTTCCTCCTCAGTGGTGATGAGGCACACCAGGATGGTGTCATCTGCATATAGGAGTATTATGTGGCATAATGGCCAGAAGTGCCAAGCTAGATCAAACAAACCTTTTTTTCTGTTGCTCACAAGTTCCCTAACTTTATGGAAGTGAACCACCAAATGACTCAAGTACCCTTTTTGCCTAATATGCTAAGATAATATTTGTATCTCTGTGTGGAACAATCTGACCAAATTGGTAGGCAAAGTATACGCTAAGAGAAAATCTACATTTTGGGATGGAAGAATGCATTTTCCTCACCTGGTCTGTCACAGTCTGTGGGTGTTGTACCAGGTGGTGTTCTTGTTCCGGCTCTCTCCTGTCCGTTATTTTCCACACACCAGCAATATCCAGTGGAGCCATGACACTGCCGTTAATAATATCAGCAATAACAGCAACAATATATTTTATTAGTATGAAATTAGTCCCCTTCTTTCAGTTTGAGGTGATAAAACATCCTTTCAAAGTCTTAATTTGTGACGAACCTGCAAAGGTATGTACTGTCCATTAGCATCACATTGGGGTACATAAGTTCCGACAATAGGATATCCCTCAGGACTGGTAGTCTGAACACTGTCTCTGTGGTGTTCACAGTGAGTTTTAGGATGCTCTGGGTCATTGGGGGAGATAAAGATGAACAAAATATGAAACAATAATCTATACACTATTCTAATAATTTTCTTAAAGACAGCTTTGCAGCTTAACAGCTTTGAAAACACAGATGCTGCCATCAAAAAATCACTCATTGATACTTAGAACAGACTGTAAGTGTGTGTATAACTCACCTGGTTTGTCACAGTCTATGGGTGCTGTACCAGGTGGTGTCCTAGTTCCTCCTCTCTCCTGTCCCCTACTGTCCACACACCAACAATGTCCAGTGGAGCCGTGACACTGTAATGAATTAAGAAGCGTTTCCAAATCAGTAAGTCACTTAACCAAAGTCATCAGTCAGCCATGCATTTTACCCGTGTGTCAGTCAGTGCCCACCTGCAGTGGTCGGTACCGTCCGTCAGAGTCACACTGAGGGATAAAGGCTCCGGGACTCAGGCGACCGCCATTTTCCACTCCACTCTGCAGGCTGTCTCTGTGCTGCTCACACTGGCTTTTTGGGCGATCTGTCTGTCCTGTAGACAAATACATAAAAGAAGAAGAAGAAGACAGAATAATATGTATTGTTACAATTAGCATATCTATCAGTTCTTTCTAGATAGCATTCGTATTCATATATTTGTTTATGTTTCTATCAAACAAAGTGTACTTTCTGATATGTCCCTATAATATGTCTACAGTGTTTTATTGCGAAAACTGACGCTGGAATTGGAGACAATAATGTTTCCTAACTGTACAAATCAGATTATTATAGTGACAACTTCAAAACAGATCTTTCCGAGTTATTGAAAATTATATTAGAGTCACCTACTGCAACTGTCAATGGCATGCATCACTAGAGCGGCAATGTTTCTGACCTTCCTGCTGGGAACAGTAGAAACCATCCCCATAAAACCCTGACTGGCACTGACACTGGAAGGAACCCAGTGCATTGATACATCTGCCATGGATGTGGCATGGAGAGGAGCTACATTCATCTATATCTGAGAAAACAGAGGGAGCAGAACAATAAATAAAAAAATTAGCAACCACACATGTAGAAACTGAAATTGGAATTTCGAAATAACAATAAATTCTACTAACTCCACAAACGTATACTGATCTATAAATGATGCCTGGCTGCTGGCTAGAAATAATTACATTCAGTAGTACTGGTTTTTGGTTTTTGGATGATTTCAAAGCCTTATGTAAAGTATTACATTATCTGTAGGGAGGGTTTAAAGGAAGTTCATCAAAAGTTCATTCTGATGGGTGAAAGGCGAACACACACAAACACAAACACACACACGCACACCGGTAGGACCTCTCTCCTCCAAACATTCCAAAGCAAAACACACATTGTGTCATTTGTCCATTTGTCTTTCACTTTCACCCCTTCCTCTGTCTAATCTCACCCCCTCGTTCTCACATTAGTCCTCTCATTTCCACTCTTGCTCTCACATTTGTCACCCATACTCCCCTCTCACTGTGTTGCCTAGCTGTTGCAGCTGTGCGATCCTGTTGTGGAAGAAATGTCATGCCTGTGCTCCGACAAATATGTGAGTCTCTTCCAAATATTCTGCTCATTTTGGAACTTTCAGCACTACATAATAAAAAACATCTCTTATGTGAGATGTAACTGACAACCAACTCATGGAAAGGACATGATGAGACCATGATGAAAATGGAAAATATCAGGCCATTATAGATATTTTGATACATTTTCCACAGGGCTCTATGGACATAAATGTCCGTCTGTTAGCTGGACGGTCCAACACCTTGTTCCAGACTGAAAGATCTCAACAATTACTGGACAGAGAATGAATCCTACTTGCTTTGGTGATCCCCTGAGTTTTCCTCTAGCCTTACATAGTAGCTTTTTAGTGAAGTGTCTCAACAGTGATTAGATTAACTGCCATGAAAGTTAATACAAGCGTTGATGTTCAACATGATGTCCAATCTTATATCTGTACAGAGAGTCATACATCTTTGGCGCCACCACGATGTTGACATTTTTGGTTTTGAGTGAAATGTCTTGATTGCCATGAAATTTGAGAAAGAGAAAGAGCTCAAAACTCAAACCCACATCATGAGTACATACTGTACACTGTGGCCTTGTTTTTACTACATTTCCCTAATTATGATTGCAACTCACCAACACAGGTACGCCCGTCGTAGCCAAACTCAAAGCCACTCTGACATTGGCAGCGATGGCTTCCAGGCAGGTTAATGCAATAAGCATGAGCACCACATGAACTCAAGCCCTCAGCACACTCATCTACGTCTGCAGTGAGAGAAAAGGAAAGAAAGTGAGACCATTTTCTATGACTCATATGCCTGTAAACCAGGAATCCCCTATCTAACAATATGTAGTATGCTGCATGTGTATTTTAGTCTAAAAGCTGTAATTAGGCATCATTACTGGTGCTTTCAGTGTAAAGTATTGTGTGCTTCCTTGTTTGTGTGACTATAACATGTACACCCACACCTGGATTCTCGACTGCATTCTTACATGTCTAGTGCAATACACAGGACAAAACCAAAGACAGATTATGTGACCAGATAAGACACTGAGGCCCAGTCATGGGAACTGAGGCAGAGCCTGGAGCTTTCCTAGGGCTGTCAGCAGGAGAGAAAGACCTGCTGCTGGGCTAATGACAGGCCACACACCAGCTTAAAGCCCTGAAAGTCCCTGTTAACTGCAGAAGGAGGAGGGAGAGGCAGGATTGGATGAAGAGAAGAGTGAAAAGGGAAAGATGAGAGTACACATCCAGCCTGTAGTTGACCCTCCACGCTGGATGGACAGATGTTGATGAAACGCAGACTCACTGCCTTGAACTGTCTTTAACTTTGTCTGCATGTGTTTGTGTGTGTAAGTGTGTGAGGGAGAGACACACGAATAGACTAAGCAAAATGAAAGGAGGCATTGATGTATATACACTGTCACAGGGCTGGACAGTATATCCAGACTTTAACAGCACGCTATATGTGTACATGCATGCCCATATAAAGCGCTGACAGACAAATACCGTAACAGTTGCGTCCATCCCCTCTGTAACCAGTAGCACACTGGCACTGGAAGGCCTGGCCCTCCAGCGGGATGCACTGGGCCGTGGTGTCACAGTCGTGGTTCCCAGCATAGCAGGGGTTGACCAGCTCCTGCTCTGTTGGCTCAACTACAGAGAAGAGGAGAGACAGATTAAATGACATGATGAATAAAAATATAAACAATAATTTCATTTCAGCTCATCATTGTTTGATACAGCATAACAGCTGGGGTGCTCCTACCTTAGCTTAAACATTTACAGCTCTGAGCAAGGAAGGGAAAGAAACTTTTACCTTTTAAGAGGGGGTTGACCTTGTTGCTAGATATGACACATTTATTCTTTATTTATCTTTGCTTGTGCGCTGGTTATGGTACATTTATGGTGTTTACATGCCAAATAACGGCTCTACTTATAGACTGGACAGCAATCACAGAAACTGATTAAAGCAGAGCCATATTCCTCACGTTAACAGATTAAGTACTAAAATTGCCAGCATGATATATAAACAAGATAAATCCACATGCTGTAGTGTCTGAAGCCCAAACTGCTCCCGATGGTCAGACCAATGCCTTGTAAGGTAGCTCGCTGCCATCTGTGTGTGAGTGTGAGTGAATGAGAGGCAAATTGTAAAGCACATCCTACATAAATTAAGTCCATTTACCAAATAAATGTAGCCAGAGGGGAAGTATTGAGTAGCAGAAAAATATTTATACTCAAGTGAAAAATTGTAAAAGTAAATGTACTTAGGTACATTCCACCACTGGCATCTTATAAACTGCCAGGATTTAGGGCAGAGAGAAATGAGGTTTCAAATATACCTATAGAGACAGAAAAACGGTAATATAATTAAAGTATTTCCTCTGAATCCAGAGACATATGACAAGAAAAATCTGCACAAACTCTGCAACACTCCAAACGTCCTGAATTGAGATTAACTGAGATCTGGATTTTTCAACAGGCCGATGATTATGGCCGTGATTACATGACAGCCTAACCAAACACACGTGTAAAATCACTCCAGACAAATTCCCATAGGACGGTTTCCTCTTAGGAAGTTTGTTCCCTTCATGTTTTCAATATTCAACATATGGATACGGTTAGACACACTTGAGAGAGACACACAGACAGCGGGATGAGTGAACGGATGTGTGTTCAGGGTTTTCCTCATACCAACGCTCAGACACACAAGACAGTTGGAACAACAACCGTCAGGCTTATTTCTGGAGAATCAGGACAAAAAAACGAATAAAACCATGGGAATTCATTGGAAATGAATGTGAAAGACGTATAAATATGCTTAGGATTTAGTGCTAATCCACATCAAAATGTTCCTGACTGCACACATCAGGAAAGGCAGCACAGTGGGAATCCAGCACCAAATACCAGCTGAATCTGATCCCCTGCACCACTGAAATGCTTTTAATTAGTATTGCATTGGTGTCTCCTGGTTTGAATAATGCTCTAAAAATTTAGTTTTTGCCTTGAATATCAAGGAATATTCTTGTGTCACATTTGTTGTTGGATAAGAAAAATACAGCACTTTTGATGGATGACTTCGTTGTAGTAATAGTTTAAATTTCTCTCCAAAATACCTTGCATTTGTGTGGTTTTCACTGGAGATACGTTTCGCTACAACACATAAATATTATTCCAAATATGGCATTTGTGTTAAGTTTAAATAGAGGGTTCCAGTGTCTGCATGGGTAAACTTCTATTTAAGGAAAATGCCATTGCCATTAGAGGTTTGGAGATCAGTTGGTTATAATGTCTAAATATGGGCAGTTCCACAAGGAAAAAAAGCCACATCTCTTATATCTGTTTTTAATGATGTTTAAGTGTATTAGGATAGACTTTTTCTTATAAACTATAAACAAAAATACACACACTTACACCTAAACAAAATTAACCAACACACAGACACAGACATTATGCACAGCTTGCTTCCATCTTCTACCGCCAGAGGCCAAGTCTGGCTCATTATCAAAGAGAGAGAGAGAGAGAGAGAGAGACTCTTCAAAGTCTGTGAATGTGGCTGGGAAGAAGGGGAGATGAGAGGGCGAGATACATGTAGATGGGAGAAAAGACTGAGGGATAATTAGAGAGAGAAAGACAGCAAGAGAGATGAGGCAAGTGGGAGAGAGGGGTGGAGGACACACAAACACACGCACTACACACCATCAAAGCAAGGACAGCAGTTTCCCACCTGTTGCTTTTTACAAAACTCCTCCACACACACACACACACACACACACACACGTTTTACAGGGGCGTAGCTTTAACCATATCAACATGGCCAAGGTTCACTGGCTATTCTTGAAATCCAATGAACCACCTTCACTGCAACATAATATTATCTATCTATCCATCCATCACAGACTTTTACTGAAATTTAACAGAGCGTTGTGTTTAAAGTGTTGAAAGCACGTCTTAGCGGGCCCATGCAGGACGTAGTAGCCCTTTGTTAAAGAGGCAGCCAGTGGCCGTGTCGCTACTGGTCCAGGAGAGCAGATAACATTCAATCCTAAATGTCCATTTGGACTAATAGATCCACAGGCTTAAAAGGGGCACTCCACCAATTGTACACATAAAAGATCAGTTTACTCATCATGGAGAGAATCAGCCTGTGAAAGCAGTTTCAAAATGTCTTTTGTGGAGGATTTTTTCTTAAATCTGAGAAAATAGCCCTAAATTCAATGTGAGATGCTTACTTTATTTTTACATTATTTGTATATAGACTTGTTTATGTTTTATTTATTGATTATAAATCTCTGTGTGATGCTTAATTTAATTTCCCTTTAATTTTACATTGACGTGTTCTATGTTTCATATATTCTTACAATTTTTTATTCGACCTGTTTCACATCGATTGTTGTAAAGCACTTTGTTACCTGTACAGAAAAGTGCTATATAAATAATGCTATTTTTATTATTATTATTAATATTTGACAGAAACCCTTACTTATAAAATGAGGGCACGGAGTCTAAAAGATAAAGGCAATTAGGTGTGATGAAAGATGACTTGCATTATAGGAAATGTAGGAACCAACACTGTTGAGGCTTTCTACTAAGAACTTAACGGCCTCTGCTGCTTCATTCTTTCATTGAACATCTGTCTCTCACAAGTCCCCTAACTGTACAGAAATGTAATACTTAATACCTGTAATAATCCTATGAGACAGGATTTTACAACTTTGGAAAGTTATCATAGTGACAATTATTTTATTCTCTGCAGCAAGAAGTGCTGAAACGATTAAACAATTTGTTGATTGACACCGTGCAGAATCATCTGGCTGAGGCAGCTCTGACATTTTAGCTTGAACCCCCCTTTCAGGCACTGTATTTGCATGCTGTCAGTCATTGTTGATCTAAACATCTAATTTTTACAGAGAAAATGGTGAACAGTGTGACAGGGAATGGTAGATATTTCAAGGTTCAGGTTATTAAGATATTTAACAAACCTCTGTCTGATTTCAGCAAGTCACTGGACCACCTGAGTGTCTGCAGCAGTCATTTCTTTCCATTTTATATAATTACTTTCTATTTCTATTAAATCAATCTACTGACTAAAACACATTTTAAAAGACCCACACAAGTGTTTCTGTGTGTTGTCTACACATAATACTGCACATATGTGTTGCTGCCTCCATCATCTTAACTAGGTGTTACAATAATACACAGGTTATTGCCCTATCTATGCACTGCAAGAGACTGAAACCAAAAAAGGGCAGGCTAAGTGCACTGTAAGAAACAATACGACTGGATTGACATGTCAACCCCATGTGGAAATGAGGTGATAAGATATAGCAAACAACACATACTCAAGTCAGATAATTGTGTCCTCTCTCTCTTTGTTGGTGTTTTTCTCTCTTTCTCACCCAATCTGTCTTTCTATCTGAAATCTCTGATTCTCATGACATCAGTGGGCAGCTATTCTGCCCGGCAACCCTCCCCCCTGCTAGAAAATCTGTCATTGGCTGGGATATTATTTCCCAGAAAGTGTAAGACCCTTGAACACACACACACACACACACGCACACACACACACACACACACACACACCACTTAACCCATGTTTACAAAACCCCTGATCCCTGAAAGCTCTTCCAGCTGTGCTCTGGGTCTATCAGTTCGTTTGCATGTGCACGTGTGACATGTGTCATCATAACCTTTTTAATCAATGTGTTGACGTTTAAATGACAGAAACTTGGTCTGGATTCAAAAACTGGGGGGGGGCAAATGATGTCTCTTTCTTTTCCCAATTTCAGGTCTTGTGTCTCTCTCAGTCGCTCTCTGGTTTCCATCAGAAAGCGTGGGCAAAGAAAGCATGACTGCTGTGCGTTGACAGAAAAAGAGCATGTATTTTCTATACATTTCTATCCATATTTGCAAAGTCTTTCTGTTTTTCTGCTGGTATCTGGAGAAAAGATTGAGAGCGGACGTGGCAAGGGAAGCAAAAGAAGGAGAGGGGACGCAAAAGGTGTGAGAAACCTTGCATCTAATAAAACAATTAAAAAGAAAAATAACAAATTAAAAAGCAGTGTGCTTCCTTCTGCGCTCAACATCCAATTGACTGGGGTCCAAAAGAAACCTCTGTTTCTCTGGCTGATATTGGTAGTGGACGTGCTGGATTTCCCATTCACACACGATAAAGACTGAACAACCATGAAAACATAAACAAGAAAAGTCACACACACAAGTAGTGATACAGCATGTGATGCATTGTGGAATTTAAGTACCCAATATTCAAAAATTCCATTCGAATTGCTAAAATTCAATAATCTATCCAATCAGATAAAAAAAAAATAAAAAACAAGAAAAAAAGAGATCAGCTTCAATTGGATCAGTACACTAGATTAAAATCATTACGGCCATCAAGTTTTGTGGTTTTGGTTTTGTGTTGTGGTACCACAAAGTACTTTCGGATACCAAACCCAATGAGGTCGACATTCTTCCATCCATGTATTTATTTTTCTTCATGCTAGAATTTCACTGGATGCTGCTGGCCTGCATTCAGCTTTAACTGCTTGAGCAACTCACTCTACAGGACAACTTGAACCTAACTAGTCAAATATCTAAAGTCAGCTGTGACGCAAATCGCGGTTCCAAAGATCCTTTAAGTAGTGCAGTGTAGTCTGCAGCCTTTGTTAGACGATGAACCCAGAAACGGCAGAGGTAATACAGATGTTTTGTGATATGTTTTCGACGTATAATTATCCCTCAGCTTGCTGCATGTGTGTTTACAGCTGAGCTCTGTCCAACTCCGCACCGTGGTTTGGCTGAGGTTTCTGTGGCAGCGGTGGAACAATTACAAGGTGGTCTGGTCGCTAGTTGTGGCTCTGGAACAGAAAACCTCACGTTTTCAACGCCTCCAGTTTGTTTGCCCACTCAAAGACTGACAGTGATGATCTGGAACAGATTTAGGCAGTCACTCAGGCAGGCAGACAGTCAGCCGGCCGGTGTCGTCCACATGATGGATATTCCTCCCTGACCCCAGCTACTCTGTAATGTAATGTATGTTTTCTAAACCTGATTCCATTTTGAAGACATTTTGATCAGATTCATATTTTAGTTTAGTTTACTGATAATTGTATATTTGTTTCAAATTGATGCCTAGAGAAATCATCTTGGTTACACACTACTTCAGCATGTCTCAAATTAGTTCTGTAATCTGGGATAAACTGTTCTTTTGAAAGACAGGTTTGTGTCCTAGACTGTTTATGATGACTCTTTATGTTGTTGTTTTTAGGTTTGATGTATTACAACAGTTCCTGAGTCTTGTGCATGTTTCTAATGATGCCATTCAGGAACTAATTAAGGTCTACTCTGTTTTCTTTCATCACAGTCGTGCTCTCCTGAGGGAGGAAAGCTGCTGAAACAACATTTAGATAATTTCAGATGACTAAACCTTACAATTAAACCTACTTATATTCAGTGGTGGAAGACGTATTCAGGTCCTTTAATTAAGTAAAAGTAGTAATATCACAGTGAGACTCAACTACAAGTAAAAGTGCTTAAATTTAAATTACTTAAGTAAAAGTATATAGGTATTATCAGCAAAATGTACGTAAAGCTACCAAAAGTGAAAGTACCCATAGTGCAATAAATGTTCCCTGTTCTTAGATTAATTAGATTGATTAGCAAACGAGCATGAGGGAGGTTAAGAGGAATGACTTCCTTTTAGCTGGCCTTATTACTTAAGTACAGCATTTGAGTAAATGTGCTTAGTTACATTCCACCACTGCTTAAATTAATGTCATTGTTATTTATGCAAAGCGTTAATATCAAGAAGACGAGAAAGAGAAGGATGATTGATAATGAATCTAAATACTGGAAACCGTTAGACTCACCTCCGGCTGGGCTGATCTTGTTGGTGATGGCGTATCTCAGGATCCGCTCCTCCTTGACGTACATCACAAACACCCTCTCCATTGTGATCTGCAACGTCTCCGGGGCAGCGGCACGGTTATCATGTCGACAGTTGCGGTAAGTGATGTTCTGCTTCAACTGGAAGGAGAAGGACTCGGAGCCTCGCTCTGCCGAAACAACTGAAAACTCCCTCACAGAGGTGGAGGTGGCAACTGGAGACAGAGAAAGGTTTTAGGTTTTAAAATGGAGGCATGAAATGTTACACACAATCTGTCTTCTTCTTTTCTGTCTGTTACGGTTACCAGATGGGTAGTACTGGTAGATCTCCTTGAAGGGATCAATGGTTACTTCAGCACCGGGGGGCATGAAGGGCACATTGCCGTTGACTACAGTATCAACAGTGAGGTGGTTGTGGTCATCGAGGCCCCGGCCCGTCTGGATGATTGACAGGCGCTGGTTGCCAGGGTAGAAGATCACTTCTGCATGACGAGTGAACTCGGCACCTGGGAATACAATAACTCTATCGATCAATCAATCAGTTTGACTTTTGTTTTTCTATTTATGGATTGTTTTCATTGCACATTACTGCAGACACAACCAACAGTGCAGCGGTTGCATATCATGTGTTTGATGTTTCTAGTACTGTTGTTATATGCTGATGACACTGTCATTTTTTTGTCTGGCTCAGATATTGATACAATTAATTACAAACTTAACTCAGACCTACAGCATTTACATGATTGGCTCCAGGATAACCATTTAACACTTAATACTAAGAATCTAGGAAACAACTGTCTATATCAAATTTCATCACCTTTTCTAATCAAAAACTTTCAATTGTATCCACGTATAAGTATCTGGGAGTCTCTCTTGACTCACATCTTACTTATCGTGACCATGTCCAAATTTTAACCAGAAAGTTAAACCAAAAGTTATTTGTTTATAGTAAAATTAGACCATATTTACTGCATTCTGTTTCTAAAACATATCTTCATGCCATTATATTGTCCACTCTGTCATATTGTTTACCTGTTTGGTCACTCACAACAAATGAGATCCTTGAACCTGTAGCGAGACTCTACAATAGAGCCTATAAGATTCACAACAGGCTTCCAGGCTGGACTCACCACTGTGTTGCACTATCTTTGAGTAATGCCTTGACATTTCAGAACTATAGAATAAGCCATGGTTTGAACCTTTTTTATCAGATCTTAAATGGACACACTACTGCAGGATTGACTGCGCTGACTCCAAAACTCAGCTCAAGGCCCGAACGCACAACGAGATCTGTTGCAAATGGACTTCTCCCTATACCAGCTTTTAGAAACTGCTATGGACAGAAATCTTTCTTTAATTTGCTCACTAGAGCCTGGAATGAGACTCCACAGCACATCAGATCTATAACATCAATAAGACTATTTAAACAAACTTTTGCTCGCCATCTGATGGACAGGTATATCTGTGAACACTGAGATAGCTTTATGGCCTCCTGCTGAAGATTGTTTTACTATCGTAGTTTGTGTGCTTGTTGCTGTGTGTTTGTTATTGTATGGTCTTGGAGTTTTGTTGTGTTTGAGGTATTCATGTTCTGCAGAACAGGAAACTGCTGAAAATCAGTTCTATACTGAGTCAGGCCCGATTGCTCTTAATCTTTTCCTGTTTAAATAAATTAATAAAAAAAATAAAAATAAAAAAAATCATAAAAAGTGAAATGTCTGCAATGGTTACATCTGTATACAACACACAGGCATGCACATTCACACCCACACACACACACACACACACACACACACACAGCTGCTTCCTATTAGAGAGGGGAGGTGGAAGCCTGATATCACATCACATCCCTGGAGACAATACAGCTGGCTGGGAAACCGAAAACACGCACATGCACATGCACATGCACACAGTAAAGGAGTTCCCTCATCTCTCTACAGACGTGCTCAACAGTCAAGATGTACAAGGCAATATACTTAACCAACACACACACACACACACACACACACACACACACACACACACAGTTTACCTGTGTTTTTGAATCCTGCTTGGCTATTGGGAAGCTCCAGAGCAAATAGCCATCCAAACAGCTCTCCTATTGGTGCCAGTGGCATCAAAGCCCAGCCTAATGGCTCAGGAACCTGACCAATTAACAAAAAGTTTACATAGAAGAAATCAGAAGGAGAAAAAATGTGCATGAGAAGAAGATAATTCATAACAGGTTTTTATCAAAACTACATTTAAATAAATTGTACAATAACATACCGAAATATTTATTTTTTCTTAGATTCTTACCTCGCTGATGGCAGTGTACGCTCTCCCATCTCCCACCACGATGTAGGCGTGAAGATCAATGTTGTTCAGCTTCACTGGAGTCGAACCCACGGTCACTGTTCCGCTCATCTTACCACTAACACGCTGTGGAGCACCTGGAGGAGCAGCACAGGTGTTACCCAAAAACAAACAACAAAAGACTTTAAAAACATGATCACTAATTTCATATAAATGTTCACTACTAGACTTAAAAATAGAAATATGATGAATGTATCGCTGTGGATTAACGTTAGCGCTCTAACCGTCTGGTAAACACTGGCGTCCATTTCCATAGAAGCCAGGCCGGCAGTGACAGCAGAAGCCTGTGGCGTAGTCAGAGCAAAATGCATTCTGGGAACACTGCTGTTGGAATCTAGAAAGACAAGAGACAACAAAGAAAAACAATACACGTTTAACTTTGACTGTACATTTTTTTAACTATGAGGTTTTGTTTGATTATTTCCATTACTATCGCTGTCAGATTGAGAGTGGTAAGAGACTGTGTGAAAATTATTTGGGTGTCTAGGTGGTTTATAACATTGTTATAAAACTACACCACTGATTCAGCGATGCACTCCTATAACAGTGTCAGACTCACAATGTTGTTTTTAAATAAATGCAGCAGATCCAGAGATATCATCACACCTACATTAACCACAATGCAACACAACCGTCAGCAGCTCAGTTGGAGCTTCAGCTGTGTTGTGCTTATAGCCGCTAATGTAGCCTCAAGCAGAGATGAGGAGAGGGCTACAGAAGTCTGATAAGCTCACTTCTGACTCCACGACCGAGATTTTATTAATTTCCAAGCTAGTTTTCAGCCCCAACCGACACTGATGCAAGTGACATAACTCAAGGCATCTTATCAGATTTTGTTCAGCTCCCTTGGAGACACAAAACCTTTTTCCCATATGCAGCAGTACTCCCCCAAACAGATTTTGATGTGTAAAGTTGGTGAAGTTCCCTTTCAAAATTAAGGTGCTCTCACAACATTGAAAGTTTAACTTGGAGGTACACACTCTTAAATTTGCTATGCCTCATTATTTTGACATGTTGGGGAGAGGTGTTGTAGTTTTTCAAGTTAAGAGGAGGGCTCAAAATACTGATAATATTTTAGGAAGTGAAAAACAAGGTTCTCCATCGCCATCCCAAACATTTCCATACAGTCCCATACAGTGGTCAACAACCACTACAAGTAAATAGGATGTACATTTGTTATACCAGCAACAAAACTTACATATCATGCTATATAGACTTACCTGGCACATGTTTCCTTATTTTCTGTAGTGTACTGAATCACTGAGGGAGAGAAAATCATCATTAGTATTATGTATTTCATTTACAATACAATAAATACATAATTAATATGCTAATGTCTCCTAAGTTCTTAGCAAAATGGCAATAAGACAAAACAGAGAGAGATGTAGATGCAGATCACTGCTGTCATTTACAAAAGGTTTAAGCTGGTTAGATTTATCTATATCTATATATATATTCCCAGTATTTACATCACACAAACATGCAAGTTTCAATGGAGACGGAACATTAAAGGTTGTCTCCATATAAGTATAGATGGAAAGAAAGGATAAGAAGGTGGACAAGATACAGAGAGAGGTACTCACACACACACACACACACACACACACACACACACACACACACACACACGTCAAGGCACTCCTTGGAGAGAAACCAGCTGTTGCAGTCCTGCCTCCCACACCCACTGACACACACACACACACACAGCTGCTTCACAAGCTCCCAAATGCATCTGAAATCCTTAAACACATATTTCATAAGTCTAAACTCTGACAGAAAAAATCCCAATTAATTGATAAAGTAATAATATAAAATATAAAGTGAAAATAATATAATAATATTATAAAATTTATTATAAAATAAAGTGCTGTACTCTACATTAGATATAGTTCATAGAAGCTTTTACATGTGCTGGCCTGAACACTTAGGGATGATTGCTCCTTCCTTAAAATAAATCCTCTGACACATAGGAAGTGAAGCGTGCTCTGTTCTTGATTTATGTGGAATAAACAGAAATAGAACTGGATAGTCAGCAGCATGAAAAGTGCTAGTCACCATTGCTGTACAGACAAATAGTAAGAATGACACTGACATTTTCGCTAGCATTTCTCAGACCGCTGAAACCACGTAGTCTCAAAGGGATTTTAGTAAGTTCTTTTCCCTGGATTCAAAACACCACATGGAACTTGCGTAACTATGTAGCGAGCGTGATTCACTCTCTCCAGTTTCTCTCCTCGTACTTCTCTCTGTTTGTCTTTTTGGTAAATGGCTGATTTGGGATCAAAATGCAGCATTTTATCATCCTACAGGGGCATCACACACTTACTCACTCACAGACACAAACATTCAGATCAACACAGGATGTCAGGATATTTTCTCTGGAAGCACACACACATAAATCACTGTGCTTTTACACAAATAAACACACACACATGCGCACGTGCCAATGCTGTGGAGGGAAACCCACATTCCAATATCACACTGTTTTTATGTTCTGTCTAAGTTTCATGAATATTAAACCCTTGGCAGCATTGAATGATATTTTCACAAAATGCAAACACACCCACATGACTGTATATGCACACGCACTTCATATTATAGACACACTTCCTTCAAAAATAGTCATTGGCCTATAATGTTAAGTCCTAAAAATATAGAATATGTCTGGTCTGTAAATTTTTGCAATCTGTGTCAATTTTGCTGCTGCAACACCGCAATTTCCCCTCGGGGATCAATAAAGTTCTATCTATCTATCTATCTATCTATCTATCTAGTTTCCCTAAAAGCAATGATGGAAAGCAAAACGACCTGCTGAAGTGTTACTTTGCTCAGGTTTTTTTAACCACTATTTAGCTACATGTAATTTTAGGAGGTTGTCCATTAATCGCAGGGTTGGTGGTTTGTTCCCGGGCTCCTACTTGTCACTGATTTAACAACTGCCGTGTGTTTGAATGGTGTATAAGAAGCAAATTGTAAAAGCACGTTATCAGCTTTGGAAGAAAAGAGCTATGTAAGTGGAGTCCATTTTGTGATAAAACTATTTTAATGTTTATCTGTGACAAGCTAAAACATAGAGTGCAGTAGTGCGAGTACAGAAATGCATACAGCCAGCATACGACTCAGTAATTTGTCACAGCAACAGCTATCCCAAGTCAGCTAACATTAGTCAACATTAACCAACATAAGCCACTGGTCATACCAGACCGATTGTGTTATTTCTTCTTTCAAACGTGAGGGGCTGGGATTATTCCAATAATATTGTAATTAATTTCTGCAAAATGCTCAGTCTGTTAACAAATACTTCTTTGCATCTTCTAAGGAAAATAGTATTTCATCATCCACACTGAGCTAAATGTAAATACTTTTTGACCCTTATGTAACCAGGCAAGTTGACTGAGAGCACATTCTTATTTACAGCAAAAGCCTGTGGGAGTAGTTGCAGGGGAGGGAGTGCTGGACACACACACACACACACACACACACACACACACACCTGGGAGCTGCCCAGCACAACGGTAGTATTGTACTGCCAGCTGCTAAGCAGCTCTGCAGCAGAGGGCAAGGTAATGTTACCCTCCTGTTTCTCAAAGTGAACTTCCTTTCATAAGTTAAGACAACTTTATACATATATATATATATGCATATATAGACCCACATGGCTTGTCTCTTACCTCCCGTGTCAAAATTCTCTTCTTCTTCCACGCTGACGACGTGACCTCCACGGGAAAGAGGTGGTTCATTTCTGTGAGGGGGGTAAACATCCACCACCTCCAGAGGACCCTTCAGAGACAGATACATAGAATAGCCTATGTTTAACTTCAAATATGTTTTTCCTGTTGTCAGTGAAAGCCACGCCAATACTTTTTAAATCTCTCCAGATGCTATAAACCAGAGAGCTATGATCTCTGCATATTTTACATATTGCAATGCTGCATGTAGAGTATCACGATTGCAGCTTTGCCAGCAGTTTGTTGGCAACTCCATACGGTCTCTGAAACAGCGTTCCATTATAACCACAGAATTTACAAAAAGCAACTACAATTTCAAATCGTTATTACAAAACTCTGGCAGCACTGCCAATTTAAATTCCTTCTTTCATATTCTCTGGAATAAGTGATGTTTTCAGGGAATTTGAACAGTGCTGCTGTCTGCAGAGCTGCAGAGACAAGAACTCTTGTCACATAATGCACAAATATGTTCTAGTAGCTTTGTGATGTTTGTAGTTTAGGTGCTTTTTATTTAAAAAAAATTTATTCTGGCCCAAGTTAAACGTTACTTTACAGCTGTCTTTGGCCATTAGGATTTTTTGCCCAACATTATCATAAATTCATTTCATTTGCAGGGATATTTTAGTGTTACCTGTGGTTGCTGTTCCTGAGTCTGCGGAGCACCTCCCTCTGGTACTCCTTTGGGAGGATTAGGGGGAGCATACTGCCTCTGTGCTGGTTCTGAACTGTACCTGGGTTCAGAAATCAAGGGTACATCTTCGCTGCTGTGGGACACCTGACGGCCAGAATCCTCTGCAGGGGAGGAGGGAGCAGCAGGAATTGCTGGTTGAAGGGACACTGAGTGGTCACCAGGGGCTGGCTGGAATTCAGGGTCCCCACCTGTCAGAGGGTAATCATCTTCTTCGTCCTGGTTATCAGTTCCAAAAGTGTTGTCTGGGTAGTCATCAAACTCAGAGTACTCAGGAGTGGTGGTGTCCTAGAAGCAGAAACCATGGAGGAGTCAGCTTATTTTTCTGCATGTTGTTTGACAAAACTAAGTGTTGACTGTAAATAAAACACCATAAAACAAAAATACCAGGGAGAAGCCATGTCCTTGAGATGGTAGAGTAGAAAGCAGGCCACCAATGGACGCAGGAACAATGTTGTCAAAAGAATAACGATTCCCAGTGTGGAAAAGCCAAACACCTGGAATTCCTGTATTGCCAACCCTGAAGAGAAAGACATCAGTCAGTGTGAGCGCAGGGTCCAGTCTGTGTGCATTTGCAACCTCACAGGTTTATAATGTTATCAGCATTTTTAATTATACCCGTGCTTTTCCTGTAATGACATGTTAGAATGTCTACCTGGAAAAAAGGTACATTATTTTCAGGTACAAAGCACACCCTGTAAGCCATACTTGAGACAATCAGCTCTAACAAAGGTAAAAGTGAATGTGAACAGCTTTTTTGAGTTTACATAGTGCCAGTTTGTCAGCTAGCAAACCCTCCTAACCCCACCATGAACACATTTCTTTATCAAAGTACTATACTTACTTTAAACTAGCATTGCAGGTGTGTTGCTTGCCAGCAACCACAGCTAACAGCTAATGAACTACAGCTGCTTTGCTCAATTCTCCAGGTAGCTAGTAATTAGCTGTTAGCTGTTAGCTTGCTACAGCTGAGGCTGATGGGAATGTTATTAGTTTTGCAGGTATTTGGTCATAAACCAAAGAATTGGACAAATTTGATCTGATGATGGAGTTAGGTGAAAAGTTAAGGGATCACGATTACGATTCCTCCTGAGGGGAAGATGAACCAGATTTGTGACACAACCTTAATGTTTTTTACTTACTGGTACAGGTTTTTAACACTCTGCTCATCACTGGTGACGCTGTAGTGAGGTCCCTCAGTTCGAGAGAAGATCAGATATGTGACTTCTCCTCTGCTGAAGCCAACTCTTGCAGGAAGCTCTATCTCAACATTGTAAGACTCCTAAAAGAAAAAGATTCTCCAATAATTAGCTTTAACCATTACATGAACTTAATTAGTGCATATCTACTAGTGCTGCAGTGGTAAAATTTTGAAGCTAATCAAGCTGTGAACTAAGGCCATGTATATTTACTTTGGGTCGTGTCCCATAGAAGTTCAGGCCACCTTCAGGGTAAAGGAAGAGAACGTATGAGTCGGTTTCATCATAACCAATTACTGCCTGGAAGGTATTGACCTAAAGAGAGAAAAGAGAAACAGCCTCAGTCTGAACCAAAATAAAAACAGGGACAAAAACTCTTGCAACGGTGATCTAAGTGCAGTTCTCTGCATTGGCCATTTTTCTGGTCAACTTCCACTCAGTTAAATAATCAAAGCATAAGGAGAGAAAAGACAGAAATGGAAGAAAGGTAAGTCTGTTATTGTTATTCTATTTAGTTTGTAGAACATAAAATCCCTTCACCTGTTCAGATTTACAAGGTTGTACGTATGTTTTGTCAAAACTGAATAAGACAAAATGTGTTCATTACGTTTCCCTAAATTTTTTCATTACAATTTTATTTTTATAGCTTAATTCTTATCTTAGTTTTAGCTGGGACAATGTAACTTTTGAAAGAAAAAATAACAAAATATTCCTGTTACAAATGATAAGCTGAATTCATAAGCAATAAAACGCACAGTTGCTTAGTTCCATACACTCAGGGTTTTTGGTGCTACAGCCTTGACTTGGTCAACATTTAATAGAATTTTGTCACAGGTTTATTTGTGCTTAACAGTACACATAAACATAAATATAGAAACAAAAATGTACAAATATACAAAAAAATGCAATAATACTATAATACTAATATAAGAAATGCAAAATATATACAGGATAATTAACATGGAATGTGCAAATATTCACAACATGAGAGCGTTTATACAATTTGCCTCTTATTCACCCATTCACACGTACACACACTCACACACAGCAATTATTAAGTCAATGACAAGTAGGAGCTGTGAACAAACTTCCAATCCTGTTATCAATGGACAACCCCCTGAAAAAAAGTAACTAAAATAAAGTTCTAAAAAGTTTTTTTAAAAGTAAAAAGTAACACCTTAGCATGTTGTTTCCTGCTTGTGTTTCAATTTCCCCAACCATCCTGTATCACTTGAGGCCACACTGGCCGCTGTTCAGCAAATGTTACAATGTCTTGATTTAATATCTGATTCATTGTAGTTCTTTCAAGAAAGCTGAGGTTCTGAATTATTTTCTTCATACACACGGTCTAAAAAGTTAAATTTTCTCTGGTAGAATTTCAGCATTTTGTTTTTATTTTCTGCCCCTAATGTTAGAAAGTTTAGCAGCTTGTGTCTAATAATAATTTTCAGCTTTGCAAGTGTCAGAGGGATGAGGTCACCTACTGTGTGTACAGAGTGGGCTCAACCACCCGCCAATTATTCCAACATTCACTCCTCATATTTAAACTTCACACCTCTCCTTGCACCTCCTCCCTATCTCCTCCTCTTCCTCTCTCATCTCTCGCTCCGCTGGGATTCGTGTTTAGACTTCTCACCCTTCACACCCCCCCTCCACCGACCACCACCAATTACTGACATACTGACCTGAACACAGAGTTTCTAAACATCTATTTTGCACAAATTAGGATAAATTGAGTCAGTATGAACTGATGCGTCAGGGAACTTCTTTGCTAAACAGTGGTGACTTGAGGAACTTGTGTCCTACATGTATGTGGGGGCGTCCAGCCCACTCTGCCTCCCAAAACCACTGTTAAAAAAACACAAATTTGGTGAATGAGGAGAAGACTGTGAGTGATCCCATGTTGTTTTCCTTTGGGACAGAATCTGATTATCTTTAAGTGCATACACACACACACACACACACACACAAACCAAGAAATGTACACACACACTTTGGTCTCTCAACCCCCAGCCCAGATGTTGATCTCCACAGCTGTCTTCCTGTGTGTCTGGACATCTTTCATGATGATGTTACAGCATGCAAACCAGACATTGTTACAATGTGAAACATGGGGTGCACACACATTTATATACAACCACAGATGTCTCTCCACCTATATTCGCCTCATGTGAATATATGTGTGTGTTCCTAATTGTTTACATCAACATCTTTAAACTATCTTGTTGTTTGTGGGCGGGTAGGACTTTGTATCCTCCAGGCTATGTAATTAGTAAAGAGGGGGTCTTTCTTTTTTTCTTTTTTTTCTGTCTTCGGGGAAGGAAGAGAAGAAGCTGGAGTTACAAGAGGGGATCTGCTTTTCCTTTGTCCTTAATATCCCTTCTAAATGTCTGTACTTTTCTCTCCTGCTACCCCTCCTCCTTCCTGGGAGGAGGAGAAGAGGGGAGAGAGAAGATGAGAAGCAAAAGGAGGAGGGGGTAGAGGAATAGAGGTATGGACAGATAGAGAGATGAAAGAATACAAGGGGGGGGAGGCTGTAGGCAGAGTTGGAAGAGAGGCCATAGGTCTGGTTTACAATGGGAGAAATATGGGGAGACAGAAAAGAGGACATGTCTCCAGTACAGTTAAAGTCAACAAATACATTTAGTGCAGACGTTTATTTTCCCCTCAGGATGAATTGTAATAACTTTGATCCCCTTAACTTTTCATCTAGCACCATCATCAGGTCAAATTTGTTGAATCCTTTGGTTTATGACCAAGTACCTGCAAAACTGATGACATTCCCATAAGCCTCAGCTGTAGCAAATGTTAGCCTGCTGACACACTAAACTAAGAGGGTGAACATGGTAAATATAAAAAATTGCTAAACATCAGCGCAGTAATATAGTCATGAGAGTTAGATGAGATGATAGATACCACTCTCATGGTTGTATAGTAATCATTAAGCTAGAGACAGTAGCCGTTAGCTTAACTTAGCTTAGCATAAGACTGAAAACGGGAGAACAGCTTGCTGCAAGGCACTGGGTTGTGGCAAGAGTTTATCCTCTGAGCAGCTGGGCCAGCAAGAAACTAGCTGCACCTAGGACTGAAATGCTCAGATTACACATTAGACAAAGACATATTGAATAGGTAAAACACCCTAATCACATCATAATAACCATTTTTAACAACAGGTAATAAAGGCAACCTTTGGACAGAGCCTACCAGCACCTCTATAACTACAACAGTTACAAAATATAACATATTAATTATCGCAGTGCCATCCTAGCGGTTTCCTCGCTGCTTCCAGTATTGCTGGCTCTAGCTTCATATTTATGAATTAATAAGCAAATTATATTACTAATTAACATGTCATATCCTGTTATGTATATCCTGTTTTTAATACATACAAAACCTAAAATGAAGAAATAACAAATTGTCATTGTGTTACCCTGCTTCCAGTATTTATGTTAAGCTAACAGCCTCCTGGCTCTAGCTTAATATTTAGCGTACAGACATGAGAGTGGTATAGAGCTCCTCATATAACTCATATAAAAATAAAAGAAAATAAGTGTAAAAATGTCAAACAATGCCTTTAATTTGTGCTCTCCTCTCTACCCCTCCTCCATCTGTGTGGTCATTTACTGTGTTTGAGTCTGTCTGTCTGTGTAAAGTAGTCCTGGTGTGCTTCACAGACTCACAGCTGGAAGACAACAAATTGCAGCTGACACACATCAAAGACTTTCAGGCACTGTAGCTCAGTATGTTTGTGAGTGTGGGCTCTGACAGTCCCTCCACACACACACACAACCCCTCGACGTCCCTACAGGCATTTTGTCACACCTTTTTTAAAGAGTGTCCTCACACTGACCAGACACACAATGTTAATCGTTGAGGGGACCAACAAATGTTTGATGTCATGATCATCCTGGTTGTTCGAGGTTTAGGTGGTAACATCACCAGTCTGCTACGTTTGTCTGACGCACGGTGGGGGTTTGACAGTCTGGAAATACCCAACAGCCTAAATGAATCATCCAAGCAAGTTCTTTGTTGTTATTGTGTTTCTCGCCAAGAATTGGATAAGAAGATCAATACAAGATGTCTGTAAGCTAAATATAAAGCTTCAGCCATCAGACGATTAGCTTAGCTTGGCATAAAGACAGAAGGCAACTCTAAAGCTTACTAATTAACACGTTACATGTGATTTGCCTAATCCATACAAAAAGCAGGAAGTAAAAACGACAAGTTGTGGTTTTACGAGAGTTTACGAGCTGGACTATTTTCCTGGGGCCTCCACTTGTTGCCTGTCAACCTCAAAGAACTTCAGGAAGTCCCTGCACTCAGTAAAGAAAGTTAAACTCCTGTAAACCCCCAACTTCAACATTATTTTTAATCTTTTAGTTTGGATTAAACAAACTAGATAAAATGTTTTAATTAGTAAGCTTCAAGAGGTGCTGGTAGGTAGATTTTGTTACCTGTGGACAGACCCAGGCTAGCTGTTTCCTCCTGCTTCCAGCTTTATGTAAAGCTAAGCTAGTCTCAGCAAGAAAGCAAAAAATTTAATATTTCCCTAAGTTTCAAACTATCCCATTGAATTATTATTATCCCATGAAATATGTATCTATGTATGTGTCTTTTATCAGCATGTTGCCCAGTCTTTGCGTTCAGACTTCAGCAGGAAACCAGGCAGACCTTCTTAGTTGACACTAAGTTAGCAAGCATGTCACTTGCAATATAATATGTCTTTATTGTATAGTACCTTTGCATACTCTACTGCAGCTGCAACCTTGTATCAGGTGTTGTTTGTTCATTTTGTTTGTCATTCAATTCAGCCTCACCGTATTTTACCTTAGTTTTGTCTTGTTTAGAGTTAGTTTATCTATAAGTCTGGTTTAATCTATCATAATCCAGTTTAGTCTACCATGCCATCCATAGCTAAAGATGAAGATAGTTTAGGTAAGATGACTTTCCATCTTATTTGGGTTTTGAATAAGTGACGCCATACTTTCCTTAGCCTGGAACATCCCGAGGAAGAGAGAGACAGAGATCGAGGGAGGTCAGGTTTGTTGGTTGCTAGTTTTTCAGCTCGTCGGCCGCAGCACAGCTGCAAACAGGCACAGAGAGACGGAGAGCAGCTGCAGTCCAGTTGCCAGCATCACCAGAGTGCTACAAACGGAACTGCCTACAGCGTGGGAACTGGCACACACTCACAAACACACACTAACAAACTCACGCACACAGTGCAGGCTTGTTGCCAGGAACAGTACAGTCAGTATTTTGCTGTTGTCATATGAAAATCCCTTCTCCAGTTTATTTGGGTGACTTTCCTGTTATAACTGCAGCTGCTTTTCCAAAGATTGAGGAAATTGTACAACTTCAGGGTTTATGAAATCTTTTCAAGGTACTCATGAGCACATGGTGGGTAAAACCATAGCTGCTTTTCTTGTGAACATGAACATCTTTCCCAGTTCCCACAACTACAAACCAGAGCACTATGACTCTACTAGTAATTTGTAATGACCGCCAAGATCCCAAGTCTCAGTTCTGGTGGCTATTATTGAGCTGTATAGCCACAAGGTTAGGTAAAGCCTTTAGTTTCTGGTTAATACAGACAGGCTCAATGGTCTCTGATGAACAAATCCGTCCCATGGTATAAAGACAGAATAACATATTATGAAGGCCGAAGTTCAGTAACCGTCCGCTTTGAACCAGGATGAACATATTTAAAGGGATGCCCCTTGTGTCACTGCAAGGGGCCCCCAGAAACAACAAATAACACTAATAGAAACAATAGTTCCTATTGTGATACAGAAAAGATGAAGGGACGAGGCTAGAGGAAGAGAGGCAAAGAGAGCAAAATGAAAGGCGAGGGCCAAATCCAACAGGGGAGTCCATTTATTCATTCATTCAGCCTCATCTGACCTTCACACAGCAGACATGTAAAATGGTGTTCAACCTTCAACACTCCTTTTTTGCACATTTAGCTTTGAAGAGAGCTCGAGGGGGGAACAAAAGGTCAGTTGTGGTCAAACATAAAATCACATTCCTCTTCAAATTGCTGCTCATGTTTTCTCAGGATGTGCAATATTGTGTATATTGTAAGGCATACCTTATATTTTCACTCTGTACCATTTCCTTTGAAATATCTTTGGATTATGGACCCACATTTTGGCACGCATCACACCACAGTCCATTCAATAAGATTTAGCGATCTGTATGAGATCCTAGTATATTTTCTAACTGAGACATTTGGTGAATTATATGATGCGTACATTAAACTATTCTGCATTTTCCAAGTAACCCACTGTCAAATATTAGCAAGCACTGTGAGATATTACAACACTCAGAGTCTCCAGACATGCTAGCAGCTCTGTGCGGTTGTACTTTAAGCTAAATCCTAAAGTCAACGTCAGCATGCTAGCGTGCTCAGAATGATACTGACATGCCATTGTTTAGCAGCTATCATGTCCACCATCTTAGTTTAGAGTGTTAGCATGCAAACATTTGCTAATCAGCATTAGCTTTTCCTACTATTTAAGCTAAGCCCCTCTCTGCTGGCTCCAGCTTCATATTTACATACAGACCAGACGTGACAGTGGGGTCAATCTTCTCATCTAAGTCTTACCAAGAGAGCAAGTAATGAGCGTATTCCTGTAGTAGAATGATGAATATGCCACTCCTTTGGTCAATTCAAAGTACCATAAGTTTGTGAACATGATCAACTTCCTGTCAGCAACCATAAACTAAGACATCACTCCTTTGTCACAATTACTATGTAACATCAAATTCACGAAAAGTCACTTTACTTTTACGAGTTACAAGGGAAACGTCTGAGTGGGTCTGTTGTTTCTTTTATGTGTTTTATGTTTTATTACCTTGTCTTGCAATGAATAAGTACTGCACTTAATTTTGTTGTACTGTTAACAATGACAATATATGTATTATATTATGTTATTCACATTGAGCTAACTTTGATTTCTGATAACTCATAGGAGTGGAAGACCAACCCACCAATATGATAGGGGTCCTCATGTGAAGAAGGATTAGCAAAATGCCGCTCAAAGTTAAGCCTGCTGAACACTTCCTGAAAAATCAACGTTCAAAAGGCCAGATTCTCTGTGTCAATGGCTCTGGTCATTAGCAAACTGGGCTACATGGTAGTAGATACAACAGAGTGTGTGTTTTAGGTCTCAAGTGAATCAGTTATTTTCCAATTATGATAATAACCTCTTTAAGACTAATTTCATAGAAAACACAAGCCCACTTTTCATCGCTGTGAACTTTCTTGCGTGTGCTCTCATTTTCTCTCCTCTACTTTCCTGTTTTTTCGGCCCTTGCTGAACTTCTCATCTCCAAAATCGACCCTCAAACACCACACTGTCTGCCCCCTCCCCCAAAACACTAGCCCACCCCGTCGCCCCTAATACACAACCCAACAAACACACACCTCAGGTTAATCAGTTCACACACACATACCACTCCACCCCCAACACACACCCACCCCACCCGGCACCTCCGGCTAATCACTTCAAAGGAAGATGCTATCAGTCCGAGGACAGACCCACTGAAGCATATCCCAGGAGGGACCCCAACTGCTCCAATCTGACAAGCCAGACAGAGCTTTTAAATAACAAAACAAACCCCCACTTAGCACATGTTAAAAACACATTTTGCTATTTAAAAGTTTGCTCGACAGTGGATAGAGACTTGGAGACTAATTTCCAATATTTGAGATGCAATCGCTCGATTTGTCCATTTGGCAGTAATGCAATCAAAATGAGCCCCAGGTACTGGGAAATGTCTTAAGACGCTTACTTCTATGTATCCCCAATAGACTATTTGAATGTTTAGCTTTTGATCAATCAGGAAGAAAGAAGGAGGCATAAAAGAAACCAGACCAAAGGAGTAAAGAATAAGAACAGATGAGAGAGAGAGGGAGAGAGAGAGAGATCTCCTGGGGGGTTTTACTTAAATCTGCCACTCCCTTCATCCCTCCATCCCACATGCTACAAACCAGGAACAACAAAGCACTGTTTGTTTGATCGATAAGTTCAGTAGGCCTGGCTTTACTTGGAGTCTTTCCCGGAGATGAACTTACTCAAAAGCCTCTAGTGCTCCTCTAGGAGACATTTGATTTTAAATGTCCATAATCTCTTAATCACTTTTTAGGAAGGTTTTCAAGAAAGAACCATTACGTTTGGCGTCACTTATAAAGAAAATAGAAAATGTGTATTATTGGTACACTTCCTATTAATGAGGCATCCCATCAATTTTAGTTCAGTTTACCCGTCGAGCACTACTCGCCCTGTGAAGACAGTTGTATTATGTCTTTGTCTACATGGAAAAGGCTTCATTCCAAACAAAGATCCAGAAATTTAGGGTCTACTGCAAGATGCTACTGAATTGTACAATGGGAAATGTAGGATCCAGCATTTCTGGACCCATTCAAGAGACTTAATCTGTCTCTTGCGAATCCCCCAATTTATTGGAAGTAACAGACTAAATCATTGCAAAATGTGTAATTTGTCTACAGGCAAGCATACTACTCAACAAATATGGAAAGTAAAGTTTCTAATAATGAGTGAATAATGTTTGGATATTTACTTGCATGTAAATGGAGCTTTTCCTATAAGAGAAGTCCTAGTTTCCCTATAATTAGTATCAAATTACATGCCTCTTTCCAGGACAATTCCTAAGAAATTCCTAGAAAATTACGGATGTGTAAAGTGTTACCCTCCTCCAGAGGTTGTCAAACTGTGAGGTGTGCCTCACCAAGAGGCGTGGGAGAGTTGAAGGAACATTGCGGAGGAGATGATCGGTGTATGCCAGTGGTGTAAAAACAGCTGGAAGCAGGTTATTATAACTTGGGCCAATGATGGCAGTGGATGTGACACACAGCTCAAAGAGGCACTTAAGGTACTTTAAAAACCCTTACATCCCAACTGCCACAGTTTGTCTTGGTAGTCCATCGCAAAGAAACATCAATAAATTTGCTGTGAAATCACATAAAAAGACGCTTTTTTTCAGTTTCAAAGTGATCTAATCACAGTTGTCTGTAAATCCATGGATACACTACAAACAGGAACTTCTAATAGCTAATTCAGCATACTTTAATTGTGCCAATTTGCCAAAAATGTAAGAAAAAAGGGCTCGTGTTATAGCCGACAGCTAACTAACTGATTCTAAGGAAACATTATATTTCCTATTCACATCCACCAAATCCCCCAAATTATGCCAACTGTGGCTCCAGATATGAGCATGAATATCCCCCAAATTGAAGTGAGACGACGGATAATAAAAGGAGTTACAAGTTATTGGGTGTCAGAGTCTGATACCATGGGTGTGTCAGACTTTTCTACTACATTCACACTGAGCTGAGACACAGATACCCAGCGGTATTTTGGTATTTGTCTAACTGGTATGGAGGTGGAAAAAAAGAATATTCTAAAAATTTTGCACCAAAAGTTTGAATTTAAGAAACTTTGAATAATCACTGAGGTGAAATGGGGCTTGCTGAAGAGCAGCATTTTAATGGAAAACCAAGATATTAATTGGTAACTGGCAGACAAACAAGGAGGGAAGTAATGCCCAACCGAGCATGAATAGCCAAGACATGTCTGTGTCTACCTGTGTGCGAATTGGAGGAGGGGATAACGAGTCTGCACTTCAGTGACCCTTAAAGATGACCTCTGACCCCTTGAAAAGGTTAACAAGCAAATTAGGATGGGAAGGGGAATTATAAATAGACTCCCCACCCCAGGCTGATTACAGGTGATGCACATATTCAGGAATTTGGGGTCCAAAACAAACTAGAGAGGCATATGTGAGTTGTTTACGTGATGATAAAATGAACTAATTCATTCATAAATCAATACACAGACAAACAGACAAGAAGGCCTAGAGATAGCACTCCCAGTCCCTCCATCCATCTTACCTTGTTTGAAGGTCCATTGGTTCGAGTTTGCTCTTCATATGCGGCGACGTTCTCCCACGTTGCAACCACAGCGTGTGTGGGAGTGAACTTTGCATCTGGGAACCCTCGATTTACTTCCTGAGTGAGCAGATGAGTCAATGATGAAGAAAAAGAAGGAGAAAAGAATGAAGGAAAAAATGGAGTGTGCAATGGATTGAACTAATGGATGAAGAACTGGAAAAAGGAAGAATCCACATCTGTAGTTAAGTACAGTGCAAAAAAGTATTCATCTCAACATGTGACTTCAAGCTTTTACTACCTTGCTTCAAAAGTCTGTAGTCAATTTACAATCATATAATTGGAATTACTTTCTCTTGATAAACAGACCTGGGCCACTCTGTTGAGTACACTGGGCGTTTCGGTCACCCGGTAGTAAATCTGTCCTCGCCCTCCGCTGGTGTCAATGTCAGCCAGAAATGGCGCCACCACAGGGAAATCTGTGGGGAAGCCGTCGTCAACGTATTGCTTTTCCATCGGCAGGTCCTGGGCTGATATGATACCATTGGTAGCCACCTAAAACAGGGAGAGTCACTGATTAATAATTAGCCTTGATGGCACCAGCAGTTGAATGATAGCTACCAATGGTGTTCCTGTAGACCACCTAGGAAACCTTCATGGAACACCATCATGAACCCATGGGACCTCCTAATAAACCTGTATCCCCTCATAAACCACTGGAACCTCCTTGGGCACTGTAAGAACCCCCTCATGCACCCCAGGAGCCAAATAATGAACGCAATGATTCCCCTCTTAAACCACTGGAACCTCCTCAGGACTGCAGAGCATGACACATTCTGATGGCGTCGATGATGTGTATAATTACTGTCACTGCAAAGTGACGTGCTTTGTAAAATATGGTGGTACCTGTACTTTACTTGAGTATTTCCAGACGAATAACAAATGATCCGTTTATAAAACATGATGCATTGCTACAGGTTACACCCTCTATAAACTATTTAAAAGTAGCTCCACCTTAAACCAGCCGCAATATTGAAATGCAGCTTACATGTTAATGCAAAGGTTTTAATAATCTCATAATGTAATATATAACAATACAACACTGATCAAGTTACTTTCAATACTTAAAGTAAATTTTGCTTACAATACTTTTGAATGCAGGACATTCACATGTAATGGAGTATTGTTACATGGGATTTAAACATTAAGTATTGCCTAATGATCAATGATCAATCAATAATAATAATGATCCAATCACAATGGCAGGAGCAGTACCCACATTTTTTAAGTAAAAGTAGCAATACTACAGTGTAGAAACACTCTTACAAGTATAAGTCCAGAATTCAAAATTACACATAAGTAAAAATACAAAAGTATTAGCATTAAAATATCTTTAAAGTATCAAAAACTTTGACCAAAGATTGACCCATTTCCAATTGATATACAGGACATTATGTGTATTATTGGATTCTAACTTCATTCATGCATTCATGTGTAAGCATCACTTTAATGTTGCAGCCGGTAAAGGTGGAGCTACTTTGAATTACTCCTGGGTAGCTTAATCTACAATAATGCATCAGAAATTCTTCATTTTAAAAATAATTTCTATTAATAATTTGATTCTGCAAAGTAACTAAGTAAAGCTCTCAGGTAAATGAAGTGGAGTAAAAGTATAAAGAAGCCTAACATTACTCAAGTAAAGCCATTCTGCATCATGAGTACATGCACTTCACTGTCTTCAATACTTTCATCATTTAACTAAATGTAAATTAATGCTAAGGTTTAAATGCTGCAGACCGTTTCACTTCTTGATACTTCTTCCACCACTGGGTTTACAGTAATCATACTTAAAGTTATTCCAAGCACCAGCCTCTGGTGAGGATCTTTTTATAATGATTTAGACATCAGAACATGTTAATAAATATTTCCTTTCAAAATAAACATTCTCGAAATGTTTATATTCGTGAATTCTGCACAGGGGAGAATATGTTTAAATCGGATTATTGTTTGAGTTTTCCCATTCAAACACACCATAAAAAAGCCACCGCTCTACTGCGGAGCTTATTCAAACGCCACCTGCAAAAATGTTCACTTTAGAGAATCAATACAGGCTTTCACAGTCAGGAAATGCTAATCTTATAATAAATATTATAAAGTACCACAACTGAGATTCTGATTTTACATCAATCAGAAGCATGCAAATGAGTGTTAGTGAAGTTGTAACGTTACTCACATATAGCTGCGAGAAGTGGGAGCCGTAGAAGTATAAGGGTTTGGGCAGGGACAGCACTCTGGAAGTTTCATCGTCGCCCTCTGCCAATATGTGATCTCCACTCAATGTGCCATAAGGAAACATATCAAGCCTCTGGATGGCTGCAACCACACGCACACTGCAGCTCCAGCAGAGCAGACACACAGCCAGGACTTCCCCTCTCTTCATTGTAGAGCTGGGGGTGATTGGGCAGCTCTGCACTATGAGAGGGAGCAGCAGGAGAGAGGTACAGATGGGCTCAGAGAGAGCAGCAGAAAGAAGGAGAACTCTCCTCCTCTCCACCGAGCCTCGGATACTCTGTAGGGAGGGAGGGAGGGAGGGAGGACCTTAGGCTCCGTCCTGATTGGACAGAGGCGGGTTGAGTGACAGCAGGACGGGCGCTGGAGGTAACACATCTGGCTTGTATTAGAGACAAGACAAATAGATCGTTTTTAATCCGGATGTAACTCTATCTATTTCACAACAATGAAAAAAAGACATTGTGCACATTTTTATCTTACACACACACACACACACAAGAAAACCGGCTGAATTGCTTAAATCGTTGGAATTTCATTCATTTGAAGACATTTATCAAGATAGAAGTATGAATAAAAACGCCATAGGGTTACTTATATTCTTAAAATACAAACAGACTATATCATAATCCCTTAAAATTACTAAAGGTGTCCTTTTGTAAATCTAAACATTAATATCTGAAGTAAAATGTTTACATTAAAGCTACTTAATAATTAGCGCCTATTAGCTTGTGCATTTCTAACTAAACTTACAAGTTTTATTTAATCTACTGAATTTGAATATATTTTAGTTAAATAGTTCATTCACTCATTAAAGGCCATGGAAGCAACTTTAAAATACTTCACCTGTGTGCCACCTAGTGTCTGCAACAGCATATTGCCGAGTATACGATGAACAGTGTAGGCCTACTCCATAAATCTGAAACTGGAGTTTAAACAAAAGGTTGAGCAATTAAATAAAAATAACAAAGAATCATTTACTAAATAATATTTTTTAAGCAAAATACAGATCATTCTCTGCTTCCAGCTTCTTAAATGTGAGGACTTTGAGAGATTTTCTCTGTTTTGCATGATCTTTTGGCGTTGGTCAGACAAAACGAGAACCTTTTATAGAATAAAGTCAAGTCAAGTTAGGTTTATTTATATATCCCAAAGTTGTTAGTTGTGTTTGAAATGAGACAGTGACTATGAGTTTAAAGAATACAGTCTCTCCTTTAAGCTTCTTTTAGAGTGTTTAGAGACAATTTTAAGATGGAGAAAGATAAATTATCCCAAACACAATGGCCACATCAGTCAGACAAATGCCATCAGTCCAGCTGAGCATGTGTTTCCTCTGCTGAAGAACTGACTGAGGGCAAAAAGCCCAAATTACTATAGTACAGTGTGGTAGCAGAAAGTTGATTTTACCTCTATGCTTTCTGATAATCATACATATAATTTACATACTGTCCACTATGCTGACCAGTGTTTTAGCTACAAAGAACATCTGTGAAATAGTTTTGTCATTTCTGTGAGAACCTGAGTATCAAGGCTGAGAATGGCTTTCTTGTAGACCCCACAGTTACCTCATGCACTAACCTTCGCTATCCATCCATCTGGGTTAGATGCTCTAAATCACCCTTGGGTGTCTGAGCGATCTGACCCAGCTGAACTGTTTGAGTACTGTTTTTTCTTACTTTAATCAATCTCACAAGGACAAACTCTCCACAAGGAAATATACAATTTAAAATTGATTACATTTTGAGCAATTGGTTCAACACAAAATCAGCCCTGATGACAAAGCAAAAACACATTTTAGGTTGTTTGTGTGCACATTTATATAAAAAAAAAATTAAATGCTCATTTATAAAAGGTAATCAGACTCTCCGTGGGTTAGTTTGTGTTTCCTTCATTCTTTCTGGCAGATTCTCTCGAGCTCTTGACACCCTGGAGCAGGTTTTCTTGAAGGCCTTCTCTGTTTTCAGCTTCATCCTTCCCTCAGTTCTGGCCAGTCTCTTTGTCCCTGCAATCAAGTTGCTTTGTGTTGTAAAGTGTTGGGGACATAAGGGCACATTAGGCGTGTGACGATACACAACACTGGGTTCATGAGCACAAGACGAGAAGATATTTTAACCCTATTTTGAAGAATTGTTCAATGCTGAAACAAATGATTTGGGGGTCTCCCAGAAAATTTTGAGCATTCATTCTGGAGAAAGTTTCTGCATCAGTTTATGGTGCAAATGTCTTTTTGTGAAGGGAAACACAAAATTCAGGTGGCAGGTGACAATTCAAGATTTAAAAATATAATGGAATATAATACCATAATATGTAGCTTGTTTTTTTGGACAATGCACATTTGATTCTTCTACATTTACATTGCATTGCATGTTTTCCTATTGTGCAAATAAACCTTTCTCAAAGCATTTTTATTTGTTATTAAAGTTGTCATAGCAAGCATTTTTTTAACAAATGCTTTCAAAAAGGAAAGGGGTGGGGACTTGTCCCCAGCCTCACCAATAAATGACACCTTCACAGCATGACGCTGCCACACAAAGGGGATGATGCTTGTACTTACCCAGAGGAACCTATAGGTGGAGTCAAAAGCAAAGCTTAGATAGTAAACCACACCGAGCATGACAGCTAAATACATTTCACTTCATTTATTTAGTGTGTGAAAACTATAACCTATTGTTTTACTTTGTACATCATGTGAAAAGATATTATAGTCTGCAGTCTAGCATGTATTAAATGATCAAATCAGTATTACATTTAGCCAGAATACCCAAACGCCCTCATGTAATTTGATCAGGTTTGCATGCAGATTGCAGTGTTCTGGACAAACCATGGCATATAATACACACTGGATCACATTTCACTCACAGTAATTTAAAACATTTAATCATTACAATATAATCTGATCATATTTTCCTCTCTGGTAGTGTTCCAGTGTGTAATTACAGGCTCCTGACTGACATCGGCTATTCACTAAAATCAGTGAACTCATCAATGATTCAGACAGGGATCATTACATCACACACACCAGTGAATTAGGTGACATAAAAAAAGTTTTGTGAGAAATGAAAGCCTCGCAGTCACACACTCTGTATGTGTGTGTGCATTGGGGGGGTGAGAGTGAGAGACTAACAATACATTCAGCACCTGTCAGCACTTCAACTGATGCCACACCCTCAACAAAGCCTGTTTAGCAGCAGAGCAGGGCATAGAAATTGTGGATTAACAAACACCTTGATCAATAATTGAATTTATTCTAATTAAAGAGCACAGACAGTGATGATCACCACTAGGATGCCGACGAAGCTTCAAAACTCTGGATTCTTAGTGGAGACTTTAGCTTGTGGATTTTGTATTGTATACATTGACTTGTCTGATTTTGTTTCAAACCACACTGTGAAAAGAAATTAAAGGAACATGGCATATGGCATACCCTGTCTACCATAAAAGTTATTTTAGTAAGGGATAGGTTTAGCTACAGAAGAGTTTGTGTTTGAATGGCGTGAAGCGTGAAGACAATGCCTACAGGTGTGGCTGTGTGAATGCACCAGTAGATATGGTATGGAATTTGTGTTTCTTTCATTGGCAAATTTCCAGTTTATGGGCAGGGTGATGTTTTCTGTATGGATGCTGGATGTCTCCTGATGGCCGTTGGTGGTGAAAACTGGGCCGTACAGCAGGAGACAAGGTCAAGGTTGTCTGCGTATGACAACACCTAGACAAAACAGTTGAACATCAAAAAACAGTCAAAATCGCAGGAGTACAGGTAGATCCTTGGAAATTGACTTCCACCGTCCCACCGGAGTTTACTTATCCAACCAGACTTGTTATGAATCAACTCCATGATGATGGTATGAGAGCCGGACCACCAGTCACAGGCCCCGATTCTTTTCACTTTTCACGTAAACACCAGAACTGGCAGCTTAATCACTGAAGGCTGGTACTTTTCTCAGATGAGATCAGGTTACTGTTTCAACTAATGATAGGGGCGTGTTAGAGTTTGGAGACGCTGGGGAGAGCGGTATATGCTGACTGTAACATTGTTGATGGGTAGGGTGGAAGTTCCTTCATGGTTTGGGCCACAGTGTGTTTGGGTGGTCGTACAGATGTGTTCGGCAGAGGTGGTATAACAGTCCTGGAGCCTACTGTCAGTGTGTCTGCAGGAGCTGCTGGTGATGACTTTATCTTAATTAAGATAATGTCCGTCTCCATGAAGGTATCTCTGTGATGGACTGGCCGGCCAGGTCTTCTGATTGACACCTGATCAAGCATGTCTTGGATGTGCTGTAGACAGAAAACCATCCTCCAGAAATTGTTCAGAGCTTTATCAGTGTCCTACTTGAAGAATGGCAGGAAATTTCCCAAAATGACATTGTATAGACCATCAGCAATATGCCACAGCTATACAACATGTTTGTTGACTAAATGGCATTTTATTTTCACATTACATGTTGCTAAGTACATGTTTTTTATGTTTTTGTAACGGTGTTCCTTGAGGGTCACATTGTATTAATGTTTCATTGTTTCTGATACCATCTCAAACTGATCAAATACAACCATGCGCCAAGTTTTTTTGGCCATAGCATTTTGGTAATAAGAAATATTATTTGAAGTATATCTGTCCCTTTAAGTGTCTTGAGTTGTGTATTATCTGGGACACTTATGAATAAAGGTCAAAACTGCATCTCTTTATCATAAGTGGATAAAACACGTAATAGTCACTGAATGAAAATCAAGGAAACAATTGCTCCTCTAAACACCTGCAATCTAGCATTGGTTTGAACACAAATGAAATAATGGGAAAGAAAAAGGAAAAGAGAGGCAGACAAGGGTACAGAAAGGTATGGCATAGGTGCAAGGTAAAAGAAGCCTCTGCTGCGTGAAGAAACAAATATAGAGCAAGTGTGAAAGAAGCAGAGAGATGTAGAGATTGAGCTTTAAAAACAAAGGGAGCTAAAGAGACGCAACAGAAGAACAGGAAGCGCACAGAATTCCAGTGTCTGATAAGTGCTGTCAAAACAAAAAATAACCTTCAAAAATGTAACCCAGCACTCAAGATGAATTACTGTGTGCTTGCATGGCTTGTTTATGCCATAACATCAACACTTCGCCAGCCAAAGCACTTCAGGGTTTATCAATATTAAAATATCTGAGGTCATTTTGGAGTGGGGCAAAAGTGTGTGGAAAGAGAGACTGGTGCAGAGCCAGAGACAGAGTGAGGGAGGAAGCAGCGACCGCATGACGGCCATATGTCACAATTAGGAATTCGTTAATGGGCCTGGATAAAAGCACTCAAGTGCTGTCATTTCAGGGCTTTTAGCACACATCAGGACCCATTTCAGGATCCTGTTAGGCATTTATTCTACTCTTAACATGGGTGAAAAGGTGTAATTAGAATGACATTTTAATGCATTATGGAATTTTTGAAAGCTATTTTCCTGATAATGGGCAGATATTGCATTATGCCTTTAATCGTAAATCATCCAAATCCACTTCAGAACGAAAATATGGCACAACCCTGAAAGGCAAAAAATGTGAAAATGCTATAATTTATCAAACATTCAATGATTTCTCCTCTACGTTCTTAGGGTCATATGGGAATGGAGATTAGAAGGTTAGAAGAGATTGAGTCATGCCTGCTGGTTCATGAGGTACAGATAGAAAGATAAACACCCACATTTATCCCGCGGGGAAAGTAGAGCCTTAAATCCATGTGGTTGTGGGGGGAAACCCAGGAGAACAACATGCAATGCACTTCCTGTATGCTGCATCATTAAAGCCAAGAATCTACAATTCGTCATTGTCCCGAAAGCACGAATAATGAAGTGACGGGTACAATCTGAAGTTATGCAAATGTCTGTTGTATGTGAGAATTTCAACAGAACTTTTGTCTCTGCTGTGATGAATTGTAAAAACAAAAAAAAACTGTCTTGTTCTAGCTCTAGAGTGGTAGGATATACTGTTTTTGTGCTGTTTTATATCATTTAAAATGTATAACTGGATTGTTGTTTGGACACAAAACACCATCCTCGGCTCTGGGAACTTTTAATGGCACTTTTTCACAAATTTCTCGTGTTCTATACACTAGGCTAAATGATGAAAAACAAAATGTTGTAATGTGACCACTACTTTTGCTCTTTCAAGCCAAAGATCTAACATACTATTTCAAATTGGAAACTAAATGAAACATCTTTTACATAGTATAAATTATTAATAAATAATTCCAGATATTTGACTACATGCTCTGGTCTTACTGGAAGGAGTATTTACACTGAGCTGAATGTCATTTTCTAGCTGCTTCTGCATTTGAGGCTTGTACGCAAGGGGAGGGTGTACCCATCACGTGTGACGTCACCACATCATTGCCCGTACCCCGGGTCCATTCAAGCATTGTCTGCCTCATCCCAGTACCGCGCGCTACTCCCTCTCCACACCGCCTCACCTTTAAGCCGGAGCAGCTTTATAAGTGAAACAAACGTTAAAGTCGGATACTTTTCTCTACTTCTCAACCTGGACTGTAAAGACGTCGATACTACGGGGAGCAAGTTATAAAATAGGTGAGAACTTAATGATTTGGATGCGTCCACGCGGATGTTAACAGTTGCCTCGCGCTGTTTTCTCTTATAACAACACTCCACGTAGAAACTTTGTCATTGTAAAATTTCCTTGTTGACTGAAAAACGGTCATTCTGTCAGAGCTTTTACTTTAGTAATTTTATTTTATAAATATATTTTATATTTTAGTAATTAAGTATGTAATCGATCTTCTGTTCGGCACATATTTCATACCCCCAGCAGCATTATTTAAATTTATTTTTCCAAATAATTTCCAACTTTGACAACTAGTTACTTCGCCTGTATCGGACTTTTTCACACTCAATTAGCAAACTGGCAAACGAAACAACGGTGTGTCAACACATCTAATTTCCTTTATTGTCTGATTTTACAGTATTGTCCAGCTAATATCAGAACTGAACGTCCACGAAACACAACCAGCCGCCCTCAGACCCAACACCTGGACACATCTGGCAGAGCGCTGCTGTGTGTTTTGGAGCAGAAAACGGACATTTCCACACGCGTTAGCGTCTTTTTCGACCGATTCAGTGACTTTTGAAGCCCCCAAACATCATCTGAGTGGAGGCGTCGTGCGTTGGACAGAGCAAGTAGGCGAGTAAGTTATCTGCGTTACACATCCAACAGTGAAAGTGAAGGAGCGAACACACATACTCACAAAGTCAAGCAGAACAGATCTAAGAGTATCTTGTGGATCTAAGGCAGCTGCCAGATAGATAGATAGATAGATAGATAGATAGATAGATCGATCGGGAAATTCCGTGGGAAAACTTGGACTGCAGCTTCTGAACCTTCCGCCTGTCAGCTGACATCTGTCAACTGAGAAAGAGGAGGAACAACTTTGGGTTTCACAACTCCAAAACTAACACTGGAGCAGAGTTCAAGCCCTGGGATTTTTCAGTACGTGCAAATGTTCCCTTTTATGAGAGGGAGATGCTCTTCCTTTTTCTGTGTACGCATGGTATCAGTAAAGTTAGACAAAGACTTGCAAACATGAAATTAGGGTGGCCTGTATAGTCAGCATTGTTGACATTGAGTCAAAACAGAGTCTGGGAGTAAGATGACTGGTTCCCAAATGGTGCAGGATCTCCGCGGACCAATGAGAGGCAAATAAACAAATGTTGACAGTTTTGAAAATGCTGGAACGTAGCACTCATGTGCATCTTGTGTTTGATGAGCAGACAGAGGGGCTGCAGGCTGTGACTGACAGACTTTTGGTTTACTTCAGTTTCTAAAGTGCGGTTCTAGTAAGCATAGTAAATGTCTAAACAAATTATTATTACATGTCTTGAGTCACCAGTGATATATGTTCAGTTTTTACTCAGCACAGAAAAGTTACATTTATTTTCTACTGTTAATCTCACTAGCGCTGCAACTAAATAGTATTTTCATTATCAATTAATTAATATGCAGGTTGTTTTCCCAATCAAGTTTAATCAAAATAAATTTTTAAAAATAGCTGTTTTAATTTCCAACAGCTTAAGGTGATGTTTTCAAAGTGCTTGTTTTATTTGATGTTCATTGTAGTATCATACTGTATATGATAAAGAATTGTCACATTTGAGGAGCTTGAACCAGCAGATGTTTGGCATTTTATACTTGTCAACTATATGTACAATTAATATTTATCATAATAGTTCATTCATTTACTGTTGATCACCTAATAAATTAATCTGACTAATGATTGCAGCTCCGATAAATCTCCGATATTTTTTGGGGCTGTGGCTCAGGAGGTAGAGCGGGTTGGCCGTTAATCGGAAGGTCGGCGGTTCAATCCCTGGCTCCCCCTGGTTGCGTGTCGAAGTGTCCTTGGGCAAGATACTGAACCCCGAATTGCCCCTGGCGGCTATTCCGCCAGTGTATGAATGAGTGTGAATGTTAGTTTCCGTTTGAGCACTTAGGCTCAGTGTATGAATGTGTGTGACTGGTGACAGATGTAGTGTAAAAGCGCTTTGAGTGGTCGAAAAGACTAGAAAGGCGCTATACAAGTACGGAGCATTTACATTTACATTTACATTTTGTCTTCCTTTCTGTTCAACCAGGATGGCTGCAGAAACCGTTTTAAGAACACACTTTTGACACATTTTTGGAAGCAGAGTTTCGAGTTAATTCACCCAGTTTTCAGCCATGACCAACGCAGATGTTGAACTGTGCCACAATAAGCACGACATTGACTCCACCACGAGCCCGCTGATCAGCGCCTTCATGTTCGGTGCAGGCATCTTTGGCAACGTGGCTGCCCTGGTGATCATAGAAATCCGGCGGCGTAGAAACACGAGGGCAGGGGAAACGCGGCGGCATTCATTGTTTCACGTCCTCATCACATCGCTGGTGGTCACGGACCTGGCAGGGACCTGCCTGGTCAGTCCGCTGGTGCAGTGGTCGTATTCACATAACACTACCTTGGTGGGGATCTCGCCTGACACTAGAAGTGTGTGTTGGTACTTTGGTGTCACCATGACCTTCTTCAGCCTGGCCACCATGTTGCTTCTCTTCACTATGGCACTAGAGAGATCCGTTGCCATTGGGTACCCGTACCTGTACAGCCGGCACGTCACCAAGAAATGTGCCTATATCACAATCACCTTGGTGTTTTTTTTGTGCATGTTATTCTGTCTCCTCCCTTTTGCGGGATTTGGGAAGATTGTACAATACTGCCCCGGCACATGGTGCTTCATTGACATGAACCCGGCGGAAAGTAAGCAAAAGGTGTACGCCACCCTGTATGCCACTATTATGCTGGTGCTGGTTCTGGCTATCGTGGCTTGCAACGGTTTTGTGGTGTACCAGCTGTTCAGGATGTACCAACGTCGGAAGAGGAACTGCGGCTCGGTGATGGCAAACACGAGATCCAACAGCGAACGCAGGGTGATGTCCATGGCGGAGGAGGTGGAGCATCTCATCCTGCTGGTCTTCATGACCATCATCTTCATCGTGTGCACACTTCCCCTGGTGGTAAGATGACAGCAGATAACTCACATGCATGCTTTACTTTATTTTTTATTTAAAAATATACATGTAGAGTTTTGAGGCCGGTAAATATGACAACCAGTTGACAATGACTGCAGTGCCTGTTGCATCAGTTGTGTTGGGGCAAATTCACTCTGCAAGGACTAAGTGAACTGTCTTTGTTGGGGTTAACTTGCTCAGTGGGTCAAAAATTGATTATTAGGTTCCATGATACTGTGAGCGAGCACTTCCCATGACATCACCTTACATTGATGAACAGGGATGATCACATTTCTTCATCTGCTGTTTGCCCCCCAAGACGCCAAGCGAACCACCTGAAAAATCTGTGTTCATTTACAGCATAAAAGAATGTTATTAGAATTAGTTATTTAAAAGTAAATAATACAAAAATCTCTGTGAAAATACATTAAAAATAGACTTTGCTATGCAAGCTTCTTGTAGTTAAACCTCTACTTTGTTCTTTTTGTTATTTCACGCTGAGGGACTCAACATAAAACAAGCATCAGCTTTTTTTCTATAGTGAAAATCAGTAAAAACAAGAGATGTCCCTGGCGGATCCAGGCATATTTTAATGGATTGGTATCAGCTAAAATAAACCAACTCAAAATCCGATCCTTTCATTCTGAACTTTACTGTGTTTAAACAGTATTTCATCACAGCAAAATATTGATATTACATTAATATACTGCTCGGCTTTACAAGTTGAATAGGGTTCATCTTGCTTTAAATTGAAACTCTTGCACAGCAAATAGTTTGTGCTTGCATTGCACCCACTAAGTTGTTCTTGGAGAGGGATTAAAGCAAAATCAACATTAAGAGCAAATGAATAATGAACAATGATAAAGATAAAGAATATACTTGTTTTTGTGTGGAACTGTGGACAATATCGATGGGAACACTTCTTTTTAGAATAAATCCTGTATTTCCTGTAAATGATCTAAATTGTGTGATAATGACATAGGGTTGTGCCATTAATCAAATGTTGTTTTCAAGTACGATTTGGGCTTCCAGAGATTATGAAAACAAGATAAATCGAGATAAGACGAGTACAGTTCCGTATTACGTTTCACAATGACGCTCTCATTTTGTCTTGAGTTACAAATCCAGCGCACCCCTTTCCTTTACAGCCTCTAAGCACAAACTCCCTCTCAGCCAGGCGGTGATCAAGATGACCGGGGGTTATAACTTGCTAGTCACCATTATTAACTTAAATCTACATGCATGAATTAGCCTAGCTGACTTTTCCTCTACTCATAGCTTAAAATTTTTTTATTATAGATACTTATTTATACTTTTGTGACTTTTATACTTCATTATACGTTTCTCACACCATCAAACAGACCTGATATTTAAAGGGAACATCCACCATAAAAACAGCAGACTTTATATACAGTTAGCTGTTTCACTTTAAATTTCCTTCAAGAATCAAGGATTTGATTAGTTCTGTCATCAGGAAGCAATTTGGACAGAGAATTGTACTTGACTTGATGTCTTTTTTGCAAATGGCCTGTAGCTTCTGCTTGTCATCAGACATGCTGTTGGTTACCACTGACTGTGAGGATAAATGTTAAATATCAAAACAGGATCCAGATTAACTGATGCCAGTGTTGGCACAAAGCTTTGGTGTTGTAATTTCGGTGACCTTTGACATATTTCAAATTTAATTTGGCCGGTGAGCACCCATTTTGAAAGATGAGCCAGCAAATTGATTTTGGAGTCCCGAAAGAGTATTGATGGATGGAAGTACAAACTGAACTCACAAATGACTCGTCATTAGCGATAAGCCATTATGCTGACTCAGAAAGTCTCCTGGGCAATCTGTGTGCAACCACCTCATCATCGTCATTTTGTCAAGTGTCATTTTGGATTTCAAATGGAAAATCAATAACTTTCCCAGCAGCACATGAGGTGCACTTTATTGCAGACAGCAGTAATGCTCGGCAGATCCTCTCTCCTCTCCAGTGGTGACAGCCGACACTAAGACTTCGTGAAAAAAGCACTTTATCATACAGCCTGTCTCCCAGCAAAACCGACTCTCAAATGTCAAACACCACCATTAGAAACACAACAACTGAGAGGGTGTTGAAGCTGACATGCCGTTTGCACAAATATGTCCAAAAAATGTTTTTATCCTCTTAGAAAAATGACAGAAAAATGCACAACAACTGCAATATTATTATAGTGTGTATTTATTTACTTAAAAACTCTTTAGTTTGACTTTAACATGGATGAATGTCAGGATTATTGTCTAATATTGATGAAGCAGAAATTCTAGGTGATGTCTTGTCAAGAGTTAAAATTGCAAATTGATCAGTATAACTTTATAACATCGTTTCTACATCGTTGAGTAGAAAATGATTTAGGTTTTTCAAGTTCTTGATTCTTTATTTTTCTTCTTTGGCAGCATTGAAAAGGTCTTTGTGTTTCTACCCACTGATTACTACGGAGGCATTGAGGGCACATGTGCAAAAAAAGATTCTCGTGCACACCAGATAATCACTATCTGTGAGCATGTCCCCTTAGGGGCCTCGTACATTAGTCAGTCAGTGCATCGGCCATTTTATTCATTAAGCTGTGCATCTTCATGTCTGTTCTGTCCAGCTATTTTCCTTTTTTAACTTTGAAAGCATCCAGATCTTTCACTACTGCAGGCAATAGTAATCGTAACATTAATGTCAGCCATACATGCTGCTGAATCACTTGTGGCTGTCAGTCTTCTCTCCTCATTTCCATGTGTTGCCCTGCAGGAAGATGTAGAAAACCTTTTACCATATTTCATTCAAAGCACGTACTACGTGATTAGGCTGAGGGGGATTTGGGCTCTCTAAAGGAACATCCAGCCTCAAGTATTTCCTTTCCCAGTCCTTTCTTTATGATCCAGATGAAGACAAAATGTCTTCTTTACTGATACCATTTTACATTTTCAGTGTTCATCTGAACCCTAATGAGTTCTACTGCCTGAGCCTGGCATTATATGCAGTAGGACTTCAGTCAAAGATACTTCTACAGAAGAGTCTGTAAGTTGTGTTGGTAGGAACAAACTTAAGAGCTGTTGGAGAAAAGTGTCTAAACACTTATGAAAAGTGTTCTTACAACTTGCTGCAGTGTAAAATGCAGAAAGTGTGGTCAACTGCTGCATACTTCTGTTTGACATTAATTTAGTTAGAGTTGTAAAATTAGCTGTGGTTAATATTGTCACTTCACACATGCAGAGGAAGAATTGACAGACAAAGCAACAGTATCTACTATATTACTCTTCATTTAGATTTGAAAGGTTTGTGTTTGCTTTGTAGTCCCATGGCGACAATTTATTAAGAGCCTGTATATAAACAGTCATGGGACTGGAAACTCTACTTAAAATACAATAATGGATTTAGAAGGGGCAGTTCTTAGTTCCAAATACATTTATTTTGGAGGCATTTTTGCCCTTATATGACTTGGAAGTAAGGTCCTAGGCTGGACGCTACAACAAGGTGTTTTTTGAATTGTTTCTCACATTGAGGACAAAATAAAGAAAAAAACTGAAAAATCAGAAGCAGAAGTGAACATACTACCACCTCTGACTCAAGTATTCTCTCAGCACACAGATTTAAACCACCAATTTAAAATTTTGTTCTCTCCGTGTTTTGTTCTCTGAGCGTCAGACATTTCACATAAACACTTATTACACTTCCTGTTGGCGCTGAGAGAAGAGAAGAAAACTGGCTCACAGTGTGAGTTGGATTTCATGGCTGAACCTGGCTAAACCAAAAAAAATCTGTCTCCACATGCACACACAATCCTTCACCAGCTCTGTTTTTGTCTCGCACACATGGCAGGCCTGTCACTAATCACGGTAATGATCTCGTGTGGTTTTGTTTAAAACGTCACTGGGAATATGCATGAAGCTGTTCTACACCCACCACACCAATTGTAATAGCTTTTCCATCATTTGTACTTTTAAAGTGTATTCAGACTTTGTTCTTGTTATGCAACTATTACCACTTCCCTGCAGTGGTTGAGAAAATCTGGAGAATTAAGAATTTCTCTCTCATCAAACTTACAGCTGCTGAACTTAAGCACGACTCTGCCTTTAGCAGCTGTGTAGTTTGTTTGGAAGGCAGTTGCTCAAAGAAAACAACAATTAGTCATGGCAACAATTCAGCCACTGGGTTGTGTAACTGAGCAACAGGAAATTGGCTTAATGAGACTGGCGTGACGATGTTGGCGGAGCCATTGCTATTTCAGGAAATTGGGTACTTTTTACGGGAGCCGAAACCTGAGTCAAATTAGAAGAGAAACTTTACAATAGAAGAGAGAGGAAAGAGGGTGAGGAGTGAGATGGAGATTCCTTTCACAGACAGGAATTAAAGAATAGTTTGACTTTATAACCTCCAAGGTCACTTTTCCATTCACATTTAACTGGATATTGTGCTTCTCTGACCCCCAGAGAGACCATCTGCAACCATTTCCAAACCTGTGAACCAGTCATAGCTTCCATGGATTGTATTAATGTGCTGTCACGGCCTTGAGGCGCTCAGCCCTGGGAGTTTAATGCTTTTCATTTCACTGACATATTTGAACCACAGATGAGGAAATAATAAAGTTAAATCAGCTGCTCATTGATGGCCTCAATGGTGCTAATAAAAACTAAACTAATAAAAAAATGAATACAGCAGTAATTGATCTGAGAACACACGTCACAACAATTTGTGTGTGTGTAATGTGATGGAATGCTTTTCTTCCCCTATCTGATTGGAAGAAAGCTAAAGATTGAACATATTCATAAGACAAATTCATTACCAAGAGAAACATATTGTTGTAAATTCTATTATGCCCTATGAAGGCAAAACCCAGTAACCAAATTTGAATTTGAATCTGTTATACCATATAAAATAATAATATGCCCTAGAAATGGATATTTTCAAGTGCAGTAGTTAAAAACTAAACCTTATTGTAGGACAAGTAATCAAAAATTTTCAGCAGTTTTTATCAGATTTTTAGTCTATACATGCAGTTGTGACCATTGGGTGCAGTGCAGTTATGGCTCTTCCCATTCATTTAGATAGGGGCCTGATCTTGTTAGTCCGAAATAACTGCCTGGAGGCGTTACAAGATGGCTGCTAAGTGGCAGGACTTGCCAATATAAGGACTTTGGTTCTATTAATATAAAATTAAGTGACCGTGTGTTGCAAACCAAATCATTCCAATTTATTAAGTATGAATTATGGTTAAACTAGTATGTTTTTTATAATACTGGCCTGTTCCCAGAGGGTAAAACTTGTATTTTTCACTGTAAATTATTATCATCCAAACCTAGAAGCTCCTCTCAATTTCATGTTAAGAGAAGAAAAAGCTTTGTTTTAAATGTCAAATAAGTGCACAACATACGATGGTAATAAATGACTTAAAGCACTTTGCTCTTGCTAGAAAAAAAATATTTTATTTTTAAGAATATAATCCTTTTTATGAAAGATTCTTTCATTATCTGTGTATCTTTGTATGTAAATGACCTCTGCTGGACATCAGCATGGGAATCTCAGTTTGGTTCGATCTCGGCAACATCTGCCTTCCGGCCTCTCCTAAAACCACAGAGTACACACATGTTCATGCTCTCAATGATTAATAGGCTGCCTGTGTTTGTCTCGGCAGTCGGACTGAAAAGCAAACAACATGATGCTGAGAGTAATTGAAATGTCCTCTTTGAATTAGAACATCACTCCATTCTCTGCAAACATCCTGTGTGCTGAGACGAGTGAGTGCTTTCTGCATGCAAGAGGACAAAATTAGTAACCATGCATAATTGACTTTTTACTACAACATTATTATGCTACAGTTAGTTTGCGCAAACACATTTAAACCCTAAGAAAACACACACACTCATGTGATCCATGTAGCCTTTCTGGTTTGGCGATGCTGGTAACAAGCTCCTAAAAAACATGTCTGCATTTTTCGCCACACCACCCAGTCGTCCAGCACATTGAACACAATCTACGTTGCCGCGAGGCGACATTGTGATTTGACAAAAAAAGATGAATAATATGGATGGCAATGTCAATGTCAGCTAGACTGTAAATGTCTCTACAACTATTGAATCAATTGCCATGAAATGTGGGACAGACATTGAATACTGCTGACGTTGTTGCTCCCCTGAGTTCTCATCTAGCACTAGGGCTGGGCGATATGGCCAAAGATGTTATCACGATAAAAACATTTATATTATTTGATATCGATGAATATCACATAAATGTCAAATCATTATTTCTTTCCAGTTTAAAGGCAGATTTTTATTTCTGAGTGTAAATTTGAAGAAATCAGATGGTTAATTGCGTGGTTAAACTTTTCTTGATGGTCAGAATGTGACACTCGACACCAAACAGTGGATCACAGTGGATCAAACATTTATTGACGATATATTGAACATTTGTTGTATTGTTATTGAGGAATATTATATTGCGATCATTATCACTATTGTTTTATTGCCCAGCCCTGTCTAGCACCCCTTAGAACCACTCCAATATTTACCTGACGGGTACAGATGCACGACAAAAACAGCATACAAAGCAGGTTGACATTTGGTACAGTCGGTATTTTTTTAAGCCCTGAGATGAGAACGTGTTGGTATGTTTGGAAGATAGAGAAGAGATCATGGCTGAACTAAAGCATACATAAAGTGTGAACATGGCATGTGAACTCAAGAACTGTCAAATGGTAAACCCAGTGTCTTTCTTTATTGTGCTTTAATGTGCATACTTAAAATGGACTGCTATCTTGTGGTAGAATCAGAGAAAAGGTCATTGGTTTCCGAGATGTCCCACTTTATCTTTCAAATAATTGAACGGCAGCGTGGGCTCGACAATGGTATCACTGCATCTTGTCATAACAAAACATCAGTCTGCCACCCTGGCATTAACAACAGGTACTTTTAGTTGAAGAATCTAAACATGCACGATGAGTATCAGCTTGACATTTAAACAGATAAGTGGTTTCAGTTTCTGTTGTTCATCTCTTGTATCAGGCCCTCCCATCATGTCGCAAACCAAGAACCACTGCTATGGAAGGCTTAGTGTGGGATTCAAACCAGGATGTTAGCTGGGATGTGGCCGTCTGAGTGTGCCTGTAATAAATGATGTTAGCAGAGGGATTATGCCTTGGCAGCTACTTTAACAGACAATCTCTCTTTTCCGTCTCCCCGCCTTTCGTTCTTCTCTCTGTCCATCTCTCAGATCCGGGTGTACATCAACTCCAAAGGGGATGACAAGGGCGAGAGCCTCGAGTCTCACCATCTGGACCTGATCGCCCTGCGCTTCATCTCGGTTAACTCCATCATCGACCCCTGGGTCTTTATCCTCCTCTCGCCCAGTGTGCTGCACTTTTGCTGGGCCGCGGTTTGCCGGGCTCACCTGGGAGCCCCCAGGGGATCTATCTTTAAATCCTCACTGGCAAAAGATAATTCTCCGGCTAGGCTGGAACTGTCTCGCCCAACGACGGAGTACAACGAACATTTTCATACCGTGGAAACTCTATGACCGTAACAGTACTTTATTATTTGATATTTATATCGTACGGCACATGACTGGATAGTGTGTTCTCCTTAAGGATCACATGAAGCGGAGAGGTTCTGTGGGCCTCAGTATCTCTCCCATGTGGGTGGAGCTTCTTTATCTATTTTATGAGTGTTTCCATTAGATTATGGGCCTTCGTGTCTAACTGACAAACACCACCAACCAGTCCTAACAGCTGGTGGCTGCCTGTGTTTCCATCCATGTCTAGCATTTGAGCTATGCATGCTGAATGCATACTGACTTCTCTAGAGCTTTATATTTTAAGTGTAGAAGCTCGACTCCTTTGCTGCTTGTATTTTATTGCAAATCAATTACAGTAAAAGGGCTGCTGACAGGAGCTAGAAGAAGAAAGACACTTGATGATCTGGAATAGACAAACTGCAAGTACTTTTGTCTACATTGTGTTAAGATGAAGATGTGACAGAATGCAACATACTAAAGACATTCATCTATCGCTGTGTACAGAAATGTGATTAGCCTTTGATTCAGGACAACCAGTGAAGGTAGAGGTAACTAAATTACTCCCTGCTGTACATGCCTTCGCTGATTCATGCTGCTTTTCCAAACACTTGTTGCTGGCAGTTCCAGGGACTTGGGATGTCACGCAAGAAACTTGCGTGATAAAATGTGACTTCAGAAAAAAACTGGGAGACTCAGTTCCAGTCTGTCACATTAAGATTATGTTTATAAACCCTTCGGGATCAGGATCGTCGAATTGGGACCGCCCCAGAGATTGGGAGTCAGACCCAAAAGCTGCCTAATTATCCTCCAGTGTGGCAACAATACAGGCATGAACCAATGGACCACAGCTAGATATTAAAGACATAAACTTAGTGTAAATGAGACCTTAATTATTTGATTTTACACATGTACAGTATGTAGCATATAATATTATATAATAAAGACATTTTGTAAAAGGTTCATTATATGAAACTGCAGTTACCTTTTGACTTGAAAACTTCTGCTTCTTATCTAATTAAGTAACAGCAGAGTCATTATTCTCTCATTGTCTGCTTCATGAAATACTGAATAGAGGATTGCACATAATTGTAGCAAATTATGGTACTTTTTAAAGAGCAGTCTACCTCCTTTAATGGTAAAATAACACTATTATTTTTTTAAATGCGCTTTTACAGATCATGTTAATTAATATTAAAGGATAAACTCAAGACTACTCTTTCTTTCCTATATGTTGGAGCTGAAATTAAAAGGTGCCCTGTAGTTTTACGTTTACATGCACTGTTAATCACTTGAATAGTTTTATTTTATTTTTAATTAATCCAAATGCAGCAAATGTGTATCGTGTCGCTTGTGCTCCTGCATGTGCCTCCTCGTGAGCAACAAAAATGGCGATCCACACATAAAAATATATACGTACAAAACTGTTTGGTTGTATTGGAATAATCAACACCAGCTTCTGGAAAATGCTGTTTAAAATAAGTATTGAGCCTGTAAGTTAACATAAATTGAATGTTATCATTTAACAAGTACCATATTTTGCTTCCAATTTGTGCCATAAATCAGTTCTGACTTAGTGCACACATGTTAGCATGTTAGCACACAACATGTCATGTTGGCACAGAACTCTACTTTTTGTTCTGTATCTTGCTTTATTTTCTCTTGCCCGGTCACAGTGCCTGATAGTTATTTGGAAACTATGAAAAGAAAGCCCTTTATTTTTATCCCTCAACTTTATGACCAAAGTCCCAATTTCCTTTAGTTTTACTAGGGAACATCTTGAAATCAATGTGTGTCTTTCCAGAGGCCCACCATTCATATGGGTCAAAGGACATCCACTGAAATTGCCGCTCGTAGCCCAGATGGGAAACGTTCTGATTGCAGTCTTTATTATATCATCACACTGTTCAAACAAGTTCAACTGCCAACTAAAGCAAACACAGAAAAAGCAGGTTTGCTTTCAGGTTCAAGTCTAAATATCTCCCTTGCCATAGACTTCAGTCAGTTTAGTTAGTCTGCCGCCTGTTAACGTAACACATCATTACATTACACTGATGTCAGTTCTAACTAGCCTGCTGATATCAGATGACCACTGGATTTCATTGAAAAAGCAGGTAGTATTCTCCACTTAAATTTATCTGTTTGCATGCTTTAAATGTCCATCACCACAAGGATTTGTAACTATTACAGTATCTCCTCCTTTAACATGAATCCAGTTTCAACACGGGCTTAAGTTCGTGGCAAGAAAATAAGCAACTACAAATTTCTGCAGGATCCCTGGTCATAAATCTCTCAAAATAGCTGGAGTGACTCTGGTTATGCAACAGCAAAGAGTGTCCAGTTTAAATTGAAAGAGTTTTGTTGGTGTGTAAAATGTGAAAAGAAAAAAACGTTCTCAACTAGCTGTCATTTTAGAGGATGCCAGAAAAATGTGTGAGCATCAGGTAAACTTTGGGGCTGTAAGCTGCAAGTGTGAAGTGTGTGTGTGTGTGTGTGTGTGTGTGTGTGTTTGGCTATTGTGTTGTGAGAAAAGCAGTTTATTGCCTCATGTTGGTTCTGAGCTAAGCATCAAAATGTTCAGTGTTTACGACTTACTGCTTCCTGTGGATGTTTTGTGTGAATTTCACATCTGCGGGTGTGCCTTTTTTCTGTTGTGTGTGTTTATGTGGTTCCCATATACATGCTTGTGTGTCTATGTGCCTACAATAAGTGCAAGCTATCGAGCTAGTGTGTGTGTGTGTGTGTGTGTGTGTGTGTGTGTGTGATAGACAGCACTGAAATGATAAACCAGAATGCTACCTACCCGGATGTCTTGTACTAATTATAAAGTACTGTAGATGAAACTGATTGCACTGAACTCGTGAGTATGTGTAGGTTTGACGGCTTGTGTTAATAAACATCTCATCCACCACGTATTCTGTCTGACCAGCTTTGTAACACTGTTCCTCCACACACACACACAGGGGAGGGGTTACAGATATGGAGAACGCAACCTTCAGTTAGACTCGTGTGTTTCACTTTCTTTATATCTATTATTGTTTTCTTTACTTTCCAGGAAAGACAGGTGGCTTTAACCTAAGTAGGCCAACGTATTGCATTGAGCATGTCCCACTCACAAACCAAAAACAAAATCTGCGCTCGACTCATTTCAAAGGTAAAAGATTGATATAATGGACTTCACTACCTAGTTGCCATTAGTGACGCAAACAGCACTCTTACTTTTACCATCAGAGTAGGCTTTTATATGCAAATATGAACAGATTATGCACTCTTAACAGACACAACTGCATCTGAATTGTTGCAGCAACATTTGTTTTTTCCCCACAACACGACACAATTTGCCACAAACACACTGACAATGCTAAAACCTACAACTTCCGCTTCAGTATCAACAGTATTCCAGGTGATTGTTGTCTGTACAGTGTCATAGAGAAAAATAATACAGTATGGCCCAATGCAACTCTGACTTGTATTTTCCCTATTGTTAAAACAATGTATTTCCACTATTCATTTCCAACTGGACCATACACAGTTAGACTTTTTATTTTGTTATTGAAAATAAGATTCAAATAGAAATCATACTTTTAGGCACGTATATTTTGTTCTACTTCTTGTGAAATCCCTGACCACTTCTGGTATCAACCCAAATAATCTATTTTTAGTATATTAATGGATACCCCCAAATGAGTCAAGCTTTGTGGAGATTGGGTAATCACTACTGTTGTTTTGCTTTACATCACTCAGCAGTGATCTGTCACTCAAATGTTGCAGCCACACTTTACAACGTTGTTTTGCCTTTGGCAGATTTAACCGTCAAATGTTCTAAGTTCAGGAAAGGGTTTTCTCTCTATTTCTTCCTCCTCTCTCTCCTTTCCTCCCACCATTAGTCAGTGAACGTGAGATGATCTAATTTATCGGGAGTTATGATTCAGGACTGAAGACATTAAATGCTGCAACCCATTTATATGCCCATCTCTCCTTTCCCTCTATTCCAATCAAGTTTGGAAATTCATTTATCTCCAGCAGTGAACTAAGGCCCAAATAGTCTATCAGTGTGTGTGTGTCAGTGTAAATGGCTACATGTAAATATTTATCAGAATTTGATTGCTAGCTCCAGGTGCCTGATCACTGAACTGGAACATGAACTACCACGTGTATTAAAATTGTTATTAGCTTGTTTCTGGGATTCAACTCTCTAGAAAAGCATCTGATGTTATGTACTGGAGACTTCCTGTCCCTTCGTATGCTTATTAGATGAGTCATAGGTCTCTTCTTTTGATCAAAACATAAATTATGACAACCACAATAAGATAAGTATTTAATTCTGCCCACACACTGTTTTCTTCTAAAAGTCATCGTGGCTTTCATCCTGCTGATTGATGGGGGCAGGCTGTAAGAGCTGCTGCTAACAGAGGCTGCATTGCGATTTCTTATGCAAAAAAATGCTACAATACTCTGAGAGAGGCTGTTCTTCGCAATGAGCACTTTTAACTTTGATACTTTCGTGCATTTTTTCTGCAGTTAAGGACATTTTTTAAATGCACGACTTTTTCACCACTTGCGAAATTCCAGTATTTTCCACCTGGATCTCTCTCTGGATGTTCACAGTGGAGTTCATTCTGACTATGAGTCATGCTAACTTTGCACTCATGCACTCACCACTTCCACTGTAGAGATTTGGGAAATGCAACTGTGGCTGTTTCTCTTAAACACTTGACCGAAATTAAACACTAAGTAGCAGCCTAGATTACAGCAGATGTTGTAGTTAACTGATGCTGGCTAAGCAAAATAGCCGCACACCGGTTGTTTTAAGTGTGGGGCTGTGGGTTGCAGGACATTTAGGATTTATGCTTGTTTTGCTAGAGTTTCCTGAATCTCTATGACGGAGGTGGTGAGTGCAAAATTATTATGACACACATTAGGATGGAATTATGAGAATAAGACCAGAAAAACTGAATTTTGCTTTAAAGCTGCAATAAACAATATTTTTATATTAACAAAGAATATTTTTCCCAGTAAGTATCTCATGCCACTGAGACAATATGCAGAATACTGGAAAATTTTACCTAAATGGAAAACAGTTGTTTATGTGTTTCTTCTGCTACAACATGCCAAAATAGCTGCAGTGAAAAATGTACGGCTCAACTGACTGTACACTTGGTACTCATCACCCTCATCAGTGTCATTTTCAGATGCAGCTGGCAGCTCTGACAAACCCACTGTACACAGCCTGCCCAGTGCCAAGCAGCAGACAGACAAGCGACTAGCTGATGAACATCGTGGAGCAGCCGGATATTTCACTCAGGAGATGGAAAAAGGTTGTTGTTGGACTTGAATTCACCGGGTGAACACAAACCAGCCTCCAAATGAATGCTAGTGTTACTATATGTCTGCTTCATGTTTAAATCAACAACTTTATAAAGCTTGTTCCGCTGCGCCCATGTGGCCAAAGAAAAAAAAAAAAAGAACGCATGACTGTCACAGGACTACTTTCAACACATACATTAACTTATATACAGGATCTGAGTATTTTATCCAACACTGATAAACACTGGAGGTAAATTGTTCCAATTAACATTAAAAAGTAATGTTTTCTATAAGCTAAAGAGCAGCAAATCACTGGGAAAGTTGGGAAATATTTAAGTTAAAGAGGTCATATTAGAGTTTTTGGCTTTTTCCCTTATTGTGTTATATATCTAATTTGTGCATGTAATAGGTTTGCAAAGTGAAAAAGCATAAAGGCCAGCCCAAAGAGAGTTCCCATCTCCCACAGGAAACACTGCTCCTGAAATGCCTGAAAACAGCTCTTCCGTAGTCCAGCCTTTACTTCCCTGACCAATCTGCGTCACTTTGTAACAGTGTAGACTGTGTTAAAGTGTATTAAAAAAGTGTGTAGCACGCGTCGTAATACTTGCTTTGCGGCTAGTGTGGCACTCCCTCAATCCAAGCTAGTGTGTGAGTGGAGACCTAAAGAGTTCAGTTGGTGGTATCGGCATGTCTGGGAGACGCTGTATTCGTCAGGAAATTTCCTCTGTATCATCTTGCACTATTAAAATGTTTCGTATGAAACGTCTTGCTCCAGTCTAGGTTGCAAAGCTAGTTCGGGAACATGTACGGCTGCACTGAAGCCAACAGCTTTTGGATCACACTACTTTGCTTGTCAGGACCCGCCCTACTCTGCTTCTGATTGGCTAGTAGTCCTTACCTAGGTACTACGCATGTGCAACTCCCAACAAAGATATTATAGAAGTGAGATGCATCACTCGGTAGCTAAAACTGAGCGTTCAACACACAAAAAATTAAACCATGTAAACCCATCCTGGTGCAACCTCTAAATAAAATTATGAACCAGAAAATGAGCACAATATGACTTAAAAGATTCTGCAATTCAACATAAATTATCCTCTAAAAGGTATGAATTTACACAACAATATACAATGACACGAGTTATGACTTTACAGACATGATTTGACTGCCAGGCTCAAACTAAACAGGAGTACTGGTTGGCCAGAGTCTGTATGATAATGTCCTCCATCAATGACACCTCCATACTAAGCTCCCACCACCTACAATCTAACTGTAGTCATTATGGGACACCAGCACCACAGTGTTGAGTCAGCCTCAACTGCACACGTCATTTGTTTACATTTTGATAAAAATGTCATTTCCCCCAATAATTACCCACAATTCACTATATATCCTGCATGCTTTCTGTCAATTAATGTCCCACCAATCAGGCATCGCGACATGTCTGTTCCCAGACATCAGGAACACATTAGCCCTAACTGAGTTTATCCACATAATTGATTAGTTGATTAATTAACCCTGTCTGTTTAATTGTATAATATCATGTATCCTTGCATTTTGATTAGGTCAGAGGAAGGAAGGAGCTGACGTGTGTGTTGAGTTTGTAGTTGAAAGAGAGCTGATTACTTTGCTGATTCCAGACAGTGGAAACATGATATTGGAGGTTGACCGAGATAACTGTAGGGATTTACAAAAGATTCAAGTGGATGTTTACAACGATTACCTTAGAGTCGAAGCAGCTGGTCACTGAAGAACGAATACCAAAAGAAGTTGAAACAATAATAATAAAATTTCTATTTAAGTGTAAGGACTAAAATTTAAATCAACCATTGACTTCTGATCTGCCAGAAAGGCAAAGGGAAACGTTGTGGTTCAGGTTACTGAGCTGAACTGTTACGATACAAGCCCGACTGATTTCCAGATAACACTATAATGCGATGCTGTTTCTTGATTAGTCAAACTGAAATGACTCAGATCCACACACAAGTTGTTGATGAATAATACTTTCCACTTTCATATGCACATTCTGTTCTGAGGAAGATAATCTGCTAGGTGTTTAAAAAAAAAACCAAATAGTTTCCTGTAAGAGCTTGTAACTTTAAGTCTGACCGAGCTTCAATGAAAACAAATCTTAACATGTTATCTTAACAATTTATATTCAAAATCAAGAGAGGTTTCCTTATCTTCTTCTCTGCAGCCATCAACGGAAGATCTGTAGGTTAACAGAGGGTCAACGGTTGGAAAAGCAACTTATGAGCAAGGAAACACCAAGTCATCGTGCACTCACGAAGGTATAGCTTAAAAAAGAAGATGCAGATCAGCACAGTGGTTAACTGACTTTCCTGAGAGTCTCAAATGTATGACTTGTGATCTTTGATACTGTAAGGTACTACTGTAGATGTGGATAAGATCTGTCAATGTGCTCTTTGTCAATTAGGTTAAGGTTAAGTAAGAATATTCTATTTAAAAAAAAAACAATTTAATGCTTTTTAGTGGAGTGATACAAGGTTTGACATTTTGACATATGACATTTCATATTTTATATTAATGCAAGAGAGCTGATGCAAGACCGGAGTTGATGTCTTGTGTTTGCTTTGTTTTTGCTTGA